GTGTGTCCCTGATGAGGAAGTGTTTGATTACAAGAAAAGAGGGGATCAACAGAGAGAGTACTATAAGTAGCTGTTGCTGCACACATGGAGACCCAATGGATCCATGTGATGCATGCGTGCGCCCCCGCTATAGCTTGACCGATGTCCAATGCACCTCTCCTGGTGCTGTGCTGCATGTGAGCTGAAACGGCGCAGGCAAGAGGTGACCCGTGACGCTGAGGCAGCGTTGAGGTGACGAGTAAGCTGGCCGAAGAGGTCGTTTGATCCCGCCTCCCGGCTGTCGGCACGAAGGTGGAGGCTGGTATGATCCTGACGCGTGGAAGTACTATACATCTTACAAGTACAATGAGGATCGCTTTCATCCACCCAGACCTTGGCATAGGTGAGATCTCCGGTGCACACCAACTGTAGGCTGACCCATAACAGGTGGTGCTGAAAGGCTCGTCGTTGATGCCGCTGTCTCCCTCCAGCGCCTCGGCCATGAGGTTGTCATGTTCACCTCCCGCCATGACCCTGCTCGATGTTTTATAGAGACCAAGGATGGTAGGCAACCTATTAATGCCCGGTCTGTCCACTCACGCCTCACAGGGACTTTGCCAGTACATGTGATCGGATCTTCTCTTCCTCGCATCCTGCATCCCCGCTTCCCTTGTACTATTCTGTTCTCGATCCTCCGTTCCCTGTTCCTCGCAATCCTTCTCCTGACATCTCTCCTGCTCCCTGGTCCCCCCTCCGCTTTCAATCCGCTATCTCCTCTCCCAAAATTTGATCTGTATATCGTCGACCAGCAAAGCGTGGCCATTCCTCTACTGCGGTTTGTGAGCGGGAGCCGGGTGATATTCTATTGTCACTTTCCCGATAAGCTACTGAGTGGGGGGTGGGATATCAGGATCGATGACAAGGACTCCTATGTGAGGCGACAATCAGGGGTCGGGCTTCTGAAGCGCCTGTACAGATGGCCTATAGACAAACTTGAGCAATGGACCACTGGTAAGGCCTTTCTATTCTCATTGATGTCTCCAGCTCATAACCCGCAATGAATAGGTCAAGCTGATGTGTTGGTATCCAACTCTGAGTTCTCATCTCGTGTATTTCAGCTTGCCTTCCCATCCTTATCTAAACATCCACGCCGGGTTATCTATCCGTGTATCGATATCGAAGCGTACCAAACAAAGATTGAAGGGAAGGGACGAGCGGACGAAAGTGTCGAGTCAATCTCATCGTGAGTTCTATATGCTCTGGTGATAACAAGCTTCATTAAGGCTCATATGCACAAGTGACCGGCCTACAATCATATCCTTCAATCGTTTTGAAGCAAAGAAAAACGTGGCCTTGGCTATCAAAGCTTTCGTAGGCTTGCGTGACAGGGGATTGGTGTCGCCAAGCGAGTTTGCCAACCTTCGGTTTGTAATTGGGGGTAAGTTTGTCTTCATGTGTCAGTCGATATCATTGAGCTGACAGGTGCAGGTGGTTTTGACTCCGACGAGCAAGACAACCGTCAGACACTTGTCAATTCACAATCTCTCTGCACTTCTTTTGGCATCACCTACACGACCGTAACGAACCAGTCAGCGACTCAAGCGCCGATTGATCCCAAAGCGCAAATTATCTTCTTGCTCAACTTTACCAACGCCCAACGCACTCATCTTCTCACATCCTCTTCCACCCTTTGCCTATTGTACACCCCGGAAAATGAGCACTTTGGTATTGTCCCTATTGAAGCAGCTGCATGCGGAGTTCCTGTCCTAGCGTGCACATCTGGAGGCCCCATGGAGACCGTCGTGGACTTCTCCCGATCCGAAAACGGGCAAGGCTCAGGTCTTCTCCGTCCTCCCGATGCCGGAGAGTGGTCGCAAGCTCTCTCCGAGGTCATCCATCTCCCATCCTCCTCCCGCTATTCCATCTCCGCCTTCTCCCGCTCTCGCGCCCAACAAGCGTTCTCTCTAGCCACTCTGGGAGGTGACTTAGAAGAGGCATGTAAAGATGCGCTGAAGATGGGGGATCTACACATGCAATTAGGAGACAAGTTAATTTGGGGAAGTCTGGGGTTGATGGCGTTTGCGGTTGGAGGACTGGGAGTGATTTGGGCGCTATGGGGGTGATTGGTTTTCATGGGAATGGGATGAAAGAATGTATGGAGAGTGATGGATCCATTTGCGCCCCCTTAGCCACTGTAGGCGCGTCGTCGGTGTCCGATTCTGAATCTGATGAAGACATGTCGCTGTCAGAGTCGAAGACACGGCCGAGATATTGGCGAGATCCTGAACAGGACAGAAGTAATGGATAAAAAGGGTGGAATTGCACAGATCCCACGGCACCTAATGTACGCGATGAGTTATGGTGATTGGCACATGCAGCTTCCAGTACCCAGAAAAACCCACTATTGCATAGTTTCTGTTCCCATATAACTGGACACACAGGGTCATTGATATCCCAAACTCGTACATATCCATTCTTCGCGAGAGTCAGCCCTATGCAATATATTCGATGGACCACTCACCTGGTCCCCAGAAGCAACCCATCGCCCCCAAGGGTCGACGTCAAACCAGATTCTCTGGTTAGTCTGCCCGTCCCTATCGAGCCGGGCGAGAGGTTTCGTCGGATATCTCAGGTCAAATACTTGCAAAGCCCTTGACCGCCGTGAAGACACAAACGCAACAGCCGAATTCAGAGGATGCCAGCCCAATTGGGTCACACCCCCTCCCTCCACGCCGTCCAGCCACCCCACCGCTTCACGGCCGTCTTCTTGATAGAGGGCAACGGATCCATCATAGGAACCAGCGGCAAAGAGGCCGCTACCATCGGGGTTGAAAGAGAGGGCAGATATGATACCTGTTTGACCGTCTTTGGACGCTTTGCTGGCAGAGGTCTTGAGCCTAGCGCTAGTTCCGTGGCCTGGATTGGCAACATCGAATATTTCAATTGCGGATTGAAACCCACAGTACATCCTGAGCACGTGGTCGTCAGCTACGGCAAAAATACACTGTTCACCGGACATACTTGGTGGCCGATGTGTTGAATGCCAAAGAATGGGGGGCAACAAATCGCTCGCGATGGTCCACAATAGGGTATGAAGCTCTGTGCTGCATCAGCAATGTCAGCACTCGGTTCGCACGAGAGGGGTTCTCGACTTACTACTCCCGTTATACCGTCAATGAGCTTCAAAGGGCTGTCACGAATCGCCGCAGCAAAACAAAAAGTCTCCGGTGATGCCAGAGTGGCTGGTGGGAACCAGAGAGATGACACTATGCTATCTGGTTGGGGAAAGGCTGCTGTCGTGAGTTGCCCGGGAGTCGTTTCTGACAATCTGCAGACAAGTCAACTAAAAGGGTGATGAAATGCGCAACAAAATCCATACTGATGAACTCGAAGCGCGCGGTCCTCTGTAGTTGACAAGATAGCACTCCCGTCAATGCACCTTATATAGTCAGTGGCTGCACCGACGGTGGCTCACGCAAACATACCAGCGGGCCGATCTCCAGAAATTGCGAGCAACAGAGCTACTGAGAGAACTCTGATTCAGGGAGGCGTATGGCTTTGCCGCATCGAAGACATAGACGGGTGGCTGGGTATCCATGCTGGGCTTGGAGCTCTGCAATGCGCACAGGACAAGACAACAGCAGCTTGTAGGTTCAGTTGCAACTGGCAACCATTTCAAAACCATTTACAACTTTGTTACAACTGAGATGCAGAGCGCAGCGGTGGAGGCAGGCACGACGCGTGTGGACGACGACCAGGAAGAAGTGCACAAGTCAGCACTCCACGCCAATTCACGACGTCTCCAGTCCACCCATGGAGGCCATCGCCGTCCACAAATCAGAGTCCCCCCCGCCCTTGCAGCCTAGCGTGATGGACGCAAAGTCAGCCGTACGTCCCTCGTCTTCGCCCCCTTCCTTCCCGCTCACAGCCCCGGTCCTGTCAGGCAAAATCCACGCATAGCCATGGAAGGAACTCGGGGTTCTCGCCCTTCGCACAGTCAACCCAGTCCGTCTCAAAACGAACAACGCGTCAAAGCGACGACCACAACAGGTCTAGCAATCTGAGAGAGAGCGGCAAAGTACCAGCGGTGGGAACGGATACTCCGACCGGCCCTAGCCGACATCGTCCCAGAGAAAGCCTTTTTGGTAGCTCTGAGGCAACTGCTGAAAACTCCACAAGGTTTTCCGCCCGCCATCAGTCTTTGAAGAGAAGGAGGAAAGACTCTCCAGGCGAGTCCTCCGTGGAAGAAGAGTCCAGCGCGACTAGCCGGAGCAACGCCCGAAATACCACAGAGAGCGCCCCCCAAAGGGATCAGCGTCAATCCGTTAGAGTCTACCGTCAGTCTGCTTCGGGTAGCGATGACGGTGATATTGCCCTTGTCGATGGTCCGCGCCAACAATCGAAGATCATCGGCTCTTCGGGCCATCGAAGAGGGGGAAAGGATCAAGGAAACTCTAACAATCCATTCTCAGACACTCGGCCAACAGCACGCACGTCAAATCATCGCGATGCTCGGCTCGCGAAGCAGAGCAGGGTTCACAAGAATGATCGGGACAGCGATGTTGAAGAGGTCCTTCCGAAAGGCAACAGACCCGAAGAGCTGGGAATGGGGACTGTAAAGAGCAGATTAGACGATCTCGCCTATGCTCTCAAGCCTCCTCCTCGCAAAACCGGAAGGCGACCAATGATGAACAAGGACGGACTCACTGCTGTAAGTTGCCTGAAATCTTGTCATGGATGTTTCCGACATATGTTCTTCAGTCGACGAGCTCCTCAATGCCCAAACAGCAGAAAGAGAATGGCCTAAAGGCCCAAGCTCCGAAGAAAACGTCAATTCAAAGTTTCATGGTCGCGAGGGCGTCGCGTCTGCCCCACGGACCCTTTCACGTGGACACGCTGTCCTTCTACAATACCACCATGAAATTCAATCGTAAAGAAATTGGGAAGTGGCCGGTAAACTACGATCAGCTAGACTCCCTGGAGGTATCTACATCTAATCTCTACATCTTGAGCTCGCTGACACACTCAGATATGTGTCCATGAGTCACACCCCCTCGTCAGAATAACACTAAATCCCAAAGTTTTTGTCGACAACATGATTCTGAAAGGTCTTATCGGTGATGGTGAGCTAATCATTTTGCTCGATGACTCGTTTCTTAACTGATGGCATTCAAGCAGATTCACTCGCGGCGATGGATGAACTGCACATGACCCTAGTTCCAGAACAATCAGACGACCTCGAAACCATCCTGAGGCATTTCCATGATAAGGCCAAAGCAAGTGCCAAGTCATCAAAGCTACGGAACCACATCAATTTGATGGAGTAATAGCGACATCTCACTCAAAGAAATTACGCTGACCTCCTAAAACCACAGTGAAGATGTTTGTCATATGTACAGAGAAGCTGAAGAGCAGGTGGAGCGTCGAATCACCCTAGCAGAAGCAGCGGAAAGAAGCAATGGGGAAACCCTCGGAAGAAAACATGACGAAAGAGGAGCCGAAAGCCGAACCCAAAAGGCAACGAAGGGGAAGTCGAGATCGAAAAAGACCGAAGAGAAGGATAACAAGCAGAGTAAACTAGATTTGTGAGTCAATGAGCACCGAATCTGTAGTGAATTCTTATCATACTGTATAGTGCGCCCCGAACTCAGTCAGAGCGGTCACTCGCGCGCCCCGTACGCAAAGCCGTTCAAGTCGCCAAGGAGAAAAGCGGAAATGCTGCTCTATATCACGAAATTGGTTCTTCTGACGACGATGAGGTCCCTGTGCTTATGCCCTTGGGCCCTCCCATCAACAGAGACGAGCTGTGAGGCTGCATTCAGATTTTATTGCTTTACTAATGGACGTTCTCTACAGTTACTTCCCATATCCTCTCCGCGAGAAAGCTGCCGTGACCATCACTCGAGGCGATTTGTTGCGAATACAGCAAAATGACTTTTTGAACGACACTCTCTTAGAATTCGGTTTGCGGTGCGTCATTTACATAATCTATGGGAAAACGAAGAACATTGGCTAAACATGGTGTAGGCATGTCCTGGACCAGTTCGACAACGACGCCAAAGATGAAACTCATATATTCAATTCTTTCTTCTATTTGAAACTTGCCAACAAGTCCAAAGGGTAAGTAAGATTTGGACCCCACACTTCTCCCGTAATACTCCTGTATTGACCCTCCGTAGGAGCAAGCCCACACCGGAAGGGTGGGCGGCTTATGACTCTGTCAAAAAGTGGACAAAAGGCAAGGATATCTTCAAGAAGAAGTTTGTTGTGGTACCAATTAATGAACAGTGAGTCACAATCACCGCCGAAATTTGCTAACACCTTTTAAAGTTTTCACTGGTATCTTGCTGTGATCATCAACCCTGCCGGCATCTTGCGAGAGACAACCCCGCAGCCAAATATTCAAACAAGTGCCATCGAGTTCAAGTCGAGTCCCAATCGACCTACCACACGGGCGGCCGCAGCCGCCGTGAAGGAGAGTGCCCCCGCCGAAATCGAAGTGCCGGCGTCTGCCGATCAAGATCCCTTGATTTTGTACCAAGGCAATGCCGATGACGGTGAGCGACATGTCGCTGGGGAGTCTGTCCATGAGAACCGGCCAACTCAGCCGGATCGTATACTGGAGACTCCGATCGCTTCTCAGACCATTGGGAAACCAAACGAAACTAGCCCAAATAACAACCTCTTGTCCCCGCCATCCTCTCCACTCACGCCTGTAACGCCTGTTCCCGAACCTCTCATGTCACCTGATGCGCCGGTCTCCAGTGATCCCATCAACGCTCTAGATCAGACGGGCGATCAGGACCAAGATATCCAGATGCAGGATGTCTCGTCTGCCGTTCAGAGCCTGGCCCTGGGGGTCGATGGGAGGGCAAACTTCAAAGAAGGTATTCAAGATGCTTCTTTGCCGAGGAAGCTCGAAGTCCAAGCAAAGAGCGAGATCTGCAATGGCAACAGTGACGAGGGCTCTGTCAAAAATGATGTTGGTGAGGATACTGATCCGGCTCAAGGTGGATACATCGATATCATGTCATCAGCGTTTGCCCACAATCGCCAACCTTCAGAAACGGTACAGGCTGCAACAACGATCGAAGACGATGCGGAAGTTGTGGAGATAGCTGGCCCTGCAGCGGGGAAGAAGCACAAGAAGGGGAAAGCTTCGGCCAACAAAGATAAAAAGGCTTCTCCGAAAAAGAAGGGTGATGATGACAATTTTCAAGACGGCCGGTACGTCTGATGGTCAGCGTTGCGACTCCTCCCTGACATGAAGTGCAGAACCTGGATTGTGACTTTTGACTCCCTTGGCGGGAAACATCAGGCGGTCGGTAACACATTGTCGCGTTGGTTAGAGTTTGAAGCGAAGGACAAGCATGGCGTCGATGTCAAGAGTGATGCGGTATATCGGGCGGGATACGTACGTGTCATTAGCTTTACCGGCTATCCCCGCTGACATCGGATACAGGCCCCAGCCCAACCCAATTTCGTCGATTGTGGGCTATATGTTGTGTGGTACACTCAACAACTTTTACAGAAGACAGGCGCCATTCTCGAGTTCGTTCAGGTGTGTGTGATCGTGGTATCCCTTGCCCCTCATAATTGACGTGTGATTTCTAGCGCCAGCAACCATACAAGACGGATCCTGATCGCAAGGAATGGCAAATTTCTCTCGAAAGCGCCTGGTCAGCGTCCGAAACAGCCAATTTAAGGGAAAAATGGCTCGCCGATATGGAGAGTTTGAACTTGGAGTGGAAAAAGGTGAAAAAAGAAAGAGCGGCTGCTGGTATTCCAGAGGACGTTGACGTGGATGGAGAAGAAGGGGACAGCCAGATCCAGGTTATCGACAAGAAAGAGCAAGAAACCCTTCAGAAAGTGGTAAAGGCAGAGTACGAAAAATATTGCAAAGCTGGCAATCTAGAGGGATCTCAAATCGGCAAACAACCGTCCCCTTTTCGAATGGCTGCTGCTCTCAGGCCAGCGATAGAAGAGGACGACGAATTTGCAGAATCTCGGCATGCCCAGCGGCGACTGTCGGCCCCTGCTACTTCTTCCAGGTTTCGACCGGGACACGAATCCGCCCCCCGCAGCATGCCACCTCCTGACCGTACCTCGACACCTCCTCGAACTATTCCCGAGAAGCGCCTCCCACCAACTTCCGCCCATCTTGAAATTCCTGATATCCCGCATTCCAGCCCAACCAATGCAGCGCAAGACGCTACGCGAAGGAAGGCTAGAAGTTTATCACCAGGTACTCAGGGATCTCCTGATTGGCCGGACAGAGCCGAGGATGATGAAGACGCTGTCACTCTCCGGGGCCAGCCGGAAGACGGGGGGAGAGAAGGGAGACCTCCAAATCAAACAACACGGAATGACGACTCGGACAAGCTCGATACAAACGCAGACGAGCGAATTCAAGAGGTCGATGAGGGCCGACCTGGTGCTTCAATGAGGCATGCTGGGGGTGTTATGGAAAAGGAGAGAGAAGGGGAGAACGACGACGCAAAAATAGAAGAGGAGGAGGAGGAGGAGGAGGAGGAGGAAGAGGAGGAAAAGGAAGAGGAGAGGAACGAACAAGCGTTAGGGGAAACTCCAAAGAGGGAAGAGTATAGGTTACAAGCGCTTAACATCCACCTCAGCAATGGCCATGGGCGCTCAGAGGCGAGTCCTGTCGCCGCTGAACCTCACATGCCAACTACCGCTACCGTGGACCCTGAGAACGTCCATCATATCCGATACTCTTCCGAGGATGGTGCAAGCCCCTCCCATCCTGCAACGCCGACCAACGTCCCTCCCAAAGCGACGGCTGGGAGACAAAGTCTTTCAAAGGAGAGTAAATACTTTGATAACGGCAAACCTAAATCTCTCGAGCCAGCAGCTGTCAAATCGGCGGTCGCGTCGTCCAGTTTCCCTCCTACGAAACAGCCTGCTGTGGCTGTATCCGCCCTGGAGAGGCATACTCCGAGCAGACCGAATCCGGAGGCCCTTGTGCGAATGTCTTCTGGTAACCGTGGCCACGTCATCTCTGTCAAGAGTGGCGGTGACAGTAGTAATGGTCCCTTTTCTTCTCTCAGCGCGAGTAGTCCTACTGGACCATATCTGCAAAAAGAAGCTCGCATGGAGCAGGCGATCAGAGCAGGGATGCAGGCCAATCCGGGAAAGAATGACGGGCTAGAGGTGGGGTCAGGGAGTCAGGACGAAGAGGAGATGGGCATCCCAGACGCTGGGGGAAAGGAGAGGGCGGCCGAGCTTTTGCTCCGGTCGGACCAGGATACAGTGCCTGCTCGAGACAGAACACAGATGCCGGCCTCTGCTATGGGGAACCGTTTCAAATCGCCTTGGAAGAGGCGTGTCGTTTCGGACGGGGGCCAAAGTGGTCCAGAGAGCAAGCGGAAGAAAACCGAGAAGGGGAGTCGCAGGGAATCGGCGGCGCATGGAGCAACAAAGGAGCAACCCATAGAATTGGAAGACGATTGAGATGCGTGTACCAGATATTGTATTAGTAGGGCATATTCCGACGGGTCATATTATGTCAGTAACATTATAATCATTCATCGTCTGGAGAATCTGTAGCTGGTATATGTGAGAAGTGAAGTAGACAACCTGGCCTTTTGCAGTGTTGGAGGGATGATGGCCAGTTGAATCACGAAGCCGGCTCGGAATTGTGTTTTTTGAGGCCCTGATCGGCGAGGTCCCACCACGACCTTGAATTGAGATTGGAAGGATGGAAATACGGGCAGCGACTCTTGAAGGCTAAGTTTTCGTGAGCTGATGTGCTGATTTACGAGAGTCGTCACTTGCCGTCGAGAGTTCGCTTTCTTATGATTGCCTCGATACTTTCTTCACTTGCCAATTGATCTCCCTGATAAGAGCATCAGTGGGTGTATCATGATATCACCAGGGTACTTGCCAATACTTCCGCTTCTCTCAGGCCACGAGCATGTCCGCCCTCCTGTACGTTCACCTGTTTAGAAGATTTGACGGATTGCTGACAAAAAGTCAGAAGAGTCCGTCGGTGAACCCACCCCTCTGTTTCATCATGTCAGGGAACGTCTCAAGCTTGAGGGGGGCTATTGGCTGACCCATCATCTCTGCCCAAAGCTTGACACACATCCCTTCGGCGCCGTCCATGGATTTGGCAGGAATCCAAGAAGAGCCTGACGTCCGTGACTGATCTCTGAGCTCAGCCTGCGCCCTGTTCAAGCGGATGATGATCTGGTCGTCCAGCTTGCGGTACTGCCGCACGATATCTGGGTTCTCACGTAAGCATACGCAGGTGGAAGTGTGGTGTGCGCACCTCTGAAAACAGTGAGATTGAAGCAGGTGTCGGCAGTGACGGTGACATGCTTCGGGGACGGGGCAGGGAACGAGTCAGTGTATGCTGAGGGGGTGCCGAACGGAAGATACGGCATGGTGTGCAGGGCGGTCAGGTATCGGTATGCAGAATGCGACAAGAAGCGGCGGCGGCCGGGCCTCGCCTGTTGCTATCAGCCGCCAGGCACGCCACAGTGTGCTTTACCGTAAAATTCCGAGCCGACTCGACCCAGACATAAAGACTGTTTCTGAAATTTTGGACTTGTTCTTCACACCCGTTTCCAAACAGTCTTTGATACCATCCAGGTGAGCATCTCCCCCATCCCCTCCCCCTCTCTCGACGTGATGACCTTCATTCTCTCCCCGTCTAATCGACCATGGCGAATGAGTTAGAGCGCTCCTTCGCAGGAGATGCTTGGAACCCCTCCCTCTCGAGGGCGGGTTCATGGCGCTTGCCAGTGCCTTTGTCTGATCTCCAATGTTCTTTCATGCTTGCTTGCTATTGTGCTACGAACATCACGCTGACTTGCATGTCCTACAGGTTCCTCTCTAGTCACCCTTCTCGTGAGTCTCTGTCTTCGCTCACTTCTCCCTCAATTTTCCTTTTTCATGATGAGAACCATTTCAAAACCATACGCAGTTTCCACTGAACGCGTCCTCCTCGCCGGGAGTTTGTCCTCGTTTTTTCTTTCGGCACTGTCCCTGTAACCGAGTCGAGTCGACTCTAGTTCCAAGTAGAACCTCTTGTTGAGCTGGAGGCGATTCCTCAATCACAGGCTTGGAGCAATCCGAGCAGCCGACGCTGTCGACAAGGAAGGACTTGGCGATGCTAGTTTGAAGTTTCACTTCCTTGGATGTCTGAACCCATTTTATCCGTCAACTTTTGGTCGTGAAAAAATCAAGGAAGGAAAGTGGCTGACCATCTGTTTGTTTCTGTACATGTTCGGATATGCAGTCTTCTATATACATACCCTCGTAGTGAAAATGGTTGCTTCTGCGGAAAAGAAGGGAAAGGTCATCTTGGCCTACTCTGGTGGTCTCGGTGAGTTGCTCACAACCTTTCACCGGGGCCATCAGCTTATGCGATATGAATTCTTTTGAACAGACACCTCTTGTATCCTCCTCTGGCTCATCGAACAAGGCTATGAGGTCGTGGCTTACATGGCCGATGTTGGACAGGAGGAGGACTTTGAAGCTGCCCGCACCAAGGCCATGAAGTGTGGTGCCGTCGGCTTCCACCTTGCCGACCTCAAGCGAGAATTCGTCGAGGAGCTCATCTACCGTATGTTCCTTCATCTTACCTTTATTCTCTTCTTTAACGGTGCTGCAGCTGCCGTCCAATGTAACGCCATCTACGAGAACGTTTACCTTCTCGGTACCTCCCTTGCCCGACCCGTCATCGCCAGAGGCATGATTGAAGCTGCCGTCAAGGAGGGTTGTGACTTTGTTTCCCACGGCTGTACCGGCAAGGGCAACGACCAGGTCCGATTCGAGCTCGCCTTTTACGGTCTTGCCCCCAACATCAAGGTCATTGCTCCCTGGAGGTTGCCCGAGTTCTACGAGCGATTCGCTGGCCGAACTGCTTTGCTCGAGTACGCCGCCAAGAACGACATTATCGTCACCCAGACCGCTGCCAAGCCTTGGTCTACTGGTGCGTATCGTTTCATAGGGGCATCCGATTTGGCGCTAATGACATGTAGACGAGAACCTCTTCCACATCTCTTACGAGGCCGGTATCCTCGAGGACCCCAACCAGACCCCTCCCGACGACATGTGGAAACTCACCACTTCCCCCGAGAAGGCCCCCGAAACACCCGAGCGAGTCGAGATTGAGTGGTCCAAGGGTCTCCCTGTCAAGGTCACCTACCCCGCCGATGGTACCGTCGTGACCGACGCCGTCGACATCTTCCTCTCCCTCAACCAGCTCGCCCGAAAGCACGGTGTTGGCCGTATCGACATTGTCGAGAACCGATTCATCGGTGTCAAGTCTCGAGGATGCTACGAGTCTCCCGCTGCCACTATTCTCCGTGCTGCGCACATGGACCTTGAAGGCCTCACCCTCGACCGAAACGTCCGAGCTATGCGAGACCAATTCATCACCACTGGTCTCTCCCAGATCCTTTACAACGGTTTCTTCTTCTCCCCCGAGCGAGAATTCATCACTGCCGCCATCCCCGCTTCCCAGAAGACTGTCAACGGTCTCGTCAGGCTCAAGCTCTACAAGGGCAACGTTGTTGTTGAGGGCCGTGACGCCGACGAGGGTCTCTACGACGCCAAGTTCTCTTCCATGGACGAGATGGGTGGCTTTGAACCTACTGCTACCAGCGGTTTCATTGAGATCTCTAGCATCAGGATCAAGGCTTGGGGCAGGGCCAAGTGAGTTTCTTTCTGCCTCTATCTGTATTGAGTCACTGATTGTCTGTTCAGCATCAAGCGAGGTCAGGACGGTGTCTCCCCCAAGGACGTCTACCACCGAGAATAATCTGACCTTTTCTTGGTCAGAAATGTCGGGTTGGTTGCGTTTGTGGTATTCTAGAAAGAGCATAATATTCAGGGTCTTCAGAAGTTGTTTAGCAAGCATGATTGAATTGTATAGAGGGTAGATACCTGATTAGTACGTAGAAAATGGGAAGCAATAGTCACGCCGTAGCACAGGTGGATGCATATATCACAGAATCATTGGCTTTTGGGATTGGGGTGACTCTTTTTTTGGATCATGTCTTGCCTACAACTACTCAACTTTTGAGTTGGAACCAAAAGAGCGGAGACAGCCGGCCAGGCGCGCCCTCGCGTTTGATGTTCGTGGTGTTCGTCCTCGGGTCGTTGTATGTAATTCTTTGCGTTACGCTCGATATAGACCTTTCCAACCGACAACCTGTTGATCGCATTTGCGCCAATCGCTCTGATCTATCCCCTCAAAACACTAGCGTCATAGCAAACATGACCATCCATGCCTTGTGGATCATCAGTAAAGCCGGTGGTCTCGTTTTTTCTCGATCCTACAGCGGTCCGTACTTTCCATCTTGCTTCTCGCCTTGCTGCCTTGCTCGGTGGTCTAACTATCGAATGACCATACAGATGTCCTTCCCCCACTCCCGGTCAACACAATCCTCACACTCGCCGGTATCTTGCACGGTATACACGCCATCACCGCCCGCCTTACCCCCGCCCCTTCACCTGGTCAGCCCATAGAGGGATTGGATAGTTTTGAAGCAGAGGGTTGGGGAGGAAAGGTTTTCATGACGCCGACAGGTAAGTAAGAATGCATGTTGGAGCGAAGAGGAAGGCTGATGAAGAATGAAGGGACAAAGTTTGTGGTTCTGCACTCTATACCACATACGGGCCTTGAAGACCTGGCGAGACGGATATACGAGACCTGTAAGTTTCTCGAGTCAACGCTCGCATGTATTCTGGGGATAGGTACTCATACGTGATAGATGCCGACACTGTCATGAAGAACCCATTCCACACATTAGAGATGCCGATCAATAGCTCGTTATTTGACGAGAAGCTGGGAGGGCTCATCGGGGGTGTGAACGCTTCTTAGAAAAGGAAACACGTGTGTCTTGAAAATCCCGGAGCTGAATGTTGTAATTGTATGAAGGTCTTTGGTAATGCTTCGTCATTTCCCATCCTCGTCGCTTATGGATATTTTCAGGTGGTAGTATCTGTATGAAGGCAGCATGATTAAAAGGGATTAGACAGAGGTACATGCTTCTGGACTGTCTTCTTTCCCCGTGAACTAGTCTAACCGACCCAGGAGTCGATCTTTCCGTCGACAACCTTCTTCAGCTCTGACTTGAGCTCACCACTGCCGTCAATGACATCGATAGTAAGACCTTCTGTGCCGGGTGTAGTAGCCACCGCAAGGGCGGTCTGGGCAACCAGCTCTCGACTGCCAACCCGTTAGCATCAGGGTAATTTGATCTTGTGAGAAAGCTCACGAAGTAGGTGTCAAGTGAGTGCGGCCAAGCTGGACGCCTCCCGCGGGCTCGGTAGTCAAACTTCCTGGTCGCAGGACGGTATAGTCGATCGCCGTGCGCTTATGGAGGTTGAGCTCCGCTGCCAGCTTTGCCTCCATGTCTAGGCCCGCCATCAGTATATGCGCTCGAGACATGGAAAAGAACTTACAGGTACCGAGACCCTTCCAGAACTTGCTCTCAGTGTCCTTGTCCTGGTCATTGTACCAGTCTGGCACGGGGGAGTTCTTGGACCTGACGGCCACGGCTCCGATGATGATCAGTCTCTTGATGCCAGCCTCTTCCATGGCGTCAAAGACCTTGACGGCGCCCTTGTGGTCGATCTCCTCCGGCCCGGGTGGTTTCCCGCCGGCGCCGGCAGCAAAGAGAACGACGTCAGGGCTGACCTTGTTGAAGAGTGAAGAGATGGAAGGCACGGTAGACTTGTCGAGAGGGAGAATGTGGGTGGTGGCTCCCAGCGCTTTGAGCTCTTCCTCGCTGCGAGCTCGTCAGCCTTGGCAGTAAGACGTGCGGAGACGACTGACTGTGCGTTGTCCTTGATGATGGAGTTGACCTTGTGGCCCGCCTTGACGGCCTGGGACGTGAAGAGCTTGCTGATCTTGCCGCCGCCGCCAAAGATGGTAAAGTTGAGTGCCATTGTGGATGTCTGTACGGACTACGGAGTGGGATATCGCTGGCAGGCTGAGACGTATGTCATTCAAGATGTCATTGCAGTCAGCCTCGGCTCCCCGCCGGCCGGCCGCCCATTAGCGGGACCAGATTGCTTGTAGTCTATTACAAATGATTACAAGTCTATCACAAATGATTACAAGCGAGAACGAAGACTCTTCATTCTTTCTGTACGAGTACAGCAGTTGTCTGGCGGCGGCTTCCACTCCCCTCCCCCCATGCCCTCCCACCCCCATCCCCGCGCACGGACCGCGCAGCCCGACGCCCCCAAGAGCCAGGATCCCAGCGCCTGGCTCGGCTTCTCCTTGCCACCCCGTGCCCCAGGCCATGGCGCCGCCGGTGTCCCTGGTTCAGGCGTCCCTGGCCCCCCGCCCAGGCGCAGCAGGCGCACCGAGGGCTGGAGGGGAGGGCCCATGAGCCGCGAAAAGTTTCTCAACGCCAGCTTCAAGTTCATGCTCAAGCCCACAGAAGTCTTGTCCTATGGAGCCCATTTCGCCGACCCCGACATGTGAGTGGCGGGTGGCCCATACCTGAGCTTCTGTTGACGCGCCATAGCCCTTTGCATTGGCCAAACATTCTCCAGATCCTGGTGCCCACGTTCAGCGCTCTCTCAGTGGCGCAGGGATATGTGTCATCGTCTGCAGACGCGACCAGCGCCGCGTTCGAGGGAGTGCCCTACGAACTGGAAGAGTCGGGCGAAGTGACAGCAGAGAGAAGGCGCCGCATCGAAGAAGAGAAGCAAGGCAGACAGTGTCCAATCTGCCTCAGCAAGCCTGTAGCAGGCAGAATGACCAAATGCGGACATGTAGGTACTGGACAATCGAAAGAAAGCGCACGCTGATATTGTCAAAGATATTCTGCTTCCCTTGCATACTTCACTTTATTCAGCTGTCAGACATTCCCAAATCTGCCAAGTGCCCGATATGCGGAGACATGGTTCAGACAAACACGCTCAAGAGTGTCAAGTATCTCGACGCCAAAGGCATGTTGGGTGCCGAGCAAGACGAAGATTCACTCGGATCTGGGCCTGTCGTCCACGCCCCGCCACCTTCCGGCTTTGAAGACTCCCTTCGCGAGGCCAAGGCACTTGACTCTACCCTTGATACGTCTCAACCGGAAGCTTCCACTTCCCGCCACAAGCTCCACATGCGTCTCATCCAGCGTCCCCAAATGACCACGCTCGCCCTCCCTTCATCGCCCACCTGGCCTTCTGACGCCGTCCCTCCCCACACGGCCCCCTGGTACTTTCTCCCCGACATCATCACCTACTCCCGGTACATGCTCGCCACATCAGATTACATGATGCACGAGCTCTCTCGCGAACTCGGCGAGCTGAGAAGAGAGTGGGATCTGTTGCGAGGTGATGAGCTCGGAAGGGTGTTTGTGAGGGCCGCGATGGACAAGGTGGAGGGTCAGATGGAAAAGGTCAAAATGGAACTCGAGGCAGATCTGGCCAAGAGGTCGGAACGTAAAGGCCGGGAAGCTTGGGCGCACGCTGTCGGTGGTGAGCGGCTAGAACGGGAAAGAATACGGGAGAGGGAGAGGAAAGAGCAGGAGCGGATCCAGAGGGAACAGGAACAGGAAGTGGGTGATGTCCCGGTCGAGTTTTTGGCAAGTCAACAGACTTCGTTTGACAACTCTGCCAATATCAATATCCCTCCCAATCTTCCTGTCACGCCAAATCCCATGCCGGATGTGCCTCCAAAAAAGCACAAGCGTCGCTCTCAGCAACCAGCCTTACCTCCGCCTCCTACGCCTCCATCTCAGTCGTACTACTTTTACCAGTCATCACTGGGCACGAACGTGTTCCTCCACCCCCTCGACATACGAATCCTTCTCGCGCATTTCGTCACCTACAGCTCTTTCCCGCCTGCCCTGACTTTTAGTGTTCAAGGTTGGGAGACAGCGACGATTACCGAAGACTTGCGCAAGCGGTCCAAGTATTTATCACATCTGCCTGTGGGTACCGAAGTCGTCTTTATTGAAACAGACCTCTCTGCCCTCGTCTCTCCCACCACTTTATCCCAATTTGACCAACCCCTCAAGGCGCGGCGCCAAAAGCGCAAAGACAAGGTCCGCAAAGAAGACCGTGCCAAAGCCCGCTGGGAAAAGGTTGAGAAGGACAGAATCGCGGGAGAAGTGGTGCCGAGTGTGAGGAGTGTACCGAGTGCGTTTGTGCCCGGCGGCGTGGTAGAGGACGATCAGCTGGAGATGGTGTTGGAAAGGTCGATGAGGGAGTTTGAACACGACTTTCCGTCAACTGCGCCTCGAAGCTATACTCAACCTGGACGACAGCCTTCTGCTGTATCGTCGAGTCCACCCACAGCGGGTGCTCCGCCATGGGGTACAGCGCAGTGCTCGGCGTCAGCGTCGGAAGAACAGCGACAGCGCTCGTTCGCCACTGCCTTGCACAGACGATACAATCCCACGACAAGGACGGTTGAAGAATTCGACCCGGCGTGGGAAGCGTTTGAGGCGCCCAATATCGGGGGAGAGGAGGTCCCGAGGGATGTTAGAGAGACTGAAAGAGGAGGGGGGCAAGGGGCGGGGCGGAAGAAGAAGAAGGAGAAGGGGAAGACACTTGTCCTGGGTGGCGGTGGTGGGCGTAGGGCATAGAGCCGTAAAGTGAGAAGGGTCAGAAGAACATATAAAAACATCATTAGGCTTTGGCATCATCTTGCATACCTTTCAATCATGATTCAGACGGTGCCACCAACGCTCAATCTTGCGACATTCCGCCAAACCATCAGACGGGTGAGTACTAGATCGATAGCAACAGGACGTTCCACAAGCCGGACTCTGCCAAGCCATACCTTTATCTCTGATAGAACAGTCGGGCTGAGAGGCAATGTTGACTGAGAGCACGAGTTGGCGTGGTTCTGGCGCGCGAGACTGATGAGCCTGAGGACAAGAACGCCACATGTGTGCATCTATGATATGCATCATCATCGAGCTATTCGTGCTATACGACCAATGCAATGTGATTGTTATCTAAACAAACTTCCCCACAACATCGTTGACCTCCTTTCCTCGGTCCCAAGCAAGCTTGCCTCCAAGGTATGTCTTCTCCACCAGCCCCTTGAGCGTCTTACCAAGGTACGGCGAGACCTTGTTCTTGAAACGCAACGTGTCCTTGAACCATTGTCAGCCACGCTCGAAGCAGATTAAGAACACGCTCACGAGGGTCACTTCCCATTCCGCATCGGGGTCAAACACCACAAAGTCCGCATCAGCTCCAACCATCAGTTCACCTTTCTTTCCCTTCAGCATCACCTGAAGGGCTTGCGTAGACCCCATCCACTCAACGATCTGACCGAGCTCCACACGCCCTCCCTTTCCCCCCAAAAGAGTCCAAGTCAAAGACAGACCAAAGCCGAGACCAGATACGCCTCCCCAGGCAGACATGAAATCGCCCTTTTTCAATTCGGGCACGCAGGGGGAGTGGTCAGAGACGAGATAGGTGATGGTCCCATCAAGAAGAGCTTCGACAATCAATTTTCGGTTGGCTTCATCTCGAATAGGCGGGCAGCACTTGTACTGTGTGGCATTGTCGGGAATGTCCTCGCCGCTGAGACAGATGTAGTGGAAGCATGTCTCGACTGTCAGGTTGGACAATCCCTCTTTTCTGGCCTTTTTGATCAAGGGGACCGCACCGGCAGCCGAAAGATGAACGATGTGGAATCGCAGCCCAGAGTACTTCTTTGCGAGGCGGAGAATGAGAGACAGAGCATCAATCTCCCAAGTGGGGGGGCGAGAGGCAAGGAATGTTGAATAATGAGTAGGGTCAGGAGGACTAGAAGAGTGAGGATGAGAGTCCATCTCGGCGTGGAACATGACGAGAGCATTGGTACCCTGTCGCCCGCGTCAGTCGGACAACGGTACAATTACAAAAACCCACCTCAAGAGCGTCACAGGCTTTAATTAGGTCTTGTTCGTCCACGCAGGGAAATTCCTGTGGTACATCAGCATGTCACACAAACAAGGTGTTTTCACACTTACATCGACTCCCGACTCGATCAAAAAACACTTGAATCCCTTGACGCCCTCTTTCAGCAATGGCTTGAGCTCCCCCGCGTTCCCCGGGATGATACCACCCCAAAAGCCTACATCAGTCTTGATTCCGACTCTCTTGGCCTCTGCCCGCTTTGCATAAAGTCCTTCGACTGTGCAGGTGGGGGGGATTGAGTTGAGGGGCATGTCGATGAGGGTAGTCACACCGCCGGCAAGGGCCGCCAGCGTTCCCGTCTGGAACCCTTCCCATGCTGTTCGACCTGGCTGGTTGAGATGAACGTGCGCGCTGGAGTTTGTCAGAGACAATCACCAGGGACATTTTCGACCTACTCTAAAAGACCTGGGAGCAGGACTTTGCCCTCAGCCACCTCGATGAGGTCCCCCTCAACAGCGTCTTTAGCGAGGAGGCCGGGGCGGATGCTGGTGATGACGCCGTTATCGTATACGATGGTGGCAGGCTGTGGGGCGTGGCTTCCCGGGAGGATGGCGAGGGGGGCGACAATGGTGGTGGGCATTGTATTGATTATAGGGAGTGTTAGGGAGTAACAAGACTCGAAGAAAGGCATTTTATATCGCATTCCGGCCTGCCCGGCTTTATCTGCTGATAGATTTGCTCCCGTCTCCCCATGTGCCACAATCAACTTGCAATCGGTAGTATAGCCTCGAGACGAAAAGCTCTTGCCCTTCAGCTGCAGAAGATCTGACTCACGTCATCCTGGCTTACTCTTCCCAAGAGCACTGAAACAGAGACACCCTTGATTGGCCAGTCCTTTCGTCGCAGACCGCCCGATATCAGCGCCCGCATTCTGAGGATATCAATGCAAAGCTGAGCGCCCATGCTGGAGATTAGAACAGCGGAGTGAAGGCGAGAGCGGCTTGAAATGTATAGCTAGCTAAGATCTGAATACGATATACATCACATCACTTAGAGCGTCACCTTGCCCACAGTCACCCAGTCGGCAACATCCCCCAAGCACCTCACAATCTCAATCTCTCCAATCTCCACCTCTCCGAAACCATCCTCCCTGCTTTCCTTGTTGGCCTCAGCAGAGATAGAGTCTCGCTTCTCGGCGCTGATGTCGCCATAGAGCAAGCTGAGATGGGGAAAGTAATCGCTCTGGCCGGGCACGCTGAATGCTTGCTCCACCTTTTCGCGCAGCGCCAAAAGCTCCTTGGTGGGCTCAACAGGGGCAAGGACAGACTGGAAGTAAAAACCTCCCTTTTGAGCAGCCTTCAGCTGAAGCTTCCACGCCTGCAACCCGCCGAGCTCCGCAACGATCCGACCTAAGGTGTCTTCGATTTCTCCGAGGGGGACGTCCAGAGAGACAGGGGCGAGGAGGGTGATGTGGGGCTCAAACACAGGGGCGTCCTCGGAGAAGGTAGTAAGGTGCTTGATGAGGGATTGGAATTGATATTTCTGGGGAGAGGCGGGGGAGAGCCAGAGGGTGTAGCCTGGAAAGCGGTGAGCTTGCTACGCGCACTCTGAGAGGTGAGACTCACCTGTAAGAGGGGGGGCTTGGGGAGCGCTGGGCATTGTGTGGGTGGGATTGACGGAAAGTTGAAAGTTCAGGATGAGAGATTGTACATCGCCCCATACTTCGCTTATGGTCCTGCGTCACTGATGGCCGACGCCGCCTCGGTGCCCGCCGGCCTTGATACGATCTGTTGACTGGCAACGTATTCTTCTCTTTCCATTCCCAGAGACAGCCTCAGCCATGCCCAAAGACGTGCATCTCGTACTCCTCGTCCATGGCCTGTGGGGTAAGCAACTTTTACTGCGCTGCATCTTCGCCACTGACCCCTCCCAGGCTCACCGGCGCACATGGCTGTAGCAGCCCACGAGCTCGAAGCGGCGTACCGTGCCACCCAGCCTTCTGTTTCTTCAGTCAGGTCCAAGTCTTTCTCGGCTTCTGGTCCAGAGGAGGACCCGGTTGTCACCGAGAAGATTGAAGGAGGGCAGCAAAACGAAGACTTGGTTATCATGATAGCAGGAGGCATGTCGGCGCAGCTGACTTATGACGGTGTGGACGTATGTGCCAGTCGTGTCGCTTGGGAGGTGAGATTTCCTGTCCACTGTCATCACACGTTGCTTACGTCCTTCAGGTTGATCAGAAGATACAGGAGCTCGAAGACGAAGGGTGCAACGTGACCAAATTCAGTGTCACAGGGTACTCGCTCGGTGGACGCGCGTCTATTTAGCTTTTCCTCGTGACCGATGCTGACAAGGTGCACCGCAGTGGTCTCTAGGTACCTCATTGGTCTTCTTCACTCTCGTTCCCCATCATTCTTTGAACGACACCGGCCGGTCTCTTTCGCGACTCTATCCACGCCCGTGAGTGACCTTTTCAAATGGTGTGTGGCCACTGACAATTTTACAGCACTATGGTGTACCCCGCTACAGTGTGTCTCGATGTCACTTTTCAAATGATAGGAGCTGACTTGTGCCAGACACATTCCTTTCGACAACATTATGCTGGCTCGGCGCCCGGATCCTCTCTCGCTCTGGTGAACAACTCTACGTCACTGACCGTTACTCGGATGAAGACCCTCGGCCATTGTTGGAAATCATGGCAGACCCTCGTACGTTGATCAACCACTTTACGAGGCTGGGCTGACGTAAATAAGGCTCGGTCTTCTATACCGGCTTGGAACAATTCGAGAGGCGGGCGATCTTTGCAGCCGCGTAAGTTTCCTCACTACCAACTTCTGTCTGAATCTCCCTCTGATCCTGGCCTCGTAGCATCAACGACAACTCTGTCCCCTACCCCTCTGCCTCAATCTCCCCTGTGGACCATTTCTCCCAATGGGCCCAAACAGGTATACAAGTCGACGCCAACGAAGCTGGCTTCATTAGACGGTGGTGGGTTGAAAAGGAGGAGGCAAAAGGCGATCAGGTAGTCAGAATGGCAGGAAAGAAGTCGAAGGGGCGAAGCTTGAGTGATAGAATTGGTGTGTTGCCACCTGTCTTGAGGTACCGGTTCCCATTCAATTATGTCTGTCGTCGTTTCTGGGCTCATTCTGTACCCAATGAACTGACAGACGCCACAGATCATACTGCTCCTTTTCCCGATCATGCTTCCTATCATCATCCTCCTGATGTGAGTGCGCTCCATATCGTGGCGAGATCTACTTGACCATCTCTGTACAGACTTGCGCGCCAATCGCTGGACACTTCCCGATCGTACGTATATATATCCCCTTCATACCTGGAGCCCAGATGAACCATTAGCAGTCGGAACCGCCTTCAACGTTTGGCCCGCGCCTCCTCAACTGCCACTCCGTCTGCTATCCCCTCATCCCACGGTCTCTCCATTCAACACCTCCGTGAACTCATCCGCCGCGTTGAGCACTCACTCGAAGCTGATATCATACAATCATCCTCCGGCCCCTCCCTTTCTCCATCCGAAGTGAAGGAGATGGAGGCAGAATTACGAAAAGTGAGAGAGGAGGGTGACGAAGGTGAGGCGAGTGTGCAAGTGATTTTGAAGGAGAGTCAGGCGAGGATGTGTGTTTGGTTGAATGGACTGGGATTTGACAAGTATCTGGTGTGGTGGCCGGAGATTTCGAATGCACATGCGACAGCTGTCGTCAGGTGAGATTCAAAGTGCTTGCGATATCATGGGATGCTGACTGCACTACAGGGATCTCGACATTCAGCCCGCCCATGAGCGTGGGCGTGGCATGCTCAAATTCTGGGCACAAGTCGTCCTTGGTCAAGCCACAGAGATCGTATAGGCATGTTCATAAGATCTGTAATCGCACATCACTTGTGTAGGAAAGTCGTCTCTTTGGAAAACGACCACTTGAGACATCGGAAGAATGATTATAACGTGAATGCTGCATAGAAATGTCTACAGTTGTATATATACGAACAAATCTGGGATGTCAATATTGCCCCCACAAGTATAGGGACGCCGCTCCCAAGGGAAGAATCCAGTAATCCCGGCTTTTCTTGAAGATGCCACCACCTACACATAATGTCAAGCGGTAGAGGACTTGAACGCCACATCTCCTTTTCGTGGGTAACATGCCTAGCCACGTCAAGCAGTATGAATGGGAGTAAGACTGGGCGATGCGCTTGAGCCCTACATATGGTCTCGTCTCTCAGACCCTTCAAAGGCGATGAGCCACTCGTCCAGACCCAACCCCCTTAGCTTATCCAGCATTTGACCATTCAATGCTGCTACATCTGGTCCCTTGTCGATATAGTTTTTGACTGGATCGTTATTGGATATTTGATCAACGGCGTTATTGTCAGAAGCTATCAGGATTAGATCAGCGCAGATCCCGGGTCCATCAGCCCGTTACTGACTCGAGAACGATGTGGCAGCCCAGTCGTTCAGCGCAGTAGTGACAATGTCAAGATCGGCCTCGATGACGGACGCAGCTACTCGATATTAGCATCAGAATTGAGAGGAGCTACATTAGAAAAGTACGCACCGCTGAAATCGCCCAACAACTGAAGCCGCTTTGATGCTCGCAGTAGTATCATCGTAGCCTCATTCCAGCTGTACAAGGTGTGTCAGGATGGGGACCAAGAATGACCAGAGGAGTGTTGTCACATAGATATGATGAACAAATCATAACCGCTCGACATCTGTGGACATATCAGCACAGAACCAGGTAGATTGATAGCCTTACCATGTCATTGCGAGATATGCGCAGACAATATTGACAGTTCGTCGAGCAACCAGCACGGCTTGGTCATTCTCAGCGACCATTTGTTGTTCCACGTTTGCAGGTATGCACTTGCGAATAAGAAGTGCTAGGACAATCTAGGTCAGAAGTGCGTACGAACGCAGAAAATGAGGCATGTATTTACCAGTACCATGGCATCCCTCTTCAAGTTTAGTCGTCGCATGCTCACATCCCTCCCTTCACCCCATCGACCCCATGGACATCTATACCCTTCCGGCAGCCGTTCACATATGAGATCCAGCACCTTTTTGTGGCTTACAAGCGCTGCAGGATTGCTGATTAGACTTGATCGTGAAGACACTGCGAACCTTCCCCTAGCAGTTACTGGAGATGTAGTGTTGGCTGTGGAAGGGCTGGGTGTATCGATAAAGAAGCCTTGAGAGGGCATTCAGGCTTGAGAGCGCGTAGGCTGACTGAACGAGAGACCATGGTGAGGGCTTTGAGGCGCATGATATGGAACGAATCGGGACTGGCCCCTGGTGGTGGCTGGTATGATGGGTCGAGGGCAGTCGTAATCGAGATATCATCAGACTCGTTCAAGAGACCTTAGCAGAGATTAGCGGATATCAGAGCGGATGTGTTATCGCTTACCAAGACATAATGGTCGAAAGGACGAGGAAGAGGAGTGGTAATGTTGTCAACATCGAGTCCGAGATCCCACAGGTAGGCAATGGAGGTAAGCTGGTAGATTTCGTAGACTGCCCAACTTTTATTCCAGTCAATGAATAGACAGCTTGTCTGACAAATGACCGCTCACAAAGCATGTATCCTCTCAGCCAAATCGATCGCATCCTCTGCAGGAGGAAGCGCATAACCACCTATTCTGAGCGCAAATAACGCAATGGAGTTGCCGATTGGGACGACTGGCTTCCACGTCGAAGATACTATCCTACGTAGGCCGCATACTGTCACCGTCCTAATTGCCGCGCCAGCCATATGATACCCCTCGTTGTACCTATGAACAGAGACGAGATACTCCGTCATGCGCGCGGTCACTCGGATGACATCAAGTAGTCGGTCACATTTAGTGATGCCGGTCTGAATCTGTCTCTCGGCAATTGCAAAGAACGGGTGGGGCCGGGAAGCGGGTGGAAGTGTGAGGCGGGTGTAGAATCGAGGGACGTGAAATTGTCACACGTAGACCCAGCAGGCCGTGACAGAAATACAACCCCGAAGGCGCCGGTCCTGCTGAAGTACAGGTCGAGTCTGCACATCGTGAGCGCTAGTCATAAGGGCCGGGTATCTTCTACTTACAAATGATCTCGGACAGCCGGCGGTACATTGTCCGGATCTACAAGGTCTCTTATCATTAACATGCTTTGTTCCTCTTGTAGGAACATGATGGGGGCAACACCTGCTGATTGCAGTGATGAAGAAAAGTCCATCATGGCCGAATCCAGCAGGTCGAAATCGAAGCTGAAACTTGGATCTGGTGTTTGTAGGGGGCGAGGATTCCTCGACATTAGCTGTGAGGAGGATGATGGTCCATCGTTTCTCGTAGTGGAAGTGGGAGGGCCGGTATTGCATGCAGTGGGCTGATGCAGCAACAGCAACAGCCGCTCCTTGGCCTCACGCTCCTGCTGCAGCTCGGCCTCTAGTTCAGCTGAGACAGTGAGCACATGTCACTCTATACCAGCCTTACCTATCCGACTTTTGAGTCTCTGAGCTGCTCGTGGTCTGGCCAGAGTCATAGACACATTCCTTGTTCAGCCTTGCGCAAGAGGCACATGTCGGCTTTTCGGCGCCACACCTGTGCGGGTCAGCAGGTCAGTGGGAGCCATATGCAATCCACTCCATACTCACGATCCTCCTCTTGCGACATGCCATGCACGCATCACCCCGTTTGAGAGCTACTCGCCGCGTCAGCCATTGCACCGAAGACGCGAGTGATACTACGCGCTCGTCTTGGGCGAGTTGGTCGTCCTCTGAGCTGCCCTGGTATTGCTGTGTGGGAGGCATTGCAGATGTACTAATGCAGCTGGATGCATCTACCTGCGCACTTTGAGAGTCTCTAAGACAGACAGGACACGGCCAGAAATGACCTCTCGGACGGTCATCGATGCCCTGCTCGGCGGCCGGGACATCACAGCTCATTTCTAATCGGCGTTTGTAATGCTAATACTGCCACACGCGCCGGTGTTTCAACAGAAACCAAAATAGGCTTACGTAAAGGCGTGACATCACAAAATTCCCTTTGTCCTCCACTTTGCAGCGCCAACGAGATTTCTATCCTTCTCTGACATTCTCAATCACTATTACAACCATGTCCGCCCCCCAAGTCGACCTCAAAAAGCCCGAAGTCCCCAAGGAAGAGGCTGCCCAGCAGGAGAAGGGCCTCTCCAACGATGCGTGCGTTGCCTCCCCCGGCTCACGCGATAGCGCTAACTGGTCTCCAGTCTCACAAAGTACACCACCGCCGGCCAGGCCTTGACAGATGTCATCAAGAAGTTCATCCCCCTCGTCGCCCCCGGCAAGAAGGTCCTTGACTTGTGTATCGAGTCAGTCGGAAAGCAAGCATCAAAGGCGGTCGCTGATCCATAAACAGAGGTGACAAGCTCGTCGCCGACACCGTCGCTCCCCTCTGGAACAAGCCCAAGAACGGTATCAAGGTCGTCAAGGGCTCCGCCTTCCCCACCTCCATCTCCGTCAACAACACCGTCTCCCACGTCTCTCCCCTCCCCTCCGACCCCGAGATTGTCTTGAAGGACGGCGATGTCGTCAAGATCATGCTCGGTGTCCACCTCGACGGCTACCCCGTCACCCACGCCGAGACCATCCACCTTTCCTCCAAGACCGACGGCCTTGCCGCTGACGCCATCAAGGCTGCTTACGACGCTGCCCAGGCTGCTATGAGGACCGTCAAGGTTGGCGGAAAGAACTGGGACGTTACCGAGGTTGTCGAGAAAGTTGCCAAGTCTTACGACTGTGTCGGTGTTGAGGGTATGCTGAGTTGCCAACACGAGAAGGATGTCACGGACGGAAAGAAGAGGGTCTTGTTGAATCCCTCACCAGAGCTTAGGCGGGACCACGAGACCGCTACTTTCGAGGAGGGTGAGGTTTACGGTATCGACGTCTTGGTCGTTACTGGTACCAACGGCAAGGCGAGTTGCTATACTCTCATATTTTGTCTATGCTGACAGGGCCATAGTCCAAGTCCGAGTCTGCGCGAACTTCCATCTACAAGCGATCCGACATCAACTACCAGCTCAAGATGAAGACTTCCAGAACCGTCTTCTCCGAGATCACCAAGAAGGCTGGTCCCTTCCCCTTCTCTCTCCGTGCGCTCGATGACGAGAAGAGGGCGCGGATGGCTGTCCAGGAGGCCGTTACCCACGGTACGTATTTGCCATCGTCTCATGGGCCTATGCTGATTCTCGATTAGGTCTTTTGAAGCCTTACGACATCACCCAGACTGCCGCCGGCACCATCGTCGCCGAGTTCTTCTTCACCATCGCCCTCCTTCCCGCCGGTCCCATCCTCTTGTCTCCCACCCCTGCTTGGTACTCTGCGTAAGTCATTCCGCGGTTTCAATTTGGCGACCTATGACTGACGTTGGGATACAGTGACAAGGTCTCCTCTTCTAAGTCTATCGAGGACCAGGAGCTCAAGGATCTCATTGCCCGACCCCTCCGTGCCCCCAAGAAGAAGAAGAAGGCTGCTGCTGCTGCTGCCGAGACCAAGGCTTAAGAGCTGAGTGCGCCTTGGTTTGAGGAGAGCGTTGGGGAGAAGCCCCGTAAAGCGGAGGAAGCAGGTTAGAAGCACAATTTGAATTCCAAAAATAAGCAAAGAATCAATGCATTAACCATAGCCCACTCAAAAGCTTTTCCGGGACATAAAAGATTTCCCCTTCGATGATTTTATCGTGAACATGTGGATGATGTAGGCGTTTGCGAGATGGAGAGAATGCGCGAGTGTCGAAGGGGCCGATGAAGTCTGACAAAGACCCTTTTGCAAGCACTGCTGATCTCTACCGCTCTCCCTTGACGTATACACCTCCAATACAACGCTTGTAATACTAAATCTGGCAGCCCCGTCGGCAATGTTGAGCAACAACAACGAACAAAGCGGCTGCAGTCAAGAGAGTGTACGCTAATTGTATTTGATCTGAGATTTAGAGAAAGACTTGTACGATTGCAAACACACATGGTCTAGGATAGCCGCCCCATATAAGCGCCCGCCACAGGAGGTGGTGGATGGCTGCTGTAATGTTGTTGCGGGTGACGGAGTCAACCGACGCGTCGCGTCCTGCACTTGACAACGAACGACCTTTCGTCTTTCTTCTGTCTTTCTTCATTCTATCGTCCATAACATATCTCATACAATACCCCACAGCATATATATTGCACCCTCGCCCCTCCCTTCGTCAGAGATGACCGGCAAGTCCAAGCTGACCAGACCACCTCCCTTGGACATCGATGAAGACCCGGCGGCGACTTTGACCAACTCGGCACAGCCCCGACAGGCCGGAAAAGGCATCGAGTACATCCCTCCCTCTTTGGAAAGCGCCGCCGACAATGAATCCCGCAAAGACGGCGTAGGCGTCGTAGACCACCTTCGTCGAGCGTTTTCGCTGCACAAGTATCGAGGCCCGAGCAGAAAGCCAGGCGGAGGGGGTATGAAGAGGAATCAGAGCGATACGAGGTTTCATACCAAAGTCAGCGAGGGAGGAGGCCTCAATGCTACCAAGAAGCTATGGAGCTATCCAACGTTCTCTATGAGGGATAAGAGGCGGAAGGAGATCAGCTTTGAGATGATCTTGAAAGAAGAGATACCTGCGCCTCAACCTCATCCCAGTCCGAGTAGCTCCAAAGGTATGTCTTTTCAGATTTCAAGGTATGCAAGAGCTCAACGTTGAAAGGCTTTCACCGTCCTCTTCCTCGACTTGGCTGCCACTCGAAATCACCCACCGCCCTCGAACGAGACGCCGACCCCACATGGCCGCCTCTACTGCCTAAACCTCCTGCCCCGGCACATCCGCCCAAGTCGACCATCACCTCTGCTCAGCTCGCCAGCTTTCGTAAAGTGTCGGCGCCAATACTTCGAAAACGACCCCTCCCTCAACCCCCGGCTCCCTTCACGGACACGGGCCACTCGTCCTTCTATCACACTCAGGACGGCAGTATCCGTCACGCGCCAGCAACTATCAGGCTCGTCACTCGGCCTTCGGCCCCACCTTCTCCTGTCCCAAAGCCCTTTGGACCGAGCGCTAACTTCACCACCAGCACCCCCTTGGCCAGAAGGGTCCACTCGGCGTCGGATGTCATCGGGGGGAAAGTTACTAGAAGACCGACTGCGAGCTTGATGCCAAGGAAACCAGTACCTCGCTTTTTGGATGTACCATTTGAAGGGGATGACGGCCATATCTCGGGAGTGACAGCTTTCACAAGATCTCCACCAGCATCGACTCCGAAGCCTACAAGGACTGCTACAGAATTCAGAGTAAGCTTCAAAGAGGGATGATCACTAAAAGCTGACCTTACCCAGAGTCCACACCTCCCAACGCCACCCACTCCAAAGTACGACGTCTATGTCGATCCTTTTGCCCCGACCCCATCAAGACGACCACCCGATACCTACGACGACTCTTACGAGCACTATCAGAATACTCTGTTTGCAGATGTCCTCAACACCTGGGGTCTCCCCCTTGATCTTTTGGCGCAATCCGTATCGCGCTCGAGGAGGGAATCCCTGATCGAAGCTAGCAAGTCCAGCCACGGCAGTCGACCAAGTCGATCAAGTCGCCCTACCGACCTTCAAATCTATAGCAAGCCATCCATCATGTCATTCCCTGCCGTCCCAACCCACCCCAGGCTTCAAAACCACAAGCCGTCCCCTCTAGGAGAGCGTCGAATCTTGGAAAACCAGGTGACGTTCCAAAGTGAACCCAGGAGAAAGCATGGGACGGTGAAGAAGTTTGTTTCGATGGATGAACGGAGGTTGAGGCAGCCTGTTGGTCGGGTGAAGGACATTGTGGATATCATTGAAGACCGGCAAGTAAGTCCTGTCATTTCTGCGTCCTTGCGTTGAGCTAACCATTTCATAGGGTGACAGGACTATCACTCCGGTTAGAGGTAATGCTAGGTGATGTCCTATGTCGTTCCCCACTAATAACACAATGTAGAATTGGGATGGATCCTCCATCGGCCATCGTCCGTTTCTTCTGATAATCTTCACTCGGAGAGTAAACGTCTGAGTAAGTTGCACTCTCACAGTTGGTGGGAAGAGCAACTTGACATTGACGTGTCTTGATAATAGTGAACGAAGCAAGGAGTAAAGCCCGCCCTCCAAGGTGGATCTAGTCCGGAACCTCGAGGATGTGGTGGTGTCATATCAAACGCCTCTATTTCATATTTATCACTGTTATCCCCGTAGTTATCGTTTCGAACAGCAAAGTGTTACCTTTTTGTGACTATAATTGACTATCGCGTAAATCAATCCACCTTTTAGTTCTGGCCACTTTTCATCGTGTGGCGGTCGTGGACGTTGTTTCTTTCTATGATGTAACTCCTGTAGCTTGTACTCGCCTCGAAGGCAAGAAGATCTTGCGCCAGATGACACGTCGTTTGCAGCTTTCAATACTTTCTTGAGAGTCATTGTCGCCTGGTCACTGGCGGAGAATCTGTGACAGACCGACAACCGTTCGGTGAACTCTCAACCTCTCGACTGTTTCACACAGATATAGTACATTTCTAAATGAGATTCTTTAGGATATATAGATTACAAGTCCTCAGAATTGACTGGCCCAACAAGCACCATCACGACCTTTCCTCGCTGCGTATTCTCATCCTTTTCGATAGAGATGTCTACCGTCACCTTATCGAAAACGGCGATTTCCACGTCTTTGCCATCCTTGGGGACAGAGATGGTGTAGTTTTCGGCATCGTAAGTGTGCAGCTCTTTCTGGAATGTGATGAGGCCTTCGAGACCGAGTCTAATCCAGGATCAGCAGTGGCAGGAAATGTGTCGGGAAAACTTACTTGGAGACAAACACTGCCAACCCATTTCTGAACGTCCTGATGACAAACGCCTCCTCCCTCCTCTTCTGTCCAATACCATCTCCCTTTCCTTTCAACGCCAATCCCACATAGAACTCGACACTCGCCCGTCCGGCCATCTGTGCCAACCTATGCCTCTTGTTCACCACGTTCAGAATCCTCTCAACGTGCGATTTGGACTGTAATGATGGGTGGAGGGGAGTATAGTTGATAGCCGCGGAGAGCTGACGGTGGGCAAGAACATCGGCGTATCGACGAATGGGAGAAGTGAAATGAGTGTAGATGTGAGAGGCAAGACCGTAATGGCCGTAGGTCTCTTTGGAGACGCTTCCTGAACAGAAGTACTCGGCGGACAACATACAACGAGTAGCCATAATTCGGACAAGGGTGTTGAATTCCGGTTCGCCGGCCAGCTGTGAAGATGTCAGCAAGGCGATATAAAGCAGAGTGTAATCACACTCACCACACAAGCATCGAGAGAATCGGCCAATGCCTTTGAACTTGACACATCCAAACCCATCCCCTTCCTCTTCTCCAAGATATCTTGCAACACTTCAAAGTTTGTCTTTGGCGGCGGGCAATGCCTCCTCAAGACAGCAGTCGCGGGGAACGTCTCCTGAATCTTGGCAGCCACACTGATGTTTGCCAACAACATGAACTCCTCAACGAGACTGTTGGTCTCACGCTGCTCCTTCTGTTCGACGTCAATGGGTTCGGCAGATTCAGAAGAGTTGAGGTGAATTTTGAGTTCGGGGGAGGAGAGGGAGAGGGCACCAGCTCGCATACGGGCCGCTTTCAGTTTGATAGCGAGGGTGTTGAGAAGACGGATGGAGTTGGTGAGATTGTCGTTCCGGGATCTGTGTAGTGTCAGAGGGATCTTGGAGAGCGGAGATTGGACTCACTTGTCGTCCTTGCGCAGCTGCGCGGCCTCATAGGTGAAAGCCTCCTTGGAAGCAATTACACTCTTCACAAACCTCACATTCACGATCTCCGCATCTTCATTCAACTCCCAGATCACACTGAACGCCAATCGCTCCACAAACGGCCGCAATGAACAGAGGTTGGTACCAAGGAGCGCGGGAAGCATATCAATACGTTTGTCGACGAGGTAGACTGTTGTGCCTCGGGAGGCGGCTTCGCTGTCCATGGGGTTATCGGGGTGGACAAAATGGGACACATCGGCAATGTCTACCTGGCGTCAGCGTGGCAAAGATATAGAGAAGAAGGTAACTCACGGACACCGGCCTCAATGTTGCCATTAGGCAGCCTCTTTGCATGCAAGGCATCATCGATATCTTGACATCCAGGCGGGTCGATACTGCAGATATCCAAACCTCTCAGATCTTCTCGGTCTCTCCATTCCAAGCTGTCTGGGTTCTTGGGAGGCACGACCCATTGGTCACCCTCGATAGGAAGACAGTTGAGAATAGCTTTGCCGAAAGGTCGGTAGGGGACCTCATATTCAAGCAAAAGAGATTCCTGTTCTGCCTCCTTCGACTCGACTTTACCAAGAGCTCGAACAAAGTGACCGTCGGGGTACCTAGAGGCAATAGACCAATTGTCGATAGTCACGAGAATCTTTTGATCGAGTAATTGGGGAGCCTGGCGAGTCCTCAGTCGAATTCTGGGCAGAGCTCTTGAGAGGGGCGTCGCAAAGACGGTCTGTTGGGCGAGCGAAGTGAATGCCGAGTCGGAGAGAGAGGACCTGTCGAGATGACAGACATAGGCACGCCAGTTGCGCTTCACAATGCCAACAACCCGACCAGTGGGAAGGATATCTTTCTTGTTCTTCTTGGCGTCTTGAGTTTCGAGGGCTTCGCTCTTCTCCTTCTGAATTTCCTTGTCGGGGACGCCACCAAACTCGTCATCTTCCACATCGTCATCTCGAAGAGCCACTGCAAGAAGTTAGGTAGGGTCATCAATCAATAAAAGAGCTCACAGTCTTGGTCGACGACTTCCTCTCCGGGCGCCTTCCACTCGCTCTCTGGAAAGATTTCGACAACGACAACATCGCCATTGACACCTCGGTTCATATTTTTCCTGCCAACAAGAAGAACAGGTCTGTTGAGACCGGGAATATTGACAGTACCCTGTTCCGAGTCAGAATATGATGACAATCGGTCAAAAGACTCACTTCGAGATAGTTGTACTGGTTGGCGTTGAAATGACCCTGCTGGAATCGGCCAGTCTTGACGCCGGCGATTAGAGTGTCTTGGGGGAGATACTGTATGACTGTCAGAACTGACCCACAACAAAGAGATAAGAGCTCACATCAGGATAAACCCTCTTGCTCCTCTTTTCGGCGGTTTCCACCTCGTCTACACCACCGACGACAAGATCCACTAATCTCCCTCGTTCTTCCGTCTCCATTCCGTCGACATACTCCTTTGTGCTGACAGCGTGAATTCCACCTTCGGCTGCAAGAGCCCTGTTGGCAGCATCATCGGTGAGGAGGATGAGCAAAGGTGGAGAAGTGGTGGAATGCAAGAGGTGCTCATTGTAGAATGAGACGGTCTGTCGGATCGCACGATCGTTACGGTCGTTGATCTTTTCCCTGACGTTTTCGTCGTCTACTTCTCGCACAGTGGCGGTCTCTCGACGCTCCTCGTTCCACCACACCCAGATGATACGATCCTCATCCTGGATAAGCTGTTGGAGGCGATTGTACAGAGGAAGAGAGCGATGTCGGGTTTCACGAATAGTAGTGGATGGGATCAATAGGGGAAGGTCGGCAGGGAGGGACTGCAAGAGATCCATTTGATGGAGGACGATATTGGTGTCGATGACCAACCAATGGCCACCGAACTTGGCGTGTCGAGAGTAACCATTTCGGGGCAAGACGCGCTTGAATCCGGGAAAGTCTTCACACAGCTGGCAGTCCTCAAAGCCACAAGGGATATCGTCACGAACATAGCGCTCACGCAGCACTGCATAGTGTCAGAAGATTGATGACAAGAAGGCTGGATGACATACCATTCATGACCTTTCCCCGGGCTGTTTTTTTGAGAAACTTGTTCTCTGAGAGGTGGACATCTGTCCTGTTCCTCTTGAGGATTGTGATTTTGGGGTGGGAGGGGGCGACCATGGGGGATGGATTCATGGAAGAGAAATGTGAACAGATGATGATGCAGCAGGAGATAAAATATTGATCCCGTGCCTCCACTTTCCACTCTTCTCTACGTATCTTGGATTCTTGTCCACAGCTGGTATCGAGGGCCGCTGCGTACATATATAATCCTACAATTCTACTCCGATTCTACTCTGGCCTACCCAAGTCAACCACCAGCATACTTGCATTGAAGACATCGTTGGCGATGCTCAAACGAACGCTCCTCGCTCGGGCGAAGGTGCCAAAGCCCATTATCGCCCCCTCCGCCTCAATACACCATTTCAGCCGCAACAACTCTCGACCGTGTCCGACTCTGCATGGAAAAGAGCGAAATATAAGATTTATCTCTTCCCATTTGGGCCGTACGGACCCTCCATCACTGTCAGAACCAGGAGTTACAACTCCAGAGACGAAAGAGCCTGCAAGTGTCGGTAATGTCTCGAAACCCGTCGAGACTGCAAGCAGAGCAGTCGAAGGAGAAACATCGTCTTTACCTTCATCATCTACATTTGGATTCCTCGAACTGCTGCCAGCGTGGAAAGTGAGTTGACGGACAATCCTCTCCGAGCAATTAATGACAAACCAATCAGGATCTTCCCGTATCACCCGCCGTCCTCGAACGACTCGCAGCGAGCTTTCCTCATATCACCACCCCAACCCCCGCTCAACGGCTGTTCCTTCTCTCTGTACTATCCGGGAACGAGGTGTATCTGAAAGATGGCATGGGGAGAGGAAAGTGAGTTTATATATGAGAGTGCCGAGTTCGATGCTCATGTCTACAGAACGCTCTCTATATCACTTGCTGCTTTGCAACTAGCGTTGGATGCACAGGCCAAGAGCAAGAAGGCAGGGTCAGGGCCTAGCATAATACTTGTCGTCCCCTCGCCTCACTTGGCTCATCAGATCTGTGATCATCTCACTAAACTATGCCCTCCGCTCAAATCCCCCAACGACCCTCTACCTTTCGCTTTAATCACCCCCGAAATTACCCCCAAAGGCGAAAGTACCCCACTCAGACAACTCCCCGATTTTCCTATTGTGGTAGGCACTGCCAAGGCTTTCTATCAATATAATCTTGAAACGCCTGCCCTCACGCACGTCTTCTTGGACGAGCCAGACACCATGGTCGGCCCTATCCCCTCCCGCTTCGCCAAATCCATCCATACCCAGCCCCTCATCCGCCACCCACCTCCAATCGTCCATGTAGTCACTTCCCTGCTCCGGATAGGCATCGACCGAGATGGGCAGCTAGACTTTTCTGAGCGTCGCAATGGTGTCAACATGGTCATGACCAGCGCGACAATCCAGAAAGATTTCAAGCGATTCTGCAAGACGCGCGGATGGATACGGAGAGGGAACGCTGTGGTGGATCTGGATTTCTCTCTTGGGGCGTCAGAACAACGGCGAGCGTTCAGAGAGCGACTGCTTGCGGTCATAGGCTCGCCGCCTGGTACGGACCCCATTGCTGCCGCCCGAGCAGAGCAGCATCAGCCCGAGCATCATGTGCTTTTGATTGATGGAGTCACGGGCGATCTCGTCCCGCTGGACCCTTCAGGTCCTCCCGCAGGACTGAATCCTTTACCGGCGTCTTCACAGAGACAAAACACCCTACCATCTTATATGGTAGAGTCTCTCGCCCTACTTCACTCTACCTCGCCTCCGCCACCAGGGAAATACGTTCTTGCCCTCCCGCCGCAAGAAATCAGTCTACCCGAGCTGGGCAGGGAATTAGCCTCCCTTGGTATCCCTACTTCTATCCTCACGCCCGAGGCACTTCAAGTCGGTATCCCATCTTTCCCCTCTGATATACTTCCACCAATCTTCTTGGCGGCACGTTCTTCCGTGCCAGGGCTTCACCTCCAAGATTTGTGGAACATCTACCTGCTGAACGGGCTGGATATCGGGTCGTTGACGCCTTCGCAGCGAAAGAATAAGGGAGAGGTTGAGAGGGTGGTGTTCTATGATACGGCTGCGGGCCGTCTAGGGAGGCTGGGGACAGATTCAACAGCGGGCACGGAAGGGGAGAGACAGAAGGTTGTCAGTCTGGTGATGGCTGGGGGACAGGAGGAAACGTGGCTCTCAAGATTATTCTCTGGAGAGTTGGAAAGGGAAGTCTCCGAAAACTCCCAAAAAGAGAAGACGGATAAAAAGAGGATGCTGAAGCAGTGGGATATGGAGGTGCTGAATGCAGCCGTGGAACACGAGCTGGGGACATTGTAGCGGACAAGAGATAGCCATTGGGCATCGTATGCATCACACCACTGAGGTACTCGATAGGTCCGAGTGCCCATTGGGCCGCATACAACAGCTCACTAACCCGATCGCGCACGTCTATTCGAATGCCCCCCTTCAGTAGCAGGGAGAACTTCTCTCTCTCAAGTCGACCGGAAGACCTTCCAAGTCCAATCAAAGTCTGGATGGCACTGAGCTTGGGGTATATGTAGCCTTTCGCTATTCATAAGCGGCGCTATCTGGCTCATCGTGGATATATGACTGAATAGAATAATCAACGTGTTATCAATCAAGGTGTTATCGTATGTGTAATAGTAATTGTCCGTATACTCGTGACCATAGAAAACCTCCACCACTTGCCTCACTGACCGCTCACAAAGAAGAAAATCAAGACGCATGATGGGTAGATCCAATACCCAATCCGATCCCAATCCCAATGTAGAGTGAAAACCCAACCAACGCAGCCACTTTATTCACCCTTCGTAGTTTCTTCACCCTCTTGATCCCAGCTTCTCTTGTCCAACCTGGATCCTCTCCAGTCTCTTTGTCAACACCATGAGCAGAAGCTGATATGAAGTTGGCGGGTAGCTTGGCAGCGCCGTCGGCCAAAGCATGATGGAAAAGCTGAGGATTGTGCGTCGAGGGAACTGTGGTCAGGGGGGTACCGCAGCCGGGGTTGTAAAATCTGCTGCCACCGTCAGTCTTGTCTTCGTCACCGCTCGGGTGATGGGCACCATCCCCGCCACGCGGCTCGCTTCCTTTGACAGAATCGGGTGGAGCACTTTGCGCTTGTTGAGGCGGGCGCTCAGAGGCAGGGGAAGAGACGCTACTGCTGCTGCCAGGCTCAGGGCTCAGTCCGCGAGGGCAGAAAGTCTCGGTGCTGCGAGCACTAGGAGCAGTCCTGACAGTGCTCGAGGTAGAGGCTAGAGTCGAATGAGATTCTTTGTGGCGGATGGCTCGATGGGTGGGCACGGCGAGGCTGTCGGACTGTTGATCAGCGGAACGAGCGAGCACGCTGTGGAAATGTCCGGGCTCAAGCTCGTCACCACCACCGGATGTGACATCTTTAGTGGATGTACATGATGTAGAAGCTTCCCCAACTTGCCCTGTTTGAGTATCAGACGCTGGCATGTCGTGCGTTTCAGGGTGGGTAGTGATCCGGGGAACGGCCATTGAGGAAGGCTGATGACAAGAGGTGCACGCGTTCAGGACCGAAGGCACCCTGCGACACTGGTACAGTCCTCCCGGTGCTGGTGTCTGTCCTGCTACAGATTGAAGAACGACCTGTTGACTGCCTGCTAGGGGCGCAAGGTTCGCGGTATCCTTTCGCTCTGCTTCATCCTTGACAGCTTGCCGGTCGGCCATGTCGTCGCCATCATCCCTATACCACTCCCTCAATTGTTTGTTGCCCACAAGCCAGCCCCCAACCAACCAATAAAAAGGGAAGAAGAACCCTGTTAAGAGACAAAACCAAAGCCAACGAATGGTTGACTTTTGCTCGAGGACATACTCGTGGCGCCTGGCAGGACGAACGGGATCTGGTAGCTGAACTACGCGGTCACCAGAGGGGGGGGATGGAGATCGCTGCTTCTTTTGGTGAAATGTGTACACCACATGCTCGGCAGCACTTCTTCCGCCGCGCGCTTTGCGCCCGACCTCATTGGCGAAACGTTCGGCTGCGGTAGGATGAACAACATGACCCGAGCTGCTCCCAAAGTCCTCGGCATAATATGAGGTGCTGGGTGAAATGAAGGCTATCGTGGGACGGCTCTCTTCGTTTCCTTTTGATTGTAGCTTCTTCGCTCCAGGGACGCTGAGAAGAGTCTCACTCTTGGGTAGAGTATGCCGGATAGGAGAAGGGACATCTGGTGGCTGGAAGCAAGGATCCACGAAAGTCTTGTGGAGACTGACATAGTCTTCGCCGCGCGGCATGCGGATGGCAATCGTAACAGGCTGTCGTTCCTCTTCGGCCTGATTCTCATCACTGTCAACCGGAGCCGGGACAACGTCGACCTTCTCCTGAGCAAGCATAACGTCGGTAAAGTCGCTCGACTTTGTTGACTGTTCACCATTCGTCTCTGCAGAAGCTGACTCTTGGGTGGGAGCATCTTGCTGAATCGTGTCGATAGTCTGGTCTTCCTCAAAGACACTATCACCGACCTCAAACGGCTCATACTGATACGCAGGTGTGGCGTAGAGCACCGTCTTCTTTGAGATAAGCTCAGAGAGATCACCGTCGGCCGTGGCTCTGGAGGCTCTGTTGGCTTGGGTAGGAGTCAAAGGCTCGGGGGGTGGGACGACCGCTGGAGGACTGGGAGTCATGTTACGAGTCATGTCGGCGGTAGCGATGTAGGCCGACAGCGCTGCATCCTGCTCCGTGTGAATCTCGGTTTTGGGCGAAGGTGAAGGTGGACTCTCAGCGATAGGAATATCCGCCTTGTCAGGGAAAGCATCCTCACTGGACCCCATGTCAATACTGGAAGACCTTTCGGTCAACACTTGGGAGGTCTCTCGAGTAGTCTCCGGCCCATGGTCTTCGGTTGAGGGAGCGATGATCGAGTCCCGGGTGATTCCGCCTTCATCCATGCTGACGCATTCTCGCTCTACGAGCGCGTCAAACGACAGAATTGACTCTGTCACCAGCCCTTTCCCCATCCCTCCAGCATGACCTCGGCTATGGAAGCTGGATTGGTCCGATTGTTCCAGCGCAGTACTTCCGAAAGAGAGATCGCGGCTGCCGCTGAGCTGCTCGGAACTGTCCGTGGAAGATAGCTCCTCCGTAGACTCTTGCAACTCTTCGACTTCTTCGGATTGTTCGGTGGATGACTCGGTGAAAGGGCCGCCAGTCGATTCGTCCGGGAGCGGAGTGAGATACGGCATAAAGTCCGAGTAAGAAAGCTCTCGGCAAGGGGGAGAAGTGTGCTCGTCGGTTTGTGGAGAGAAAAAGTCCAGGTCTTCGGGGAGAACGGAGGTCGAGTATTCTAGGGTACACGCGGCTTCGGAGCAAGACTATGCCAAATATGAGCAACTAGAACAAGAAGCAGCTTAGACATACTCACAACCCTGGGAATGGCAGATTCATCCGACAATGCACCACCAACTTCCGAGCTCTCATCATACCATGGTCTTCCCACTTTCTCCCCCGACTCAACTGCCGTCATTCGCAAGCTGTCCGCCAATTCCAAATGCTCCGTTGACTCCAGTCTGTCCGCCCTCTCGTCCATGGATCCCAGCCCGCGCCTCTGGTCAGAGGGAGATTCCGCCGAAGCGGTAGCTGGAGGACTGCGGATCGGCGAGCCGGGGATGAGCGATGGTATTCGCGAGAGTTTGGATGTAGAGTAGGGCTGTGGTTTGGTGGGACTGGTGGAAAAGGATGGGGATGGGCGAGGAGGCGAGCCATAAGCCTGCGGGGATTGCTGGTAGAGGCCGAGAGGGTGTCGTTTGGCCAAAATAGATGGGAGGCTTGTTTGAACTTTGAAGATGGCTGCTTGGTATGAGAATCGTTATCGTCAATTGCGAAAAGACTGACTCTTGGTAGAACCGCTCTGCACTCCATCCCTCCATGGGCTGTCCATCGGCACGAACGGCTGGACCGCTGCAAACCCGATAGTAGGCGGGCGATGAAAACCCATGTTGAACGACAATGATGGCTCATTCTCCTTGTTGGATGATGTAGGAAATGCGGCGTGGGACCCGAGCTCGGAGGTGGAGGGAGTGATTTCGAGATTAACGCTGGTGGACGGGCGACGGCGGGTGGGGGTTGAGTAGGGCATGTTGGGCGATGGAGGATCGGTGTGGGGTGGCGTGCTGGACGGAGTCAGCGCATGGGCGGAATCGAGGCAGCACTCACATTCAAGGAGAGACTGGGGTGAGTAGAAGGCGACTATAGGACACGGGGAGAGACAAGAAGATATAGGAGGATAAGATGCAGATGAGAAAGCGAGATGCAAATTGCAGCAATTGTCAATCGCAAAGGATACCAAAGTCACACGCGCGCCTCCACTTTCTCTGTGCACTCCTACGTCAACGAGAGCCCATGGCCATTGAATGTATAACATACTGATACAACCGCATTCTATGCTTGCCCCTCACTTCTGGACACTATCAAACTGCCCTTGTTCTGCCAGCGCAAGATGCCCCTGTTCTGCCAGCTCAAGCTCCTTCATCACCTCCGCCTGTCGCACTCGTCGACGTATACGCTCACGCCGTATGTGACCGTGGGTAGAGGCTTCGTATCGAGCTGTGGCAAGCGCATGTGAGGCGCTGAGAGGGTGGTCAGGAGATTGTTACAGTGATACAATGGGAACTTACTCAAAGTGCTGTCGGTCTAGCATTTCACGATGCGCTTCACTTGATCCTCCCACGTGGCTCCAGTTCATATACGCCACAACTACACTCTACATCTCTGTTTAGCCCTGCCTCTCTCGCGGGGGCTAAGACTAAGAACTTACCGTCAAGCCAACAACCGCGAGAAACCTCGGATTCGACATATACCTCTCCTCAGCCGCCCCCGTATCTGCTCTCGGAGGCTCAAACCCAGTCTTGCTTTCATACGGCTTCCACCCTTTCGACCCATCAAACCCTCCCCACGCACCCTTGCCCTCATCCGAATTTCGATAATTCCTCGAGGCAGGGTTCCAAGCTGCCGCGCCGTACGTCCGACGTCTGTGTATTTCCGCCCGCATCCATTGGTCTACCGATGAAGGTCCGGGAGATGATGAGGAGGAGGCAAGGTCCCAGCCGTAGCCCGTTTTCGAGTAGGCGGAGCGAGAGGACGGTTTGGAGAGGAGGTTGTAGGCTTTGTTCAGGGTGGCAAAGTGGTCTGGAGAGGAGGAGGGATGGGACGAGTCGGGATGTAGCAGCAAGGCGAGTTTATAGTCTAGATATACATCATCAGCATTTGTGGTCAAGCGAGAGAGCGACTTACATTGCTGCTTTACGTCCTGCTGACTGGCATTTGGATCGAGAGCCATGACTTCGTACGGATTTGGAGGCCCGCCCATCTTGCCCGTCTCTGGAAACCTATACTGCTGTGATAGTGTGCTTTGCCGCCCCTTTCCCTTATTTGAGGAAGCACTCGTGGCTGACGAGTCGCTGGGCAGAGCAGCAGAAGACGCTGATCGATGGAAGAGGTGGGCGTGTTGGAGGCGTGCGCGGGCGATGCAGCGGGGAGAGCAGGGGAGGAGCATGGCGGGGGAGATAGTGGCCCAGAGAAGGTGTTGGCGAGATAGTGGCCCACAGTCCTGCGAATACTTCTGAACTTTTGAGTGCATCGAGATTGACCAGAGATTGACGGAAGACCGCCATAAGCGGGCGGCCGTCGCCGACGCCGTTCGATAAACCGTGAGATCGTGTCTCGCTCGACCTGCAACCTCGAGCTCCCAGCGACTCCCAAAATATCAGAAGAGATGTCTCTATCGCCCCAGACTCCGCGTATCCAGGTACTTAACGGACAATCCCTCAAAGCAAGCGCCAGAGCTATTCAAGTATGTAGGCACCGGCGGACAATCGTTGACATGAACGAGACACACAGCCTGCCCCTTTTTGTGGCCTATGCTTTCTTTCAGATGATGTTCTGTGACTCGCCTTACGACCTCTACTGGAATTGCCAAGACCTTCAGCAAATCTCGACACGACAAATTACAATCTCGAATGGAGAGATGACACCAGTACACGCGGCGATGGCACACGACTGCTGGCCATCATCGTCTCTCAAAGCACGCCCTTTCAACGCACAACACATCAACCAAGCAGCCTATCTTTGTGCATGGAAAGGGTCTAAGCCGATTGATCTGGAGTGCACGTTCAGAGGGAGGTCACCTTCATTGTTATTTTCTAAACTTTCTTTGCTTCCACTCTTCTGTCTGATTTCCTGCCATATTCCGGCTACTGAACCTAGTGCCATCTCAAGCCCAGTCTCCCCCCAACACGCGACCGGTACCCACCTTCAAGCCCCAGACCACTAGCACCCAGACACGACTCTCCCCTAAGGGTGCTCGCCCACCAGCCCCCTAGTTCATGATTCTCCTGCGAAATCTCATCAAATTCCTCGCCGCCTTCCAATTCCGACATCTACCCATGCGCGCCCCGCCCACTCCCCTCTTTCTGAGTCTCTTTGCCTTGTTTTCGATTTCCGCGCTCGGTGCGCCGAGCTCCATCGCCGCTACAAGCAGACCCCTACCCACCGCCTCATCCTCTTCCCTGCCTCCCATCGACGTTCTCGAGGCAAGCCACGAGGGGGCAAAGAAGGGAGAAGTTATCAAAAGCGCCAAGCTGGCTCCGGGCTTCACTTGGGGTACAGATCCCATGCGAGGGGTCAACATTGGCGGCTGGCTGGTACTTGAAGTGAGTGATCGCAATTCTTACCTTCTCAGCTGATGTCATGAGCAGCCATGGATAACACCTTCCTTATTCGAAAATAAACCAGATTGGGTGGTAGACGAGTGGACGTATGGCGAATACATGAAGACACAGAATAACACGATGGACGAGATCAGAAGCCACTGGAACAACTGGTTCAAGTATGCCGAATTAGAAGAGTGAGTTACTGGAGAAGGATATTTTAAAAGCTGACGAAAGTATAGTATAGCAGCATCAGGATTGAATACCATACGGATCCAGATAGGCTGTATGTCTGCTGGATGAGTGCTTGTCACAAGAGCTAATATGCCACAGACTGGTCAATAATCGACCTGAGCACAGACGAGCCATACCTCGTCGGCGCATACGACTATCTAAAATTGGCAGTCACTTGGGCATCTAGCTTGAACCTCAAAGTGATGGTAGACCTCCACGGCGCCCCCGGCGGGCAGAACGGATTCGACAACTCGCAAGCTATCCTCCTCTAGATCTTCTTTCACTCTTTGCTGACTTTGCTACAGAGGCATTCGCGACTCTCGTCAATGGTTCTCCAATACCACCAACCTTGACCGCACCTACTCTGCCCTATCCGTCCTCACTTCTGAATTCACCCAATCCTTCTACAACTCTACAGTGGTCGCCATCGAACTCATCAACGAGCCTTTTTCTTACAATGCGGCGGAGCTGGATGTACTGAAGGGGTTCTATCAAGGGGCGTATGGGACGGTCAGAGGAGCGGACCAGAAGGCGGGTGGAGGAGGGAAAGATGTGGCTGTGGCCATCGACGAGGGGTTTCAGGGGCTGACTACCTGGGAGTCGTTCATGCAGGCGCCAGACTACCAAAACGTCGCTATGGACACTGTACGCCCTCTTTTCATTCACTCTCTTTGTCTGACAATCATAGCACGTATACATGATGTTTGATCTTAACCTCATTGCAATGGGGTATACGGAGAGCCTGGACTGGTACTGTGGCCAAGCAAGCTTCTTAAGCCGGTCCAACAATGTTCATTGGACGATAGTGGGCGAGTTTGTCCGTACGTCTATTGTGCTTTGCATAGGATGATACTGACGGCTTGGGAAGCGGCGAACACGGACTGCGCTTACTGGCTGAACGGTCGAGGGCGTGGTGCCCGATACGACAACACTCTCAATACCACAGCCTCGTATGTCTCTCCGTAACGCCGCTTGTATTGCAACCTTTCAAGCTGAGACACTCAGCCTGGAATACCCAGGCGACTGTTCAGTCAAAACAGGAACCGACCCAAGCAAATTCTCTAACGAATACGTGCAATATCTGGCAAAGTCTTTCGAGGTCCAATCATGGGTTTATGAGCAAGCCGTACGTTATCACATGTCGTCACCTGCCACCACGAGTACTGCTGATGATCGTGATCCAGAGCGGGTGGGTGATGTGGACTTGGAAGACGGAACGAGCAGCAGATTGGTCGATGCAGACTGGCATCACTTATGGTGACCTATTCCCATACACCCCGATCTCCGTTGAGCTGACTCCAAACAGGCTGGATACCTACTCCGATATATTCAAAACCTCACGGGTAAGCGCATCACCTTTAGCCAAACATATTTTGGCGCTGATTCGATCCCAGCACACCGTGCTCGTCTTCTACTACTGCTGCGACAAGCGGCGCTTACAGCCAGACACGGGGAGCTGTGATGCTGAGGATGGTATGGCTATTGCTTGTAGTGTGTTGCTTGTTACGACTGTCGTGATACGACAGATCCCTAGACTTATCATAGATGTATCGCTATCACTTTTTGTGAATTCTTGTCGCCCTCGACGATAATGCACGGACAGACACAAGTAAGCGGCCATCCACATTGGAGTCTTCCGCGCACCTGTCTTTCGAGACTATGACAAAGATGCATTGTATGGTATAGCTTTTTCTAGAGACCGAAGCAGAACGAGATCAGAATTCTATATATGCAATAATTTGTTGTTAAGGGGTTTTTTTTAAAAAAAAACAAGACAAGGAGCAGGAACGCAGCCGCGAACGCGATCAAGAGAGCGAGAATCGAGATATCGAGAAAAAGGAGAAAAAACCTCATACTCCGCATTCCTCCCACAATCTTTCAAAACCATGTACACCAAGTAAAAGGGAGGAATGATGATACAAGAGTTTCAAAAGAAAGTAGAAGAGATGATGAGCATCAACAAAGATGTCGGAACTGTCCGCGGGAATAAATGAGAAAAGATCGTGTCGAGCTACTTTCAAATGAGAGAAAGATAGCTCAAGTGATACGTTGTGATATGTTGGTCGTCAAAAACATGCCCCTCCCTCCTCTCTGCTCCTCCTTCCGGATCGCCCCATGCATACACGGATAGAGCTTTAACAGCCATCCTTGTAGTCGTTCCTGGGGAAGTCGTAGCCCGCTTCCGCCCAAGTGGTCAAGTCTGCCATCTTCATCAGCCTCAACTCCCACAAACCAGAGAAAGATACTCACTAGGGTTGGCATAGACGTTGGCATGGTTTGCGATATAGTCCGCGGTAGGGTGGTCTTCGGGATCACACCCGACACTGATCTTGTCCGATCGCTGGTACACTCGCACATAACCTATACGGTAGTAGTTGGGCCACGTGAGATGGTCGAGGTCGACAGCCTGGAAATTGTAAGACATGGCAAGGTTGACAACCTATTCTCTTGTCAGCGGTGTCCAACAAGAGTGAGAAGTGAAGGACGTACCAAAGCCATGGGCTCTTCGGGGATGATTCTCCTGCCAATCTGCGTTATGTTGTTCCCCGCCACCGCGTCCGCATACATTGTCCAGCTCGTTGTGTTATCACTGTACCACGTGATGTACCCCCTCTCCCGCTCATCGGGATAAGCCTGGTACTCCATACCAAACATGGCATACTGCGAGTTGGTGCCGACTTGGTTGTGGTAGATATCGGTGGGGACTCGCGTGAGGGACGATACGGCTTGCTGGTATGTACCTCCGAGGTAGGTGTTCCAGTAACTGAGGTCGGTGTCGTACATCCTGAACATGGAGGTGACGTTGTTCCATTGGTAAGAGTCATCGAACGGTGCAACCTGTCCCACGTCAGCTTGTGTATCAAAGTCGAGTAGAGGGACGTACCTGGAAAGATTGCGACACTTCACCGACCTGCTCAGAGATGATGATCTGGGCTTCAATGATATCGATTTCAGGACTGGACCTGCCGACGTTGACGTTTGGTCCCGGGTGGTCTTCGCCCTCGCAAGTACAAGAGGGGGTTCGCATACCAGGAAGAGCAGAGAGCATTCCACCGTTGGAGCCAGAGGTGAGAGCAGATTCGGGGCCGGTACCGTTTGCCCAGGTTTGGTTCGCCATAATACCGACGTCGCAAGAGTCGTACGTGTAACTAGGCACGGTCAGTAAATGTCTTTTCAAAGGAGGAAGGAGGGGATGGTACGCACGGCCACATGCCCTCGGTAGTCGCACCGTAACCAGGTCGACCCAAGTTGCCCATCGTCCACATACCAGGCCAGAAACCACCGAGACCACTGGTACCAGGCAAACTGGCGGTGAACTCGATATAGGCATTCTTGTTGAAACACATCTTGTTCCAGGACTGGAGCATACCGGATTTGAAGTTGAGATCGTGGATGGGTTCTTGGGTCATGGTGAGAAGGAGATCACCGCCCTCGGTCGTGATGGCGGAGGGGTCGTACCATTCGAGATCACTGTTGAAGGGTCAGCGCGCGCGGGACGGAGCAATGAAAAGACGCACCCAGTAGGCCAGTAGTGAATGTCCATAGCAGTCCAGAAAGGATCGTCACCCTCAAAAAAAGTTCGCCCGTCCGTCTCAAACTCGTCTGAAAACACCAGTGTCCACTCATTACCATCAAACCCTGTCCTGGTGTACGCGTACTCGGGGGTATCGCTGTCGATCAAACTAGGCATACCGGGGATTTCGGGGTATTGCCCAGACGAGTTGACACCACCGAGATTGTACCCAGCCGTGCTGGATCCGGAAGAAGAGTCATCGCCATAGTAGAACGAGATGATGGGGTAGCCTGCGAAAAGCATGATACCACCGCCAGCTAGCACCGCGAGGGTGAGCGCGTTGGCCCATCCTCTCCACGACATGATGTCGAAGGGCGCCGTGAGTTCCTTCTTCTCCGTGGCGGTGAACGTGTGGAGATTGTCGTCGAGATCATCGTCGTCCTCCATGATGCCCCCATTGGCATACGCGCCGTTTGGCAAGGCGCCCTCCTGCACGCTCTGTGCGCCCGTATCGAGCTGCGCAGTGGGGCCGAAGCGGTTACCACTGCTGAAAGACGCGTAGGAGGCAGAAGGGCTGTTGGGGCCGAGGCCGCGGTGGGACATGCTGGATTGCTGTTCGTAGGAGGCGAAAGAGGAGTCGGAGAGGCGCTGGGAGATGCCGGGGGTTTGGGCGGACGCGAGGAGGGGTTCACGGCCGAGCTGGGGGGATTGGTTGCCGTACTGCATTGGCACCTGGGAGGGGCAGACGGGGAGGGGTGTGCGGTGGATGCAGATGTGGATGAGATTGAGAATGAGAATGGAGAAATGGGCTGAACCCTGCGCAGCCCCAGCGAGAATTGCGATTTGCCCCTTTTCGATTCGAGAATTTGGCTCCTGCCGCCGGTTCTATTTCTGCCACCGAAGCCAAGACCCTACTTTCGTCTCCCATGTGTACGTCGACATGCATCGTCCGGCGACTGTCCTGCATCTCTGGGGCATATCCCGGCATGGCAGCGTGCCAGTAGAGAGGGCACCCAAGGGGGCAAGGGGCGAACCAAACCGTGCCATTTCCAGCCCAAACGAGTCCCGCTACGCCTCGCGGGCTCCACTATTTAACATATATGATCTGTTCATATTTTCTTTTACCTATTTATATTATGATTACCAACATTATCATAGTGTATTGTATATAACATCATTACGTATTCTATGCAATTGCAAAGTATATATATAATAACTATACTACCCGCCAAGCCAAAGTTGTGGCGGGCTTACGCTTACCGGGAGGGGCGGCCTCAGTCTTCCCTGGCCCGGGTAGCTCCATCGACGCGTCCACGGCACTCCAACTCTTCGATACAACGCGCGTGCTTACGAGAGCCCTGAAAATGTCCCCTTCATTTGGTCCACAACGGCACTAACCAGGCGAGGCCGCCGCTGGAGTCAAGGCACAAAGTGGGGGGCGACCGTGTCGATGCAGGACCAAACACGCTGTGGTGTTGCTGATAGTTGGGTTGGTATGGCAACTGATTATGAACCCCGCATCATGGGCGGCTGTATAGAGGATCGTAATACTTGTGGCTTTGATGTCATTGCTTCCGGAAATGCCAGCTGCAATGTCGAAATAACCCTCCTCCTTCAATTGACCCAAATTGGCATTTTGACATGTTGGCGATCGAATTCGAGACAGCTCATCAGCTACTTTCGTGTTTGCTGTCTTGAGCATGTACGAGCGTCCTTGCAGTCAAGTCTTCCACAGTCACAGGGGGCCTGCTGATCAACGGCACTAGCAAGAGTAGTAGTATCATTCGTGCGATGCATCCCCACCGTGGCAAGAGTCTCACAAGACTGAATCACCGGTGACGTCCGCTTTGCTCGTGGGCGGAACCAAACAAGGCGCTGGATGTTTTTGTACCAATTTTGTACTCTGTCCGCGGGCATACCCTAACCCCTCGATACACACTCCGGTGGCCCGTCGCATGGAGATGTCTACAAGTACAGTGTACACAACCACGTGCCTGGCCCAAGCCTGTGCACGGCCCCCTGTACCTCGTTCGTTTACCCTGCCGCCCATTCGCATCTCTTTTCTCTTTCTCTTTTCTCTTTCTCTTTTCTCCCAGCTCGCTCCCTGCTCCCCTTCTGTCCTCCCACCCACCCTCTTTTCACCACACTCTTTTACCCCCATGTCCATCCACTCCCCCTACACCCCCAACCCCTTTGCGCCTCCTCCTCCCCGCTCCAGAGACTCGGGCGTAGGCGCCATCGGTGCCCTCCTCTCCACCCCCTACGACGACTCGGAGGATGAGTCCAACTATGGGCCCTCTCCCAAGCCCCCTAAGCGCCATCCTGTAGCCAGGCAAGGCCCCACTATAGGTCAGGGCGGCACGGCGGCCGTTGCGCAAAACGTCAAGAGCTTTGAGGGCGAGCTCGACGCTGGCTCTGGTCATCATATGGGGTACACCAGCCCCGAGATCCACAGCCAAGCACCATTTGGTCACCATCCGTCTCTCCAGCCGACGAACGGTCTCGGTTTGACGGCGTCCCCGCCAAAGCCTGTGCGGAGCTACTCCAACGGGCCCCAGCCAGACTACCATGTACCCATGGCCGGGCGGGTCGAGCCCCAGCGGTCCAACACTGCGCCTATGCAGCACCACTACCCTCCCCAGCCTTCGCCTCAAAAAAAACTCCAGCCGCCTGGTATCAACACCCTCCCCCCGCCCATGCCCATCAACCTCCCTGCTCCTGCGTCCCCTATCGCTTCTTTCCTCGCTGCCCCACCTTCCCCCCACTTTTCTCCCATGTCCGCTACCTCTGCCCCTTCATCTCCCGTCTTCGGCCGTCCCTCTTCTCCCTCCCCGTCGCTTGCGCGCATACCCGCCAACGCGAGAATGTCGGCGTCATCTGCTTCCATCCGCGGCTGGGACGCTCTAGCGGAGAAGAAGGCGATGTTTAGGGAAGGCGAAGATGAGGTCATGTCGCCGTTTTCGACGTCTCGCCCGAGGAACAAGCCGAGTGGGTTGAGAGAGGGAACGAGGGCGAGCGGAATGGATTTCTGGAAGAGGTTTAGTGTGGCGGACAAGTTGGATCAGGCTGAGAAGAAGGGCGGGCCGAGCTCGTATGTTCTTCTCCACCCTTTAGGGGTTAAAGCTGACGATCGGTAGCGGCTGGCTGTCAGAAGCACAGAACAACCGAGGTCTGATCAAAAAGATGGTCTTTGGCGGTCTCTTCCTCGTACGTCCCTCGTCACTTCTCCCCGCATCTCTCGTACTGACCCATGGGCAGACTGTCATCATCGTCGCTGCTATCGTCGTCATCGTCATCCTTCTAAAGCAAAAGAACGGCAGCTCCTCGTCCGACACTCAGGGCAACCTCTAGTCTCCTCCCTCTAGTCTTCTCCCTTTAGTCTTCTCCCTCTTGACTCTCTCCTTCTCTTTATCCTTTTAGCGGTTATCGGTGTTTTGTGGTTTATACCCCCTTGAAAGAGCCAGTCTAGAATCCTATAGACTTTACGGACCCTCTCTCCCTCTCATGTCTTCCTCTTGATCTCTTGTCTTTCGATGCCCTAATGTCTTTATCCCTTGTCTTTTTACGTCGACGTCTTGACGCCCCTCAGACTCTAGAGTACTCTACTCTTCTGCTTATGCCCTCCTTCGAATGTCTTTGTGACGCTGTTTTACGATCATCTTACCACTATTATCTGGTCTACATAGCCCGTTTGCTTCATATTGTATGCATCATTGTGCTTTCTGCTGCTCTATATAACTTTTGCATATGAGCACAACAAGGACAAATGTATGTTGAGGTGTCTCGACCAACTTTGGATGTTTCCGCTGTTTTCGCGGTTAGTTGAGTCGGGCGGGGGGCGCCAGTAGTATACCATCAGCTAGTAAACCTGCATCTGTGCCTTCGCCAATCGATCGCCTTGTCCGTTGTCCTTCTTTCCTCCTCCTATTATCGATCCTCGCAGGAGGAGCCAAACAATGTTACGTAATATGGGTCACTGACCACTCGTGGCCTGGCCTTTGATCAACCTTTGATCATCTTGAATCCCAGCAACACCGACACACTACCCGCCATGAACGCCCCGGTAGCATTGCTATCGACTCTGGTATCCCAGCTCAGCGAGGGCGACTGGGAAGGCTCGTGGCCTGTCTATGGAGATGATGGCGATGGAGATGGCAATGGTACTTCGCCTCTACCACCTGGTTCGGGGCCTACTCGTCAGTTTGTTGCCTGTATCCATCAATGTATGACTAGAGCTAACCTTCGTATGACAGAGACATTCAGCGGTATGTTTATCATTGTGAACGCCCGCTTGGACGACCCTCGCAAAGCCCTGCGCACAGCGTGCTCGAGTCTCAAGACATGTGCTGATGGAATATGTCTACAGGTCCTTGGTTTTCCACCCAGCTAACACTTTCATTGGCTATCGGCCTAACGAGCTTCTTGTTATTCTGTTTCCTGCGGACAAGATGGGACGTAGTCTATATGGGCCGGACGAAATTGAAAGGCGAGTCCTCTTGTCTTTGCACTGGTCTATCGCAAGCTCACTCGAATGGGGATTCGCAGACTTTTCCCCTACCCCTGCTCATGACTCTGATTCTATTCGATCATCATCTTCGAGTCGATTCTTTGGGTGGATAATACCAACGCTCAAGACGTCGGACTTTACAGTGTTGCAGACTGTAGGGCTGGATGCTGCTGTCGTGCGTTACTTCAAGTCGTCAAAGGAGTGAAGGCTGATTTGGGATAGCTCTTGAACTTTTACAAGATGGCGTTCACCTTGTTCAGTCTGGCTTCCGTTTTGGCTCTGGTCGTGCTCATCCCGCTGAATCTATTCGTCAGTCCATCTCTGTCCGCTTTGGCCTTGGTTGACACTTTCACAGCGGACCGGCTCTACGGACTCTGACCCCGACACTCCACAAAACGGAACCCTTCTTCTCACTTCTGCACACACCTACAATTCCTCCTCCCCAGCCCAATCATCCCTCTACGACCTCCTCCTAGACCCCACCACATCCTCCACCATCCACCTCATCTTCACCTACCTCTTCACATTCCTCTGCCTCTCCTTCTTCCACAGCAACTTTCACAAATTCGTGCTCGCCAAACAAGCATTCGGCCTGCAGTTGATACACTCCATCTCGGCGAGGACGGTGTTGGTGACGAATCTGCCGGCGTATTTGAGAGGGGAAAGGGCGTTGGCAGAGTATTTCGAATCTTGCAAGTGGCAAGTGGAGAGCGTAAATGTGTGCCGGCAGGTGGATCTCCTCAAGACGGTATTGGAGCGCAGGACGAGTGCTCTGAGAAAGTTGGAAGAAGCTTGGGCGGCGTGGGTTGGCAATCCCGCGCAGTTGGGTGGGTATGATCCGCATATCTACTCTGGCAAGACGACGCCTCAAGAACAGGAACAACAGACGCAAGAGCCACACGAGGGTGTGCTGGTGGATGTCGATGGCGCAGATAATGGCGATACGACTTCTCTCTTATCTGCCGCGCCGCAAACGTACGGAGACGATACTGAGTCCGACGGGCAACACCCACACGCACACATTCACATCCAAACGACCAGGCCCAGCCCTACTCTCCGCCCCAGAATACTTGGGACAAAGGTGGACGCTATCAAGCATTGGGAGAAAAAGTTTAGGTTGGCAGATGAAGAGGTGAAAGAGTTGAGACGGACGGGCAAGTTTGGATCGACGCATGCTGCTTTTGTGACTTTTGAAGATGTCCGGGATGCCGTGTGTATCTTTACCACTCGTATGATCAAAGCTGATAGGAACTACAGCAAACAGCATGCCAGGTCATCCACTTTCCCCACCACTCTCAAGTCCTCACTGTGCCCGCACCCGAACCCCGCGACGTCCTCTGGGGCCACATCTCCATGTCTTCCCGCGAAATGTCCATCCGCGACCTCACCGTCATGGCTTTCATGGCGCTCCTCCTCGCTACTTGGATTATCCCCGTGTCGTCTCTCGCGACGCTGCTGTCGTATCAGGAGATTAAGAAGGTGTGGCCGGCTTTGGCGAGGGTGATTGACAAGAGTCCGAGGTTGGCGGCGATTGTGCAGAACTCTTTGCCGTCGTTGGCTTTGATCACGTTCAACGGACTTTTGCCGTTCTTGCTTGAATGTGGGTAGTTTCCGACTCTAATTGTGACTGAGCTGACTTTGAGTAGATATGAGTTATGTGCAGGGCTTCAAGAGCCGAAGTGCTACCGAGTATTCTCTCCTCCGAAAGTAAGCTCCTCCTCCCAGTCTCACTGCCACTCGTTCGCATCACTGATTTATCGCAGATACTACCTCTTCTTGATCATCTCTGTCCTCTTCATCTTCCTCCTCACATCGACCTACTGGGCCCTCGTACGAGACCTTGTCGACACCCCAATGAAGATACCGGAGAAGCTTGCTAGGGCTTTGCAAGGGTCGAATGTCAGGAATTTTATGGTCTCTTATGTGATGCTTCAGGGTGGGTCACTTCTCGTCTGATCCAATATAACGAGGCTGACGTATGTGGTAGCGCTGGGTTTGATGCCGTTGCAGCTATTGACGCTCGGTCCATTACTCTCCCTGGGCTTTGCTCGGCTGTTCACCAAGACGCCCCGAGGTCAGTCTGTTCACGTCCAGCATCTACATTCGTTGACCTTGGAACAGACTATGCCGAAGCGAATGCTCCTCCACAGCTAAACTATGGCTGGATCTACCCCCAGGCGCTGTTGATCTTTACCATTACGCTTGTGTATAGCGTCATGAGCCCGTTGATCTTGATCTTTGGTGCGATCTACTTTGGCATAGCGTGTAAGTGTGATGGAAATGTACGAGAAACGCGCTGATGATAGCTAGACTTGGTGTTCAAGTACAAACTCTTGTTCAGTAAGTTGGCCGAATATCTACTTGTACGATGGAGCAAGCTGACACCGTCATAGTCTACTTCAAGCCATACGAATCCAACGGCGAAGCCTGGCATATCACTTTCACTCGCCTCCTCTCCGCCCTCGTCCTCTTCCAACTGTTTATGCTCGGCCTCTTTTCCCTCCGCCAAACCTTCTTTGCCTCTGCGCTGACTCTACCCTTGATCTTGTGGACAATATGGAAAAGCTGGGTCATGTTGAGTGATTTCGGACCTCTGGGGCAGTGGTTGGCGAGGAGTAGTGTCTGTGAGGTTATCGGAGGTGAAGGGGTTGGTGACGTCCTCGGATTGGAGGAGGGTATGACCAGGAGTTTATCGTGAGCATCATCCATCATCATCGAATAGTTGATCTGACCAGAGAGCAGGTTGATCAATCACAGACGGTACGCCGTCAACGACGAAACCCTCTACGTTGCTCCCTCCGATGCGCGCACCGACTACTCTCAGCCGCCAATGTCCAACTTTTACAACGGCGTTCTCAACACTGGCCGACGGCGTTATGCACACCCGGCTTTGGACGGAAGTTTGCCGACGCCGTGGTTGCCTGCTATCGCGAAGGAAGGGGAAGATGCAGGTGGAAGGGGAAGGGCGCTGGTATTGAGCTTGAGAAGGAAGGTTGTCAAAAGGTTTAGGGATGCGAGGGAGGCTGTCGTTTCGCGAAGCGGCACACCGCCGGGTAGGGAAGGAGAAGTAGGCGAGGGAGAGACGCTTTCAGTGCCGGAAGGCTGGGCCAGGGGCGAGGGCCCTTCGGGGTCGGCAGGTTCTCGCCAAAGTAGTGGTGGGACGTCGTTCGGTGCCAACCCTTGGTCGGCGCCGTCGCCTTCGAATCAAAAGGCAAGAAGCGCAGAGCTGAGAAAGAAGCTGTCGTTCGATCCGGCAAGTGGGATTATTGCGCTCCCCGAAGAAGGGAATGTGTGGGGCGATGATGATGAGCCAGAGTCGCCTGTAAGTGATCTCAATGCTTGACCAGTGAGGCAATTTGCTGACGCTTCCCTAGTCGACCTATTATCATAACCCGGAGAGAAGACGGGCAAGTAATTCGAGCCCCCTTGAGCAGGCAGGCGTAGACGAAGAGTAAAAGTCAAAGTAGAGTCATGTATATCATGTGTAGTATGCATAGCACTGTCCAGTTTGGCAAGCGAGAGAATGGGTCTCTTATCATCTGACCCTGTGTCTCGCCAAGAAGTACCGATATCAAAAAAGCAAAAACGACGGCACCCGTGGTCCCCCACCCTGATACTAACCGAGCGCTTTCCCAGTTGACTTCGGTACTTTGAAAAAGCTATGGCCGTCGATGAAGTAGGACAGTTGAGAGACTTTTTGGCAGTGCACGTGCAGAACACGATGATGAAAGATATTACGTAATACCCTGCATGAACTGTGATTGGCTGGACGGCTACTGATAGGGGTGTGCCTGACCCTGTATGTGGTAGCGTTATCTCTGGCACCAGACACCGAGAGCCGTTCTTTCGCTAATCGTCCAACCGTTATCACCCAGTGTCCTGAACCCTGATGGAGAGATGACGCTTCCAGGCCCACACGGCCCAATCACGGCCTGCAGCCTTTATCGCCCACCCGACTAACCTGATACCGAGACGAGAAACGAGAGCCACAAATACGTACCGTAAAAATCTCAAGCCCCATCTTCTTCTTTGCTTTTCTCCCTCCATATCCAGTAACATGTCAACAGCAGTCGGAAACATCCTGCCACAAGGCGCGGGCTACGGTGTCGTCGTGAGTAGCATCAGCCCCATTGAGCGACATCAGCTTATTCCCACTAGATCGGCATGGGTCTCTTTTTCAGTGTCCTCATGGTCAGGTCAGTTGTCAAATTTGAGCAGTCAACTAGTGCATCATTGACACCCCCGGAAGCATCACCAAACTGCAAACCCGGTACACCTCCCACAAAACTTCTTCCGCGGAAGAGTTCAACTCGGCTTCGCGTAGCGTTCCGCCAGGATTGATTGCGGCTGGTATCGTTTCTGCGTGGACATGGGCGTGAGTTTTGACGTTGTCTGGTTGGGCGATGACTAATTGCTGGTCTGTGATTTGTTATGGTACACAGTGCTACTCGTGAGTATCTTGCTTGACTGATGCGATGAAAACGGTGCTGACGTTTCTGCTAGTGTGTTAGTCTTTCAAATTTTTTCAACGTCACACTACATTAGCTCACAAACATTGCAGTACAATCTAGTGCCACAGCATACAGGTATGGGGTTAGTGGGCCTTGGTGGTACGCCTCCGGAGCCGGTATTCAAGGTGAGTCGCTTTGACACATTTTCTCGTCAGCGCTGACGCTATATAGTTCTTCTCTTTGCCATGCTTGCCAGTAAGCTCAAGCAGCACGCCCCATTCTGCCACACGTAAGTCGCGAGGATGTGAAATGGCCGTCACTGATGCAGGGCGTAGCTATCTCGAGATCATCCAGGCCCGATGGGGTACCGCCGCCCACTTGGTCTTCATGTTCTTTGCCTTTGCTACCAACATTATCGTCTCGAGTACGTTCCTTCCCCGTGCTCTAGGGATAGCGCTGACATAAACATAGCAATGCTCATTTTGGGCGGTTCCGCTACCGTCACTTCGCTCACCGGCATGAACACTGTCGCTGCCTGTTTCCTCATCCCCCTCGGTGTCTCTATCTACGTCTTGACCGGTGGTATGCGAGCCACCCTGATCGCCGACTACTCTCACACCCTCGTGCTTTACTGCATCCTCATCTCCTTCGGCCTCGTCGCCTACGCCACCTCCCCCATAATCGGCTCCCCCAGCAAGATGTGGGAAATGCTCCAAACAGCATCCACCAACAACCCCATCGACGGTAACGCCCAAGGATCCTACCTCACCATGCGCTCCAGGTCGGGTATCATCTTTGGTGTACTCAACATTGTGGGCAACTTTGGTACCGTTTTCAACGACCAGGCGTATTGGCAGAGGGCTATCGCGTCGGACCCGAGGACGAGCGTCAAGGCATTCTTGATGGGCGGTGTCTCTTGGTTTGGTATTCCGCTCAGCATCGCGACCTCGCTCGGTCTTGCGGCTATTGTTCTTGCCCATGGTGACAACCCTGTCATCACCCTCACCTCTGACGAAGTTGGCGCCGGTCTGCCTGCAGTGAAGGGTATGTCCTCCTCTCTCTTGTAAGACTCTAAGCTAATCGAGATGTAGCCGCGGCCGCATTGATGGGCAAATCAGGAGCCACAGCAATGCTCATCCTCCTCTTCCTTGCCGTCACTTCTGCCGCCTCTGCCGAGCAGATCGCCGTCTCCTCCCTCTTGACCTACGACGTCTACGGTACCTACATCAACAAGAACCCTTCAGAAAAGCAGATTCTCTGGGTCTCGCACTTGTGCATTATCTCATATGCCATCTTTATGGGCGCTATCGCCACCGCTTTCTTTTACATTGGCGTCAGCATGGTGAGTCTCTTTCTCCATTTTTGTTGGTTTAGGTACTGATGGAGAGCAGGGTTATTTGTACGAACTCATGGGCTGTATCATCGGCAGCGCCGTCGTCCCCATCGCCCTCTGCATCACCTGGAAAAAGACCAACGGTATGGGTGCATGCGTCGGCGCCGTGCTCGGTTTCGCAGCAGGCGTCTCCGGCTGGCTCGGTATTACCGCCCACTTGAACGACGGCGTCATCAACGTCACTACTACCTTTGGCGACTATGAGATGCTCACTGGAAACCTCTTGTCCATCGGTGTGGGCGGTATTATCACGGTCATCTGGTCGCTTGTCAAGCCTGCAGACTTTGATTGGGATATCACGAGGGCGATCAACCAGAAGGAAGACTTTACCTTGACTGAGAACGACAAGGCGCCCACTCCTCCGGCTTTCGAGAGTGAAAAGGAAGGAGGTCAGAAGGAGGGTGCAGAGGCTGCGTATCAGCAGGGAGGTGAGGGGTATGGCGCGGGGTTGGAAGCGACGAGGACGAGGACGGTGGAAGAGCAGCTGACGGATATGGCGCTCGAACAGCAAGAGCTCCAGCAGGCTTTCAGGTTTGCAGCCCTGACTGCACTGTCTTTGGTCTTCATCCTCATCATTGTAAGTCCCTTCTGCTATCCGACAAAGACTCGAGCTTACCTCGTGTAAAGGCCATCCCCCTGCCCCTCTTTTTCAGCTCATACGTCTGGCCGGTACACGGCTTCACAGCTTGGGTTGTCATCACACTTCTCTGGCTCTTTGGCGGTCTTTTCATGGTCGGCATTTTCCCAATGTGGGAGGCGAGGAAGGGTTTGATCAAGGTTGCTGGTGGGATCTGGAGGGATATAACCCGAAGGGGATGATTGATATCCTCTTGTATTTTTTTGTGCGTGTGAGAGGGGAGGTGAGAATACTCTCATGATCAAGTTCCGCATTATTGGTGTATTCGTCGTAAATGATGATTTTGGGGTGTTTGTAGTAGCGATTGTTGGGTATGGTCAGAAGTTCTATTATCAAAAGATGCTCGTGATATAATGCATCAATATAACTATGGCTTTCACTTCAGATTGTTGCATATTTCCTCTACTTGTTACGACAAGAAGACAAGCCATATTCTTTTCTATCCTGTTCTATATTCCCTACCACGGACACTTGTAGTAGATCTCTTCTTCTGACGGGTCTGATCTACTCCTTCTTGGCCTTGGCCTCTTCCTCTGCCTCCCTCTTTAAAGCCCTCTTGCACGCGGGCCTGTATATCACCAGCTCCGAATCTGCTTGGACCTGAAAGAGGCAGAATAGAAGCCATACCTAGCGAGCACAGTCTCGTGCCACTTGCGCAAGTTGGGTCCAATAATGTAATCATCAAAGAGTCCCATGTTCTTCTCGGGCCCGGCGAGTAGGTGTCACGGCCGAGCTGGGACGCAGCAGGGGAGGGGACGGGAAAAGGTGTTTTTGGAGGGGAAAAGACCTTTTCGGTATTATCGCATAAGGAAAGAGTAGAACAATTGAGATATGAATTGAGTATGTACACCGCTCCTTCAACCATCCACACAACTCAGCGCCAATGCCACTTCAGGGAATTACTACGTGTGACAGTAGGAAGTCGATGTTGAAGAACATGATAAACTGTGGTTTTGTGTCAGTGGTGGGCTCGAAGGGTGGATAGAGCGGGAACTTACGTCGCCTCTCCGGGTTTGTCGGTGTTTGAGAAGAAGGGAGAGTCTTGCTTGGCCAGCTGGGATTCCGCCTAGAAAGATTGTGAGCTGATGATACATGTGTAGCAAGTCGGCAAGCTCACCCTACTCACCTGGGCCCGAGCCTCATACTTCTGCACACCCTTCTTCTCATTCTCATTGAGTTCGGGCACCGCATGTCTGCCATTGACAAAAGCAGGCGCAGTCATAGCGAGGTTACGCAATCCCGGTAAAGATATCCAACTGACTCCCCTCTGTAAAGTGACTCCAAAACACATCCCCATCGCTCTGAGGCACCTGTACAGCGAGTTCTCCCTTCTTTGATGCCTCTCGGACTTCAGGAAGAGAGAGGAGCTTTTGGATGATGAAGGACGATTCAGTAAGTGCTTGGCCGTTGAGCACGAGAGCAGGAGCCTTGCCGAGGGGATTAACCTCCTTCAACCAGTCGGGGGCCAATAGTGAAGGAATGCGGAAGTGAACTTTGACGTCGTAGGGGAGGTTGAGCTCTTCGAGTGCCCAGAAGAGCCTGTTGGTAGCGGGACAAGTTGAGGTGGTGGAGGGTGATGGAGGACATGGTGGCTGGGTAGACGGAAACACGTATGCATGGGTATATAAGCAGCTATGGGATAGAACGATGCCGGCTTTTGAAGATCTCCGTGGCCGTCCATCGCCTTATGCTCAGCTTATGCTTGATACGATATATCGCTACATAACACGGCAGCCGACTTGTTGGTGATCCGGAGAGGTTGGGTGGAGGCAGGCACGCGGCGGAGACCGCCGATCTCCGCATCTCTCACCCCTGCCAAAACAACCGAAAAACAACAAATGTTTATACCACTTCTTCTTTGGACCAAACAATCACAATACATCAACATGGACGGCTGGGATCTCCCTATGAGCTTTGGTAAAAAGTCCAAGGCGGGTGGGCCTAATCTCAAGGCCAAGGTCGAGACTACAAAGCGTGCAGAGGTGCGTCTTGCGTCTCTTCTGCTGTATATACTGACCATCTTCGTACAGCCTGTCCCTAAAGTAGAAAAGAAGCAAGAGCCAGAACCATCTATCCAAAAAGAATCTGAGAAGGCAGCGGAAGATCAAGAAAGCGACGACGAAGAAATCGGCCCAGCGCCGCCTACGACAGGAAAGCGCAAGGCAGAAGACGACGATTCTTCAGACGACGACTTTGGCCCCGAAGACGACGAAGACCGCACCCCAGTCACCCACGAAATTGTGTTGAAAGACCATACCAAGGTCGTCTCAGCATTGGCGGTGGACCCGTCGGGCGCGAGAGTGGCAACCGGGTCGCATGATTATGATACCAAGATTTGGGATTTTGGAGGTATGGATCATCGACTGAAGCCTTTCAAGAGCTTTGAGGCCAATGGGAATTATCATGTGCGTCTTTCTGTTTGAAGTTGGATTCCCATTGACGAGGGTGTAGGTGCACGACCTGTCATACTCGTCAGATGGACAGCAGTTGCTCGTCATTTCCGGAACTGTCGTCCCTAAAGTCTTCAACAGAAATGGAGAAGAGGAGAAAGAATACAACAAGGGTGATGTATATCTGAGAGATATGAAGAATACCAAGTGCGTGGATAGTGACTCGCAGTGAAGACGGGCTAATGGATGAACAGCGGTCATGTCGCCGAGATCAATCGAGGAGCATGGCATCCGACAGAAAAGTCCATTTTCCTTACCTGCTCCAACGACTCTACCCTGAGGTAAGCATCATATGACATCACGTACTTTGTATGCTAAGGTCAAGCAGAATATGGGATACCTCAGTACTTCGTAAACAAAAACAAGTCATCGTCGTCAAATCCAAAGAACGAGGTGCGCGTACAAAGGTCACTGCATGCGCTTGGAGCCCGGATGGCAAGTGGATTGCTGGAGGTAAGTCTTTCTCATTCCCTTCCCGACAAGAAACTGACCATGGTCTGTAGTATGTTTGGACGGCACCCTCCATATCTGGGATACCAAATCCAACTTTGCCCGACCAAAGTACTCTACGGAGCACGCGCACCCAAAGAATACGGAAACGACCGATGTGGCATTTACGAGAGACGGGATGAGGGTGATCACCCGCGGAGGCGACGATACTGTCAAATGTGAGTGACATGCCCTGCTTGCTGGAGCACAGGAGCTGACAGGGTACAGTGTGGGATATCCGTTCGCTCAAAAAACCGCTCGCCGTCGCGGAAGGACTGACAAACCTCTATCCCGAGACAAACCTCGCCTTCTCTCCCGATGGACAACAGATCCTCACCGGTGTGTCTGTACCAAAGGGTCAGAAGGGTAGTGTGGTGTTTTTGAACAGCCAGACGCTGAAGGAGGAGCGGAGAGTGGTGATTGGAGAAGGAAGTGTGGTTCGGGTATTGTGGCATTCAAGAATCAACCAAGTGCGTATCCCCCCAATATTGAATCTCAAAAGCTGACAGAGGCATAGATATTCGCAACCACCTCTACCGGCGCAGTCTACGTCCTCTACTCCCCTCACTCCTCTATACACGGTGCCCTCCTCCCCCTCGCCAAAATGCCCAAAACCGCACCGCGCGACCCATCCTACTCATCCGCCGACCTCAAGCCCGTCATCTTCACCCCCGATGCTCTGCCAATGTACCAAGACCAAGGCTACCGCGAGTCTTTGCATCAGAAGGAGAAGAGGGCGAAGAAGATGAAGCCAGAGGAAGGTGTGAAGGGGGTCGGGAGGGGAGGAAGGTTGGGGCAGAGTGAACAGCAGAGTTTCGTGCATAGCATGTACCCGGAGACTCTCAAGTTTGAGGATGTGAGTGGCTTACTTGTCGATGATCATTTTTGGGCTGTGCTGATGCTTCTTTAGCCGAGAGAAGCGCTTCTCAAGTATGCAGACAAGAAAGACGAAGATAAGGAAGAGTAGGATCATTTTTTGGAATGCAGCCATCCTCGGAATACTCGTCCAGCACTCCCCTTCCCCTATATGACTCCTTCACCGCGAACAATAGCTGCGCTTCCCCTTCCTGTTACAGACAGTCAGAACATACCACGATCAGGTCAGAGAGGCATTATAGCATACCACTTTATCCCCTTGGGAAGGCGCTTCGTCTTCTTTGTCCCTTTGCCAAGAAGCACCTTGAACACGAAGGGAACATGCCGCTTCTCCATCACCGCTCCCCAGTAGCAATGACTACCATTGTAGCTAGCGCCAGTGCGACCTCGTCCCCAACGTACGATATGTACTCGACAAAAACCTTGTTCTCGCTAGGCTTGTCCTTGGGCTGGGAGAGTAGGGGTGCTGAAAACTGCCGGGACAGCTGCCTTCCTGGTACCAAGGCACCTTTTACCATCCAAGCAAGCATGGAGAGTCGGCAGCGCTCTTGTACTTCCAAGAAACGATGGATCTTGGCGTCGCGAGTAGAAGGTGGCCTCCCTTAATGCCGATTCCTACGTCTGTACCTATTCTTCGGCTGGACTCCGACAGTGCGGCTTCGGCGGCATGATATCTTTTCCCAGGGCAGTAGAAGGGGACTCCCGAGAACTGATAAAATGCCTCGTTCTTAATGCGTATAGCGATGCAAGGCCCGAACGCGGGAACTGTGAGGCGACAGAATGACCATTGGCGCGTCGGGGGACGTGATTGACGATGCTTATTTTATGTTTGAGGGGGTAGATGCCTGGTTTATGGAGACTTGTTGCCAACACATAGATATACAATTGAAGCAGCACGCAGAATGTCGTACAGGAGGGGACGGTTCCAACCTGGTTCCAAAGTTGTCAACAAACGAACCAACCGTCGGGCATCGCCGACGCTGTTGCGTCATCAATATTTCTTTTGGGACTCTAATTTGTATTGCATCTCCACCGACATCCAGGAGTCCCCAAGAATACTCACCATGTCCCCCTCCATCACTCTCCACCACCTCGACGTCTCTCGCTCAAACAGGATCTGTACGCCTCCCATCCCTCCCCCGATCACCTCTAACCTCCCTGACCAGTCTGGGCCCTCGAAGAGCTCGAGCTCCCCTACAACGTCCAAGTCCACTACCGCCTCCCCACCCGCTCCGCCCCTCCCTCCCTCAAACAGATCTCCCCCCTCGGCCGCGCCCCCGCCCTCACTATCGACGGCAAGCTCTACACCGAATCATCCTTCATCGTCCACTCTCTCCTCGCTCTCCCTGACGTCCGAGTGCGGGCGAAGAAGGGAGAAGTGCAGGTGCAGGTGGAAGAGACGGAGGGCGATGTGTTTTGGAGTCATTTCGCAGAGGGGAGTCAGATGAATTTGTTTCAGGCGTCGGCTACTGTTGGAGCCACGTCGGCTGGGTGGCTTAAGGGAGCGCCTGGAGTGCCCGAGCTGAGTGAGGAGGCCAAGAAGGGTATCCAGCAGTACACTGGGTGGTTGCAGGTGCGCTTTATCTCTTTTGGGAGGGTAGATGACTGAAGGTGATTGTAGGAAGCATATCTCAAACCCAACATCCAGTCCACCATCGACTTTGTCAGTTTTTCCCTGCACCTCAAGTCAAGCCTTTCAAAGCTGACGTATCTCCCAGGCCGAGAATGCTCTTGCTAAACAAGACGCCCCCTTCTTCTCCGGCACCGACAAGCCCGGCGAAGGCGACGTTCGTCCCATTTCCCTGAACCCACTTCCTGAGCTGACTATCATTTCCAGTTCTTGATGTTCTTTGCCATCGACTCTCTCCTCCAAGGTACCCGCAAAGACGCTGGATTTACCGTTGGCCCGAACCTCAAAAAGTGGCATGAGACTGTGCTTGCGAGGCCTGCGGCGCAGAGGGGGTTGAAGAGGCAGGCGGAGGAGGAGGAGAAGCAGAGGGGCAAGGCCAAGATCTAAGTTGACCTGTGCAGTAGTATAGAATGAGTGCAGATCATGGGGAACCAGCTGAATGCCCCTAGTGTCCCCGAGAGCTGGCTCTGTACATATCAGAAGGATAGAAATGCAAAAATAAACGTTCGAATTGGCGACAGGTTGCATCCAAGGATCGCAAAGCTGGAACTGTATCCGGGGACCTGTCATTGTACAGAAGATACATGCTTCTTTCTCTTATCGTTGATTACGGAAAACACCTCCATCTTTACAAACGACTTTGTAGTCAAGCTCGAGGAAGCTCGACCACCTGATCCACGCCGTCATACTCGGGCAGATTGAGTCCATACTTTTCGGACAATTCACTATCGTAGACTCATTAGCTACTCGTCTTCAGCACATTTGAGTACTCACTCAGGGATAAATCTCCCCCCAAGCCAATGCCTCCCCTTGAACCCCTTCACCCCTTCCTTCGGCGCCGTCAAGCTGATCAACACCTCCGGTTCAAACGTCTCCACCGTCTCCGTCTTTCCATCCTCATCCTCTTGCGTATACAGCGGCTGAGGCCCGTCGGTAACACTCCACCCCGAGGGGATGTCTACAGAGACGATAGGCAGTTTTGCACTGGTAATCGCCTTGAGCACTTGGTCGAACGGCTTTCTCAGGGGAGGGTGGAAGGAAAACCCGAAAATGGCGTCCAGAACCACATCACTCTCCTTCAATGCCTTCTGGAACCCTTCGACATCTTTGATGATTGGGATCTTTAGGTTCTCGCATTGCGTGACCAGGCGCTGGAGGAGGTCTTTGGAAGAAGGTTTGGGGAGGTAGACGGTGGGTTTGTAGGCAAAGTGGTGCAAGTGACGGGCTGCTACTAGACCATCTCCTCCCTGAAAGCTTCAATCAGCTTGGGTTTGAGACTTATGGGATGAAGGGGTACCTGGTTGCCGGGTCCACAGGCTACCATGAGTCGGCGATGTGATTTGGCCGGATAGCTCTTTGCTAGTGCTTGGGCACAAGACAGACCGGCGAGTTCCATCAGCTGCATAATAATCAGTACGAGTATCCACTTGAAGATTGTTCCGCTCACTTGGTCGATGGAGAAGGCGCCGTGAGGACCCATGAGCTCCTCGTCAATCTACTCGTGGAATCGTGGTCAGCTTGTGCGCGAAGACAAAGGCCAATAACCGACTCACCTGTTGAGCAAGCTTCTGGCTGATGTATTTGATGGACATAGTGAGATGGTAGAGCAGTAAAGTGATAGCTGAGGATTGGCTGAGGAGAAAAGAGACGACTCCAGCGCGGACGTCAGAAGTGGAGGCCCACTTTACGTAACAGGAACTTGTCGCGAATTTCTGAAATCAGCAGATCAAGTTGTTGACCAAATCTCGAACAGCACGCAATTCACTCAACACCTCAGTTTGGGATGTCTGGAGTCAAGAGAAAGAGGGCAGACCTCCAGGAGGCTGGTATCCCTCCAATCATCAGGCCAAAACCCGGCACCAAGGCCTTTGCGTCGGGCAAAGCTGTCAAGGATGGTCTTGACACTGGTTCACCGCAAGGTATGTCTTTGCTCTATACCACTGCCTTCGCTGACACTGTGACAGCTTTCGTATCTTTCAGGCAGCAGATCGTGACTCCCCATTCCACTCTTCCCCTCGCCATCACGCACCCTACGGTCATCATCTTGCAACATTACTTGGATGTGTCGCCGACTTGTGATGAGATCTTTAGAGCTTGGCAGATTGGAGATCAGGTATATAATATCCAAATATGTGCTGGAGAGGGTCTAATAATGTGTGCAGACGAAAAGCGAACAGCAAGTCCACGCTGCTGTGGAACTCTTGTCCGAAATCATCCAAATCTTGACGCCTATACCCTTCTTCCGGTCGTCTGTTCTTGGTCTTGTCAACAAGATCATCTCTCAGTCTGACCCTTACCATGACTACGTAAGGCCTATGTTCCTATCCCCGGACCTTTATTGACTCTTCTCTAGATCAACCACCTCATCCTCTCGGCCAAGAAAGACGACGCCTACCACGGTCTCCTTCTCGCCTCAGCCGCCATGGCTGTCGACCCTCCTACCGTCCTCCCTTCTTCCTCCTCTTCCTCTGGTCGCATCGGTATGAAGCTCTGGAGCACCCTGGTGGAAGGCGGATCTGTGAGAAACTTGGGCAAGCAGATGGGCATGAGGAGACGAAACAAGGATGGCATGGTCGCCTATGGCGAGAAAGATCCCCTCGACAAACCTGATATTCGACACCTCATCCTCCGCTTGATCTCTCCCCTCTTCTCCACTTCGCCCTTCCAGCCCCACGCCCGTTCCCTCTTGCCACCCCTCTACTCCAATCTCGCCTCCGATCCTCCCATCACCATCTTCCGTGTCCTCTCTTCCCTCTGGGCGGCCATAACCTCCCAGTCTGGGGGTTTCAACAGGCGCGTGAGCTTGATCTTGTTCCAGGAGAGGAGCATTGAGGCTTTGTGGAATTTGCTGGGAAATGAGAACGTAGAAAAGACGTCGGGAAAGACGGTGGGAGAGTTGGTGTACTCTTTCTTGATCGGTATCACCGCGACCCCCGGGAAGGGTGTCTGCTTTGTCGATGAGGGGTGGTACCCCCGTCGAGCCGAAGGAGACAAGAAAGATGACGAGAGGAAAGAGTCGTCCAACGACGCCTGGCGAAAAGGTCTCCATAACAGGATCTTAGGCAACGTCGTCAGAAAAGTCGGCACACAAGTCGTCGATGAAGACGGGATTGTGGGAGACTGGATGATCGGAGTGTTTGAAGCGTGTCCCGAGTTGGTGTCGGGTTACTGGCCCCACTCTGCGCTCGCCCTCGACCCTCGGCTGAACCCCAGGTGGACAGCTACCATGGCCTACGTCGGGCGACTCATCTCTCTGCCTTCTCCGCCCCTTCAGACTTTCCGGGTCCCAGCACCCGCAGGTACCGACCCGTCTTTGTCTCCTTTCCGACCCGAACCTCCCCAGATCTCTACCGTCATTGAAAGTATCGTCCCCTCTCCCTTGACCCGAGCGCACTTGATGAAGGGTCTTCAACATACCGAAGGCGTCGTCCAGTATACCACTGCCGTCACCCTCTCCCGCGCCCTCTCCAAACTTTCTCAAGTGCTTCAGCTCTTTTCGACTATCGAGACTGAGTTGTTCGGCGCCCACCCTTCTCCCGCCAATGCTTGGGCAAGAGGAAAGAGAGAGCTGGAGATGGAAGCGAGGAAACGAATCCCAGAGCTTAGCGTTATCATTGCCTTTGCGCAAAAATCTGCTACCATGGCGCCTGCCGAGCCTGAAACCGACGAGGAGCTTGCTTTAGCTACAAAATCCACCATGCTCACCGAGTCTGCCCTCCGTATCTTCTCCCTCTGCAACCGCGCCCTCCCCAGTATGTCCTCCGAACTCAAATTCGACGTCGGACGACTGCTCGTCTCGTCTTCCAGCACGAAGCAGGAGAAGAGGGATGCGCGAGAGGCGAGAGAGGGAAGTGTGATCAGTGACAGTGGAAGTATCAAGTCTGCTGGTACTGTCGGTACCGCTGGTATGGGAGGAGGTTTCGGTACAGGACGAGGGGACGTTAGAGGTTTTGAAGCGCTGAGTCAAGTCCACGTCTTGGAGCTCTTGGGCGAAGTGCGAGATTGGAACTGGACAAACAAGGCCGCAGGCTCGCAGTTTACCTACCTCTACCACATCCTCTTGCTCCATCTCTCCACCCCTCAGCCCGTCACTCTTTCCAAGACGACATCTCTCCTTTCGCACCTCCTCTTACCCACACTCTTGTTTGAACACGACCCGTCAGAACTTTCCATCTGGCTCTCTGCGATGCCGCGAGGGTCTAGGGAGAACTACGGTCCCATGCTTCTTGTCCAACAGATCCATCTCTTGTCCTTCCTCGACGACTGTTTCCGACGATGTCTCAAAACGCCGTATCGATACATCGAGGAAGCTTCCAAGTTGATTGAAACATCAGGCTGGCAGTCGGGCAATAGAGAGATGGTCAGCCCGCTTGTGATGGCGATATTGGAGCAACTGTCGGCCAAGATCATGGGGCAATTGATTGCCACTGAAGCGGCTTGCATCGTCTTCAACTACTTGCGCCGTGTGATCCTCGGTCTCGCTGGAAAGCAGGGCAATCTGTCCTTCTTGGACAGGGTAGTGGCCAGGTTGGATGAGATTGTCGAGAAGGCAAGGGAGGCTGGACAAGGGAGAATCGGGTTGGCCGAGGTTGTACAAGTCATCAGGAGGAACGTGGATGTCACTCGGGGTAAGAAGGGCAGTGAAGTGCCGGGGGATGTCCCTCGACTGATGGACGAGCCCGCTTGGGCATCAAAATCTTTCGAGACCCAAAGCCTGGAAACATTTTCTTCAGAGACCCTTCTTCCTCTCATCGCCACTTCCGACAATGCGTCCGCCCAGAGGCACGCTACTTTTTTGCTTCATCTCAACGTCTTTAGAAGCAGCAAAGGCAATGTCCCAGCGGCTTTGGAAGTGTTTGTGAAGCTATTTGAGAAAGTGGGAGGGAAGGAGGAGGTGGATATGAAGAAGGCGGTGTTTGGTGATAAAGCTTTGCGAAAGTTGGTGTTGAGCGACAAGGGCGATGAGTATAGGGCTGGTACGTCTATCTTTACTATCTTGACTCTTGTACCTTGTACTGACCTGTACCAGCTATCAACGCTCTGACTGAGCATCTGAAGCTTGGCAAATCTACCGACGAGGAGATTGCACAGAGCTTTGTGGAAGAATGCTTGGGCATGTTGAAGGACGACAAGAAGGGCAAGAAAGCTCCCGAAATCCTTAGCTTGCTCCGACCTTGGACTACCTTCCTCTCTCCCTCACAGGCTACCCAAGCTACCGAGACTGTGTTTGCCTTCAAGAAACCCCTCGCCCCTTCACCGTCTATCACTCCCATCCTGTCCGATATCATCACCGGTACGCAATCGCCCACGTTTGCCATCAAGCATCTGCATGAGCTTGGCAAGCTCGGTGTCGTCAGTGCTGTGGAGAGACTATTGAAGGGTGCCGAGAAGAGCAAGACCGGGTATGCCGAGCTGCTTGGTCTTGGAATCTCTTCCGAGACTGTTAAATACCTCATGTCTGAAAGCACAGACGAAACATTGTCGCTCCTCGCCGAGCTTGTCAAGACTGTTCCGTCTGCCGCCCAGGCAGTCCAGCCTGTCTTGAGTGGAGAGCTGAAAGACGAGAGGTTGTTGCTCGTCGTCGAGGCTCTGCTGGACTTGGATCTACAAGTCGAGGGTGTCGAGACAATCGCGCAGCTGGCTTTGCAGAGTCTTGCTGCGAAAACCAAATCATTGGCTGGATCCGCTACCCAAGTACTCGTACTTCTCTCCAGCACCAACAGCAACGAAATCAACAACGCCATTGGTCAAGTTGAGCTCTCCTCGTACACTCCGGCCATCGCTAGCTTGACAAAGCAACTTGCTATCGAGCTGGCAAGTACAGCAGAGCTGAAGCCAGCTGTGAGCCATTTGATCGGTTTGGGGTTGCAGTATGCGGTCAGAGTCTGCTCCGAGCTGGGCGAAATCCCTGCAGGTACCCTGACTGCCCTCGTGGATATCGGTAAGTGATGGCAATCCAGATAAAAAACGTGTGCTAATCCTCTTTCAGCTGATGCTGTCTCTGCGACGGATCGAGATTACTTTACCATTCAACAAGCCCTCGTAGAGCCTGTCATCACTGCTGTCGTCCAAGATCGTCTGGATGTTGATGAGGCTGCGAACCTGGCGGTCGTGCTTGCAGGCCATGTAGAGCTCAAGGTGCATACGGTAAAAACCTGTGAAATAGACCGACGCTGACTGTATCGTAGGCAAGTTTCATTCGACAACAGCTGCAAGCCCTCTACAGCACCAAGGCGTACACTCGCAGCACCACTACTTCCTGCCCTCCTACTCTCCGACTCAACTTTGTCCGACTCCTCCACACCCTCTTCGCCGCCTCAACATACACTTCATGTCAACCTCCCTTCGTCGAACCTCTCGTTCTGCTCTACCGAGGTACCATGTCTGAAGCCGACAGGCGCATCCTGCACATGCTGCAGCTGTTCGAAGGCTACAGGAAGATCTCTGTGGCAAGTGTCATGAGATTTTGGAGTGCTTCAGGTGTCTTGGGAATCGGAGGCAAGTCTTTGGACGCATTAACGAGTTTGGACCCTCAAAAGGTCTTTGCCACTTGTCAAGCGTATCCTCTGCGACGCACGTTGAGGAACTGGGGCAAAAAGTCTTCCAATGCGGAAGACGGTGAAGACATCTACGATCCTGTTTTCGTGACGGCCCTCTTCGTGGCCTCAATGTCGGAGAAGATGCACGGTCTTGATTGGGTAGAGGTGTTGAGGGGTAACGCTATTGGTCTGGTGACATGCGGGCTTGCGTCTCGAGACAAGGATGTCCGAAGTGTATCAAGCTTTACTCTGGCCAAGGTCATGAGCTTGATCGAAGTGAGTGGATCATGATTGGCGTTTAAATACATACTGACAAAAGCAGATCACGCCGTTCCTCGAGAGGACTCAACTCATCTATACCATGCGACTGCTCCGTCACGCGCTGCCCTCCCAAACTTCCCGTCTACCAACCCTCACCACACTATTCTTCGCCTACGCCATTCGAGCCATTGCCAACCCTGCCCATTTCCTCTATCCTATCACGACCCGATTCCTTTTGCAAAGGTCCGTCTTTGATATTGAAGATACTCCAATGCTGTACGGGATGCTCTATGCCAGTGGCGAGTTCTGGAAGAGAGAGCGAGGATGGATGATCAGATTCTTGAAGGAGGGTATAAGGAGTGAAGCTGTAAGTTTGCGATCATTCCCAGAAATTCTTCAGCTGACCGTCATTAGGACTGGAGAGTCATTAGAAGGCGAAAGGTCTGGACGCTTCTGGCAACCATGTTTGCAGAGTCGCTCGACCCCGGATTTAGACGCGGTGTCCTTCAGGTACGCCACCTCTGACCCCCATCGTACCCATACTGACTATATTGTTAGACAATGTCCAACATCGCCCTCATCCCCGCTGCCACATCATCGCTCGTCCTTCGAGATGGTCTCCTTGTGTGGATCAACATGCAATGGACGACCGTCACGTCACACTTTGCCTCTCTTCCTGCGTCTTCTAAATCAGGCGCCAAGGGCCAGAGGGCTCAAGCGTGGGAAAAGGAAGAGAAAAAATTGCTTGTGCAAATGGCCGAGGCGGCGATCAAGGTCATGAGCTCTGCCGAGAAACAGAGGTTGAAGGAGGATGGGAAGGGCGTCCGAGGTTGGATTCTGCAAGCCGAGGAGCTCGTGAAGAATATCATCAAGGGCAAGTCAACTTTCAGTTCATTGAAGGTACCTGCTGACTCGACTCGACTACAGACGCCGACTTTGAGCGACTTGAATCCTTGTCATCTATCGCTTCTGAGATCGCGCAGATCCCCAGTAACGGAGTCACCACCAGACTCTTCCATCTATTGGTCAAGAGGCTGGAATCTCTTGATGGTCCATCAGCTGCAATTCATGTCATCACCGCCAACCTCTTCGAGATAGGCCTCACTTTCAGTGTACCCGACTTGAAGGACGATGGAAGCTTGAGAGAGGCGCTGTCTTCTGTCAGTTGGCGCGTGGAACGCGGAGATGGCGGGAGTCAACTGAGGGACTGGGTACGGAGAGAGAGGCGTCTGGAGGAGCTGTCGGTGTAAGGGCGGCTCGTAATTTCGCATCGGTGCATAGATCTTGATACAAAGCAGTGCCTTCTTGGCTCCATGTACTACTTACTGATTCTAAACATCGGCCATCTGCGCACTTACTCTTACAATACCCGGGTCCATTTATAGGTAGGTATTGTTGAGCTTCCTTGACGCTTCCGAGTAAGAGGCAACATGTGACCGACGTTCCCTTGTACATACTGACACGATGCCGCACTCTCAAAGGTATCAGCCTTATCTCCACGATGGCCGAAGCCCGAGGACCACCCTGTTCAGCTCAACTAATAATCCATATAAATATATGATACACTTTCTAACAAGATGTGGGGGCAGTCGTACACATAATGATCACCCATGAGAATCGTCAACAATCGTCGCATAAACATCGCCTGTCGTCTATCGTCTCTCCTCTTCCAACCTTCTCAGCCTCTCTTTCATCTCCTCCATCTCTCTCCTATCCTCCCTCCCTCGCCTCTCCACTTCATATCTCACCATCTCTCTCAACGAATCCGCACTACTCTGCAAGCTCCCCAGCAATCCTTTGGCCATCGACATTGTACTCTTGAACTCTTCCATCTGCCTCGCCTGTTGAGCCGTGAGGTTCTCAGAAGAGTGCAGTAGAGCAGTCAGAGTACTTTGCAAGTGGGTGGTCTGGGATAAGGAATCGTAGAGGGTTGCGAATGGGTTAAGGAAGGCTTCGCGCGAGGGTATGGGCGCGGCCGGAGGTGGGGGTTGAGACCGGGGAGAGGTGCTCTGGGAATGGGATATAGATTGGTGCGAGTGATTGCGGGAGATGGAGACTGAATGCGGAGCGCCGCTGGTGTTGCGCGACTTTACAGGCGACATATGGCCCTCCAGCCTCGGCAGGGCGATACTGGGCACTGTGAAATTGCGCCTCCCTTCATCCGGCATCACCGGCGGTCTCGACCCCAACCCATTCGCCCCATTCGCATGACCAGGCCCTCTTCCACCATCCAACCTCCAATAATACCCCTGCTGTCTCGCAAACTCTGCTCCTTCTCCCCTATCTTGCATTCCGTTCCCTCTCGCATGCGAGATGGGTGCAGTACGCGGGTCGGTGGAAAAGTGTTGGAAGGAAGAGGAGAATGAAGGGAGTGAGTTTGGCGGGAGTGAGTTTGGCGGGAGTGAGTTTGGCGGGAGTGAGTTTGGCGGGAGGGCGGTCTGGGAACCGGAGGGAATGTCGCGGGGGACGGATTGCTGGATCGCAAGGTTTTGGTTCAGTGGTGCGCTCTGCTTTCTGTCAGCCGCTGCTTTTGATGTGGGAGAGATGGACATACTCGAGAACCTGGGACTGCGTCCTTTCCCGCTATCCCCGTCATGATCGTCATCTTGTCCACCTTGTCCTTTACCTTCTCCCTTCTCTTCCCCACACTTCCACTTGTCGGCACCGCCAAAGTCATCGCTGGGTCTGGACCAGTCTTTTGCGGTTGGGCGGGCACCATGGACGGATCACGAGGGGTAGAAGGGTTGCTGTTGGCAGCAGCTTCTGCTTCTCTACGACGAGCAGCTATCAGAGCCTGTTGCTGCTCCTTGATTGACAGACTCTCTCGCACCTATTCCCGTCAGCTCCGCCTAAGACGTCCAAAGGAAGGAACTCACAGTCTTCAGCTGCTCCCCCTCTACCAACTTGAAGTCAAACCCCATGACTACCGGGCTCGGTACCATCCCATAAACGTCATACCCCTCTTCTCTCCTCGCTTCTCTAGCAGCAGCAAACCCTATCGGTTTCGGCAGCCCTTGCTGCTGCTGCTGCAACCCTCCTGAAGCCACCCTTCGCCCAACACTAACCGACGACCCGCCAGTGCTGGGACCCGAGTCTTTGGAAGGCGAATGCGAGTCGGGCGGCTGTACTCTCAAAGGCGAAGGTTTGGGTCTCGTCAATTTCCGTCTCTTGCCTCCTTGTCCATCCTCCTCCTCCGCGTTCCTGTCAGGAGATGACGTACGCCGTCGAGAGCGGGGGGTAGTGTCGTTGATGATAGTGGGTCGTGAAGCGCCGAACGATACGCGGCGAGAGGACGGGACGGTCGGGGGCGGGGTTATGTAGTTGGCGTGCAGTGACGTGGGGGCGAGGATGGGTGAAATTTGCATGAGCGAGAGAGGGGAGCATGTAAGTCAGCTTTTGCAAGGTATAGAGGCGCTGCCTGGGAGAATAGAAAGAGAAGATCAATGAAGCGCAAAGAGTCCTGTCGCCTTCCAGAGGAGAAAGTAAGGGATCTGCAGAATGGGTCTTGGTCGATCATTTGACGACCCCCGCCTTTCTGACGCTCCGCCGTGAGGTTGAACACGGATGAAACTTGTGTTGCCGACAGCGCCTCCGTATGAGATCATCACAAGGGATTGATCAAGCTTTTCCGCTGAGCGCAGAATAACGAGACAAAGGCCGACAAGTAAAGGCAGGGGAAATAGGGGCAGATATTAGGAGTATGTTGGAAAGGGCATGGGAAAGGATGCTCGGCAAGACTAGGAGTAGAGGGAGACTACCCCGTACACCACTTTCAGGGAAGATGGCAGACAGAAAGGAGCCTGATGGACACGTCGAGCGCTCCTTGGAGATCAGCTTTGCGGGTGTCAAAGTGATGTATCACGAAGCAGCTCGGGTCATGCGCAAAGATGTAGAAGCTAGCCACAGCAAGAAGCAAGAACAAGACTCACGCGTCCTTCTTTCTTCTCCCCTTGGCGACCTTGACAGGCTGGGCGGGGTTACCGACTGTCGAATTGGCGGTCACCGGCGTCGGTGGTTGATGCGACATCTGCCGCTGATTCTCCCCTTCCCGCTCTCCTACGTCCGGCGAACCCGTCGCGCCCTCTGGTGGATCACGCAGACTCGACGTCCTGTGTTGGAGAAAAGTGTGTTGATGCGAGCGTGAAGGCGACGGGACGGGTGGAGGGCCGAGCGGTTGGGGATAGGAGTAGGCGTGGATGAGGGAGGTGGGGCGGGGCGGGTAGTAGTGGGCGTTGGGGGTGGTGGGCGTTGACATGGGGGGGAGGGGGACGCGGGGTGGCATTGCGGTGGCGGTGGACATTGAAAGAGAAGAGAGATGAGTGGCGGTGGATGAGAAATGGGAATACAGGGTCAGAGATGCGACTCACGGGTGGATGGCGGGCCCTGCGTGGTACTCGAACCGGGGGTCGAGCGCGGCGAGCGGGGGCAAGCGCTGGGCCATTGCAGCTAGTTGCAAGAGAACAATAGAAATCAACAATCTCTATTGTCTCTCCATCATCGCCCTGATCTGGCCCTGACCGCCGGGTGCTCCTGTGTACTGTACGTTTGGACGCATGCATCTACAGCGCTCGTTTAACAGCCCCCCTCTTGCGCTACCCCCTGCTGGCCTCCTGCCTGACACTGACCCCTCTGAACTCATCTGAAGTACCTTCCCATCCGCCTCTTATCTTCCGACTTTCAGGGAAAATAATTAAAGAACAAAAAGACTCATCCACGTGAAACAGGGGTTGCTTACGTGCACTGCTGACGGCATAACCCCCAGCAGAAGACGTTGGAGGAGGGCAGTTGACTGTTAAATAAGGGGCTATGCAGCAGTTGTACATGGCTCATTGGTATGGTGATGTGAGGAGAGCAGAGGCCTGAAGATGTCGAGTGAAATTCCCGCTCGGGAGAGCCCCAAAGAGCCGGTTAGCGATCGAACACACCAGTGTGCATGGCCTGTCATTTTTCATCACCATGTCAGCTCAGAGCTCGTAGACAGCAGTCTGGTCGGGGTTCAGGTCTCTCAGGATTGTGTGCTATAGTACCGAAAAGTAGTACGAGCATCAAAGAGGCGTCCTAGTCACTTCATGCCCTATACTACATTCATAGTTGAGACATAGAATAGCGTGTTCGAGTCGTCTGCAGCACATGTCAGTCGTGCTCAAGGGAGATCACCAACATGGACGTACCGACTCCTACTTGGCGGCATATTGCCAAGTCCATAAACGCGGAAAAAGTGAGGAAACTCACACCGACGATCTTCTATGCTGGTCGACAAGGCGACTGTAACACGAAACACACCGCCGTCTGAAAGATATGAACGACAACAACGAGAACAGCCTCCCCAATCCCCTCAGCACCACCGCCCCCCTCCCTCCCTTCCTCCTCCTCACCACCTCACCCATCCTCTCCTCCCCTCTCCTTTCCCCTCCCTCTATCCGTTCAACCGAAAGCTCCGAGGAGTAAACAGCATGCAGGTAAGGCGGCGGGTCATCCCCAATAGCAGGGACGTCATACAAAAGATGAGGCAGGTCTGGTCGGGCGTTGGCGCCTTTGTGGAATTGGACGTATTCGCAGAGATCTTCTTCTTCTGCGGCTTCGCGAGCTGCACGAGCTGCACTGAATTCGCGGGTTTCGCGGGGTGTGGTGTGGTGGGAGGACATCTTGTGCAGAGTAGTTTTACTGGTTTGAGTGAGGGACGGGGAAGGGACTGGGTTGCCGCTATATAACATCCCCGCCCCTCTGATGATCTCCACCAGCCATCAGTATGTTCTGTAGATACCAACTCCATTTTTCCAGATTTACCGTCCACCTATAAACGTCCTCATACGCCATTGCTTTATCGCATTGGTAGATCCGAGCACGGCGATGACACAAAAGTAACGACAACCGCTTGATGTCCAAACTGTCGTCCCCGCTAAAACTGTTAAACCACTTCTTAAACGCTTTTTGCTCCCACTCTTTCTGCAGCATGCACAGATAAAGGGGCGAGATAGAGATCTGGACTCTGGTACATATGCGTGCTGTTGATCTGATTGACTGGAATCGATTGTTCGGGGAATTTAATATGCATGTGGTTAAGATCTATCGAGTGATAAGAAGACGACTTGCGAGTTATGTACGACTTACGAGTGATCGGGTGAATCACTCGTCGTCACTTCTCAACCAAGAAGCAAACAGCCCTCGTTGCCACTTTTGTATGCCAAGTATTACTATACATGTCATCCACCCCGCCTCTGCACCCAACTTTCGCATAAGCAGACGAACAACACAGGGGGAGGTTGCACAAGTACCTGTCGCCGCCCCCGCCATTATTCGTCAACCACGACCGTGGTCGGCGAGGGGGTTGGTCTCAAGAAAGGCAAAGAGTAGCATTGGGTCCGAGGATAGTGCCATGGCAAGGGAAAGAAACGATTATGACAGGAGGTGCAAGGCCCACTCTGGAGTACTCTGGACCGACATGCCACGGGTCTCCTTATCAGAAGATTCCAGACGTGTCGTGTCACCCGCCCACAGCGCGTCAAGACAGTCTTCAAAGCCAAAAAAGCCTTATGACGTATACATACATAGACTGCGTGTCATCTTTGTACACTGCCACTGCTGGCAGTAGCAAGAGTCACGAGACGGGATCTGCGGTAACGTCCACATGACAGAGCATCTGGAGGCCCGGAGGTTCTCCATCTCGTGACCCATGAGATCGAACCCGAACAAGGAATCTGCCGTGGATGGCCACAGTCAAGTGTGGCGGTGTCATCCCCATTCCCCCGTGTGATTGATCTGGTGCGTGACTGGGGCAACATCCGAAAAATACAAGTCGGCCGAGTTTGGCAGGGAAACCAAACACAAGAAGACTCCTTCTCTCCGCGCTCTCTGCAAAGGTCACTGCCATTATGCCCTGCTTGTCTCTACCGTATGGATCGTGAGGTAGGCATTGTATTTGACCTGTGGCAAGAGGAATAGTCAGATATGACAAGAGAGTTCCGGGGCATGCTGTATAACCTTTTTTTTTACTTGAGATCTGTGCGAAAAGCCTTGGCTGGCAAATGAAAAGACACACAGTTGAATGACGCGAGAACACCCAGCACCAATTGCTGGAAGGAATCCGGGGTGTCTCTGATTTTTTGGGGGCTCCTGATCGCCTGCGTGTGGGAACGAGGTATGGGACTCTGGGCCTGTGGGAACAAATTCCCCGCAAGGGGCAAGACGCAAAGAAAACTTGGAAGCGAGGAGAAAAACCAAGCCGACTGCGCTGCGACTGCGTCCGACTGCGACTGGGTTGTAACCCAAGCCGAATACCAAATGCTTACTTGCCGAATTCATACGGAGCATTACCGACCCCTGCCGATACTGCGCAGCCCCTTTGGTGGCGTCGGTATGGACAAGTAACAAATGAATGACGAGGACTCCTGCTTGATCCGTCCAGCACGTACGAAGGGGAGCTGTATACGTGGGCTTTCTGGCTTTGGCAGCCTTCACAGATCAGTGATCACAGACCGACGGCGATGTGTACGGCAATCGAAGAACGCTGGGCAGGGAGCACATGTAAGCATAGAATGACCCCATCTGGATTCTGGAGCACCCGAACATGTATGCCCCGTTCCCGAAGTAATCGCAATGAACGCGATGCCACAAATACACACACCCCGCATGCGGCCGGACAGTCTTCCCTGAGATTTTTTCCTCTACTCGCAGCTCAAGACGTGGAAGGGCAAAGGCGAGCGACGTAAGGGGTGTTTGATTGGCTGAAAAGCACTTGCCGCCGGTCCGACTGCCGCCGGTAATGGGAACGACCCTGAGGGTTTTTCCTAGGAACCCTGGATTGTGGGAGGCAGAATGACCGGATGGGGAAATGTCTCTCGCTTATCGGGGAGTGCCGGGGCCCTGTTGTGCCTGGAAGGGGCCTCGCTTGCCCAGCTTGCCCCTCCTGGAGCACCAGCCCTGAGAGGCGGGGCTGCGCTGTTGATGTCCCCGCCTATATATGGAGGAAAGAAACTCCCTTCTTTCCGCACACATCCCTCCCGCATTCCGCTTCTTAACCCACAGCCAATTCACAACTCCTTGTTCATCCACCTTTCCATCTTCTACCCTCCCACTCTACTACTATCTACTACTACCTACTACCAACAACAATCAACAAACATGGCCGGCGGTGCTGATGCTGGCGGCGGCTTTGACGCTCTTCTCACTCCTCCTGATGAGGCTGGATGGAGGGGTCTGTATAAGAACAGACGCGCCCTCTTCCTCGCCTGTTTTGCGTCCCTCGGTGGTGTCCTCTACGGATACAACCAGGTAAGTTTTTTTTCTTTCATCTCACGCGAGCCAAGCTGACATCATTCCAGGGTGTCTTTGGTCAAGTCCAAGTCATGTATGATTTCAGGCAGAGATACCTCCCAGAGGTGGGTTCATTCCGCTCCACTCCGCGCACGGTTCGCTAACAAGACACGCAGGGAACCAGTCCCGACATCAGGGCTCTCTTGACCTCTATCCTCGAACTGGCTGCCTTTGTTGGTGCCATTATGGCCGGTCCTCTCTCTGACCGATACTCTCGAAAGGTGAGTGGCGATCCTGTCGATTCCGCGCCGCAATCCACTTCCGCATTGGCAACTTTATTCGAGCATCGGCTGACGCGTTCGTTCAGTATTCCATCTCTGGATGGTGTGTCATCTTCATTGTCGGTGTCGTCATTCAGGCGGCTGCTAGCAGAGACATTGCGTGCATCTATGGTCAGTCCCTTTCGCCTCGTGTCTGCGTGCTTCGCTGACGGATCCAAAGCTGGTCGATGGTTTGCCGGTATGGGTGTCGGTGCCTTGTCAATGTTGGTCCCCATGTTCAACGCCGAGCTCGCGCCTCCCGGTATCCGTGGTTCCCTCGTCGCCCTCCAGCAACTCGCCATCACCTTTGGTATCTTGGTCTCTTACTGGATCGGATACGGAACCAACTGTAAGTGTACATTTGACTGCGCCTGAGGTCTCGCTGACGCTTTTCTAGACATTGGCGGTACCGGGGAAGGTCAATCAACTGCTGCCTGGCGTATCCCCCTCGCTCTCCAGTTGGTGCCCGCTTTGGTCCTCTGTGTTGGCGCCTACTTCCTCCCCTTCTCTCCCCGATGGCTCATGCTCCGAGGCCGTGAAGACGAATGCCTCGTCACCCTCGCCAAGCTTCGAAACTCTACCCCCGAGGCCCCTGCTGTGCAATACGAATTCCGTGCCCTCCAGGCCGAGCGTCTCGTCGAGCGTGAGGCTGCCAAGGAGCGATATGGTCAGGACGAGGTCAACTTCAAGGTCACTGTGGCCGAGTACAAGAGGCTTCTTACCACCAAGCCTCTTCTCCGTCGTCTCATGCTCGGTGCGGGTGCCCAGGCTTTGCAACAGTGGACTGGGTAAGCACTTGGAACGGGTATTGGGATTTGGCTAACGTCGCTGCAGTATCAACGCCATCATCTACTACGCGCCTACCATCTTTGAGCAGATCGGTTTGACTGGCGGTACCATCGGTCTTTTGGCTACTGGTGTCGTCGGTATCGTCAACTTCGTATTTACCATTCCCGCCGTCCTCTTTGTCGACAACGTGAGTCCTCTTCTACCTTTCCTCGACTCCATCTGACGCCTTGCAGTTCGGTCGAAAGCCCATTCTCGCCTGGGGTGAAGCCCAGATGGCTATCTCCCACGCCGTCATCGCCGCCATCATTGCCGTCTACGGCGACTCTTTCCCTTCCCACAAGACCGCCGGTAACGCCGCCGTCTTCATGATCTACTGGTACATTGCCAACTTTGCCGTCACCTGGGGTCCCCTCGCCTGGGTTGTTTCCGCCGAGGTCTTCCCTCTCGATATGAGGGCCAAGGGTATGGGTATCTCTTCCGGTGTCAACTGGCTCGTACGTCCCCCCTTCCTCCTCCTTGAACAGTTACTGATCTTCATTACAGATGAACTTTACCGTCGCCATGGTCACCCCCCACATGATCGACTCTATCGGCTACAGGACCTACATCGTCTTCATGTGCTTCTGCATCGTCGGCTTCCTCTACTCTGTCTTCCTCCTCCCCGAACTCAAGGGTCTCTCGCTCGAAGAGGTCGACAAGATCTTCAAGGACACTTCCGGTGCCGAGGACAGGGAGAGGCGAGAGAGGATTGCCGCGCAGATTGGCCTGGACAAGGTTGCGCACGAGGTGCAGCACAAGGAGAAGGTCGAGCACGACGACTTGGTGTAAGGTCGACGTGTGTTTTCTCGAAGGGGGGGTGTATTATTATCTTTGGACGCGGTGCACATACGGGTGATAATCTTATACCAACATGGTGGTTTGAAAAGAGCATTTTTGTATTAATTAGGCGTTGTCCGCGAAGGGAGTGGATGAGAAGAATTCCTTATCATGCACTACTCTACGCTACTACGGTCGTGAACTTTGCCCGGCCTGATATTGCACAGAAGACTGTCGAGGCTACGCTGTTTGGACATATGATCACTTATCTGGAAAAGAATGCTAAAGGCGAACGAGAACGAGGAAAGTCAAACACTCTCTCGACAAGCGTTTAGAGACACGGATTGAGTCATCGCTTTCCCACGTTTTCATCTTCGCAGAACGCCTCTCATACACGAGGTTCACTACCTCTGCTTATATACCCGAAAGACTATTCTGCGTAACCCACGACAGCTTCTTCTTACAAAATATGGTCGCCACCGACCTGAACACCATTTCGACCATATTCTCTCGCTCGTCGCCACATCCTAAGTCTCTCGCTGTTTATTGGTATTCCAGCGATGTGCACCGAACCGCTGTGAGCGAGGCTTGGAGCTTTTACGTCCTTCAAAAGATGGAGTTCAATTTAGCAGGAAATTGAAGAGAAGAAGAACAAGAAGAAACGAAAGACAGTGGCAAAAATCTACACCACATCCGGGGGTCCTTTCGCATTCGAGCATACACAACGACGGGGCGCACGCGAGATACATACGCGATACATATATGAGGTAGCGTCAGCCATGTCCTGAGTGTGCAGGAGGATAGCCTAATTTTGAGCGTATCGCTGCAGTGAAGAACACTACGCTGTTGAGCATGGCCTCTGTCAGACGACAGGGGAGATGGGCGTAAGTGGGCGGGGTGATAAGGATGGGGCTCCCTAGTCAAGAGCTCCGGATTGTTCCTGGGGTTTGCGCAGTTCCTGGGTCCCCGCGGCCCCGGCCCTGGATCTTGGCGGAGGGAGAACAACAGAACGCTGACAAGAGCCAGCCCAGCGATGTCGAGCTGCCTCCAAGGGGGGACCCTTGCGCGCACAGAAGGGATGCGATGTTCGGCACATTCGCCAGCTAGCGGCACAGGCATCCCCCGCCAAGTACATGCCATCAAGCACCAACGGATCTGGGTCTCTTGGCTGTTTCGCTGGCCTTGGCGATCACTTCCCTTACCACCCGCTCTCTCAGATCCGCCTCTCCATCACCCGCCACCCCGCCCATGAGCCTCCTCGCGTCTGCCCACCCCCCCGGCCAGTACCAGCGCCTCTCCGACTCGTCCTTCGCCTCCGCCTCCTACGACAACCACTCCACCATGTCCCATCGCGGCTACGGCCCCAGGTCAGACTCGCTCACCTCGTCGAGCAACTTTGGGCCCACTGCCTCCTTGGCTGGAGGCAGCATGGTAGCAGGCGGCGTCGCGAGCCAGAACGAGTCCATCCCCCTGTTGGACTTCACTCCCCCCGGCGCGCCCGGTGCGCACAACTGGGACGACGACGACGACATGGACGACGCCCTCCATACATTCACAGAGGCGGAAAAGAAGGACCTCACTTCGCCGTTCAATATCACTTCCTGGCGTGGATGGGCGAACGGCCTGACGCTGGGTGTGCTTGCTGCAGGCGGGGTCATGCTTTTCGGCGGGTACCCGATTCTGACATTTTACTATGGCAACAAAACTTCGTCCGGATCCAACACTGCTGGGTATAATCTCGGTGGTATCAATGCGTCTGGGCAGTACCCCGAGATCCCAGGTATGCCTAGTATGATCGACCCCGACACGCCCGACTGGGCCAAGAGCCGTACCGGGTTCGACGAAGGCGAATGGACGCTGGTGTTTTCCGATGAATTTAATAAAGAGGGGAGGACGTTTTTCGAGGGCGATGATCCGTTTTGGACGGCCATGGATATCCACTACTGGGCTACCGGGTGAGTATTTCTTCGTTTCGGAGGAAACGCGGCTGATGAGATGAAGCGATTTCGAGTGGCTCGACCCTTCCGCTGTGACCACCAAAGACGGACACCTCATCATCACCATGACCCAAGAACCGATCCACGAACTCAACTTTAAATCCGGCATGATTCAGTCCTGGAACAAGATGTGCTTCAACAAGAATGCCTACTTTGAGATTTCGGCGAGTCTGCCGGGTGATACGACGTATGGTGGATTCTGGCCTGGTATCTGGACGATGGGTAATTTGGGACGACCGGGTTATGGCGCGAGTACCGAAGGCATGTGGCCGTGAGTATCATATCTATCTTTATCCACCCAACCTAATTCAAGGCAGGTATACCTACGATTCTTGCGACATCGGTATCCTCGAAAATCAAACCTACGTCAACGGCTCTGGCCCCGCCTCCACCTTGACGACCGGCCTCGAAGGCGCCCCCGTCTCCGTCCTCCCCGGTCAACGTACCTCCGCCTGCACCTGCGAGGGCGAAGACCACCCCGGCCCCCACGTCGGTCGCGGCAGAGCCTCCCCCGAGATCGATATCGTCGAAGCCCAAATCATCATCAGCGAAAAACGCGGTGAAGTCTCGCAGTCGTTCCAGGTGGCGCCTTATGATGATCATTATCAGTTCAATAATGCGAGCGGGATGGTGAAGCAGTATGATGCGGATTTGACGTATTGGAATACGTACCTTGGTGGGCCTTATCAGCAGGCGGTGTCGAGTTTGACGAGGCTGCCGAGGGACATTTATTATAACCAGGATATCGGAGGGGATAGCAAGCAGTTTGCCGTCTTTGGGATGGAGTGAGTCGTTCTTTCTTGTTGGGGCAAACTAACATTGGGTAGGTACAAAGCAGTCCCAGAATCGCGTGAAGACGGATACATCACCTGGTACGCCGACAACAAGACGAGCTGGACCATGTACGCCGATGCTGTCGCTGCCAACCCCCGAACGGAAATCGGACGGAGGATCGTGCCGGAGGAACCTATGGCTATGATCATCAACTTGCACATGGTGCGTACTTTTCTCCTCTTCTCTTCCTCCCTTGGGGTAAAGTGGAAGCTGATATGGCGGGAAAGTCAAACAACTACCAAGCAGTCGACTTTGCAAACCTCAAGTGGCCGAATTACATACGCGTGGATTATGTGCGGGTGTATCAAAAGCCTGATGCGATTTCCATTGGGTGTGACCCCGAAGGTGAGTCTCTATCCTCTTCGAAAACGAAGAAAGAGGAGACAGGGGCTGACAACGAGGGTAGATTATCCTACTGCGCAGTATATCGCGGACCATGCGAATGTTTATGCCAACCCGAGTACGTCCCCTTCCCGTCCTTATACATCTTGCAAAAGCTGATAAAAATGACAGATCTGACAACGTGGGCGGATGCGGGGTATACATTCCCCAAGAATAGTTTGAAGGATGGGTGTTGATGGAGCGAGTTGAAGATGTTGTATGATGATTGGTGAGAGGAGTCTAGGCGAAGATGAGGAGGAGGGCGAGGCCGGGAAAGAGGCGAGAAGGCGAGACGATCAACGAAGAGATCTGTAATGATACCAACGACCCAACACCACACCACACCCTTCTCCATCCTACCCATCCCCTCTTTCTGTTCGCATCCATGTGCTCTCTTTGTGAACGTGTAGTTTTGCTTTCCGATCACCATTTTAGTTCCTCTTCTACTACTGCTACAGAATACACACGTTAGCATCTCCCAAAGTGGTCGATCTGATCACATATAAAGAAACTGGATCATGGACAATGCATTTTTTTGAGCCCCACAATCTACAAATCATGGCAAATGTTGGAAGACTCGCACAGATTTCACGTGGCGGACGCTCACGTCCAGTGCTGACATGTGTGCAGGGATACTCGTGAATGCCTGACAATCTCTCTCCCTTTTGATGAACGGTGCGTCTACCTCGGCTTCGCCTGTAGGAACAGGGTTGTAAAGAACGTGTTGCCGCATATGCGCGTAGCTAGTCGACGAGCGACGAGCGGTTGGAATGTCTGGTGGCAACAACTGCTCCGTGATGGTAGGCTTAAACACGCATACCGGCGGGCCACTTGATATATATACCCGTTCTGTCACGGATATGCACTGGAGAATGCTTCATTGCAAGGAGGTTGGCGAGTACGTTCGGGAGGCGGAGGCCTGGCATCTACAAGGCAGCATCAGCATCTAGGGAGCGACTGCCCGCCCCTCTCGCGTACTTATTGGAACGCACAAGCGTCTTGGGCGTGTATATATTCGTCATGCCCAAGTATACTATGCTACAGCATTTGCCACCATCCATAAACATTCAAAGACAACTACATTGCTGCAAAAATGCCCGTCTCACTCCTACCCCCAGCCATCCCATCATCACCCAACTCCTCCTCATTCATCATCCTCCCCCTTCCCTCCAACCTCCCCAAATACCGTAAAGCAGCCTACGCCAACCGCGAGGAATACATCACCCAATTCAACACTGCCTACCAGAAAATTATGCGCCAACTCGACGCGCGCCGCCAGCTTGTCGAAGACGAAGGGGTGGAGGAAGATTCGGATGATTGTAGCACGAATGAGGAGCAGGAGGAGATTTTGACGCGGTTGAGTAAGTGTGTGCATGCGATGGGGAGAGTGGCGGGGAGGGAGGTTATTGGGCAGATGTGTGTTTGTTGGCTGGTAAATGCATCACTAGAGGGTCTGGAGCGATTTGCTGAAGAGATCGTGAGTAGGTGGAATGGTATGTGTATACAGCGAGATTGCTCTATACCTCGGTGTTTTTGAACATGACGCCCAGAGATCGGGTCGTCCTGCACCCTACCTTGATCGACCAAGTATATCAGACGGTCAAGTGAGCATCTTCTTCTTCAATGGGATATGCGCTCAAACTTGTCCAGAGAAGCCGAATCCATCCTCGCCGATCTGAACGAGATGGATCTCTCAAATCTCCCACCCTCAAGCCGCCGGGGCGATAAAGCTTGGAACCCCAAAGCGCTCGAGGGTGTCTTTGTACGCCTCATGAGGAGAGTGGATGATTTCTATATGGGCGGGGTTCATGTGAGCTCCACCCTCTCCGGCTCTTATTAGACTTGACTGCAAGGACAAGTATATTGACGAGGAGATTGCGTTGTAGACTTTTCGGTACCCGTTTGTGATTGATATGTTTCAATCGACAGAGAATGAGATGCGCCGGCGGGTGCTGTTTGAATCGAGCGCTATCAAGTAAAGAGCAGCCCCTGTTTGGGGAGGGGAGGGGAAGTAGGGAGAGAGAGGTCTCCTTGCATTGGTTCAATGCTCGGTTTGTGAAGATTAGAGAGCTCGGTACCACAAATTAGTAGTAAAGACATGCAGAATTCACATCAGCGCCATGCGCATTCCTGAACGACCTCATCCACTGCATACAGCACCCCCTCAGCGCCTACATCAGGGAATTAACCTCATACAGTCAGTGCCACCGCGCGCCTCAAAACCGCGAAACAGCAAGTAGCAGTACAAGATGAGTACCCAAAAGTCATCGCTTGAAAAAAGTTCGGACGGGGCGACAGACCTCAAACATGGTTCATCATCTATCTCAATATCTATTCGTGCCTCGTGCAGGGTATGCATGATATGCACGGAGCGGGGTCCAAGTTGGTGATAGGGAATAAGATGGGGAGATGCGGACTTTTTGGTTGGCTGACGTCTGACGAGCCGCAAAGGAGGTCATCGACGCGCTGTGTCCTAGCCTCTATTCAGCGAACGATGGAAAGTGAGCTGTAGAGGTGCATGGATTACAACTAACAGAGATAGGGACTTTATCAAGTAACAAGAGACGGGGAGGACAGATCATGATGAAGGCCAGGACCACAAGATGCTTTGCGACACGGACTGCTTCTGCTGCATGCCATAAGCAGCAGGGTTCGAGTATCCCTCGTCTGCACAGAAACAGGGCTGCAAAGAATAGATGAGTACCGCAAGGTCGTCGCGTGCCCCCCAACGCCAGTCCGGCGCAAACGAGGGGAGTCGGTAAAAAACCATGTCTTACAATACCCATGCATGGCAAACACAGCGGAGCGACATCCACATCTTTGTATGCGCGTTGAAAATATACGGCCGTTATTGGCTGACGAGATTAGATAGATGCGAGATCTGTTTTACAATTATACGATAGGCCCTCGGAAGAACCGCTAGTACCGTTTCCTTGTCGGTCGTTCAACGTGGGTGGGAATGTGGCCTTCTGCCTCCCTTTCATGAGTACTCCAGCACGCAACGCCAATTCACCTGGCTCCACCCTTGCATACCCACCCTGCATGCATGCCCCTGCCCCTGCCCTCAAGAAGCGCCCGATTCTTCCGTTTGCGGCCTTCGGAAGGGGAAAGAGAGGACTGCTCAGTCAATGTTACGTAAACTGTAATCTGGAATGAGGACTTTGCGGTCGGGAGGATTTGATGCCATGCCTTTTATAAACCGTCTGTCCACCGCCATCCCCAGCCCCGTCGACGCCATGTCCGACACCGAAGACGCCTGTGCCATCGACAACAGCGACACCCACCACCGCCTCCGCATCGGCGCTATCTTCATCATCCTCGTTACCTCCCTCATCGGCACCCTCCTCCCCATCGTCCTCCGTCGCAGCAGCCTCGTCCCCAGGCCCGTATTTGAGTGAGCCCCCATCTGTATACATTGTGGGCAGCGCTGACCAGGGGTAGCTTTGCAAAGTACTTTGGTTCGGGTGTCATCATAGCAACCGCCTTCATACATCTGCTAGCACCAGCATGGGACGAACTCACCTCCGAGTGTCTGTCGGGCGCTTGGCAAGATTATGTACGTGGTCTACGCGTGTGTGGTGGCAAAGGCTGATGTCAAGGCAGGACTGGGCGCCGGCAATCTGCATGGCTGCAGTGTACTTCATCTTTTTCGCCGAGGTTGCCGCGTATCGACTAGGTAGTGCGCGTCTCGAGAGGCTCGGCGTCGAGTACAGTGAGTTACTCCTTCTTCCAGTGAAGAGTATGGGCTGACGATCACAGGCTCGCATACTCATGACGAGACTGACGCTCATGCCCACGACCACGCCCACGACCCTCCTCTCGACGTCGACACTACCGTCCCTGCTCCTGCACACCACATCCACCCTACCAACTCTCGCGTCACTTCTGGCGACCACGGCCACAGTCATAGCTACAGTCATAGCCACAGTCATAGCCACAGCCATAGCCATGGGCCTTTGAGCGAGAAGGAAAAGGATCTCGAGAGCGCCTCTTCCTCCGAGACGGACTCTGTCAACCAACTGCCTTCGCCTGCTGAAGCAGCTGCCCAGCTCATCGCTGTCGCCGTCCTCGAATTCGGTGTCGTCCTCCACTCGTACGTCCCCCTCCCCCCCCTTCCCTTCTCCCATAAGCACGAACTCATACTTGGATTAGCGTAATCATCGGCCTCACCCTCGCCGTCGACGAAGCATTCATCACCCTCTTTGTCGTCATCATCTTTCACCAAATGTTTGAAGGCCTCGGTCTCGGCTCCCGTCTCGCCGTCCTCTCCCTCCCCGACAAGCTCTCCTGGGCCCGATACGCCGCTGCCGTCTTTTACTCCATCTGTACCCCCATCGGCGTCGCCATCGGCCTCGGCGTCCGCTCGACGTACAACGGCAACGGCGCGAAAGCCAACATCATCTCTGGTGTCCTCGACGCCACTTCCGCCGGCATCTTGCTCTACACGGGTCTGGTGGAGCTGATAGCGCACGAGGTGCTGTTGAACCCGAGGATGATGAAGAGCAGTACGGGCAAGTTGACGTACATCTTTTGCTGTATGCTCTTGGGCTCCGGGTTGATGGCGCTTCTTGGGCGATGGGCGTAGATATTGCATTTGAGAGTGGTTGCTCGATGAGTTGAAGGGAGATGGGCGAAGAGTGGGTTCGGCAGGCTTGCTATACACCCTGGAACATTTGGATCATATATACTGTATCATAGATTAGACTTGACTGGAAAGGAATTGAGAATATGTGAACGAGCCAACGAGGCCTGCCTCCACCGCCACATTGCGCTTTGACCTCTCTCGGAGCACCTCCTTTTTCCCGCAAGACAGCTCCGGAACCCACATCATTCTCGTATTTCTATCTCTTTCCTCTGTTACCTTTCTACTTAATCTCTCTACTCCAACTCGCCTTTGCCGCAAAGCACGTCCTTGGGTTTACAAGCAGCACAGCACAGCAGGCCAGATGAGTTGAACGACGCGACGCACTTCGTATCTCTATCATCCCCGCTACGCCCGCCCACCCGGCCGCCCGCGCGTCGACTACACTCAGCCGCTAGCTGCTTCCTGTCCGGCCCGTTGCTTCTAGTTAGATGTCTTTGTTCATTTGCTGAAGACGACAAGGATACAAGGGAGCTTGGCGTTCCGGAAACAGTTTCAATAATCTTGAAAGGGCATCTCGTCATCCGCCTGCACTTGCTGACAAACTGTCTCAGCTTTCAGCCTCATCTCTCCTATCGCAGTTGCTTCCGATCTGCAGTCCAGTAAGTAAGGTATAGACTGAGAAGCCTGCGCTGACCATAGATAGTCTTCCTAACAGATATGACGCACTCAGCTGGAGTTGCTGGCCAGTGAAGGGCGGTGGGCATTGGTCCCTTACGCCAGTGTCCGAGAAAGGCTCGAAGCCTGCCTCCGCCGTGCTTGCCAGCAAGCCCGCAAACGGCGTGTGCTTCTGGTCCTCGACCATGTCACGCTTGTCACCGCCCACCTCATCCGTCGTCAAGCAACGAGTACGGCGAGTACGACAAGAAGACTGTTGCACCCCCACAGGATTCACCCAGCAAACGTATGCGTTGCGTCACATCATTCTCGAAGATGTCGACACCATCGATAACTTTCATATCGCCATGGATACGGATGTACTCGCTTACGAAAGCTTACTATCTCGCTAGATACGTTGTATGAGCCGTAAGCCTTGACCTGGTCTTGACACGTATGAGCCATGTACTCCGAACTGACTTCTGTCTAGGTGCAACAACGGGCGAGGCTTCCGCCACTCTACCGTTCGAATAGACAAACACTACTCAAACCCCAATCGCCAGCTAGAAAGGTCGGGAAACGTCCATATTTAGCAGCATGCATCCATCGACGCGAGACAAGACGCGAGCCGACGGCCAATGAACGGCTGCCCGATTGTCCGTGCCTGGGAGTTCTCTCCGGAGTCCAAATCGTGTCCTCTTGATAGGCCAAAGGTCAGCTGGTGCTTATCTTCGCATTCATTCGTCTATTCTTTCACCTTTCCCACCTGGAGTCTATTCAACGCTTCGACGACATCCCACATATTTGGTCCGACGCTTGAACCTGGCAGATTACTCGAAAACAGTCCTCAAACTCAAGAATGGTGTACACAACAGCATGCGAAAGCTGTCGCAAGGTGCGAATGAAGTGAGTCGGGTCCCTTTCGGGAGGAAGATGGAGCTAAGTCTCTTCACAGATGCATTCGCCCATCCCGGGGTATGGACCAGTCCGAAACTTGTGAACGCTGCGAGCAAAATCACGCCGAGTGCATCACCATCAAGCGTCGCGTCGGACGCCAGCCTGGAGTCAAGAACCGGAAACGCAAAGGCGAAGTCTTGAGCGAGCACCATCAAAGCAAGTATCAGATTGTACATCAAGAGCATACTATCCCGAGGGATGTGATAGATCATTTGCCCAACCCGCTGCATGTGCTGGCCTCGGAGGCTGTGAGACGACAGTCGTCGCCAGAGTAAGTCTTGCCTCGGGCGTCGGGCACGAGATGGGAAGCTGATTGGAGCTCGGTAGGACGTCGGATGACCAGATATCACATGCTTCCACTTCTACGCGTACCAGCAAGACCATTGTTGACCAATACTCTGAATGGGCGGACAAGTTGCACCCAAATGCCGGGGCAGGGAGGGAAGCTATCATGATCCACTTGGATAAGCTGTTGTCTATGGGCCCGCGCCCGCATGCTGTAGATGCTGAGGAACCGTCGGTCTTTGTTGGGAGAACAGACGTGAGCCTTGTTGGCTCGTGCTTGACCACGCTGACCCAGAGGTAGATGGCAAGGCCAGATGCATCACCCGAGAACGATGTGATCTCTTTACGAATCATCTCATTGGCCGACGCGCAGCACCTCTTTGACAAGTAAGCAGGCTAGCCTCAACGATGTGCACCATTGACTCCTCCCAGATTCATGACCTTGATCATCAATGGATCCAAGTACTTTGACCCCCGCATACACACCCTCTCATATGTCCGCTCCCGCTCCTCCTTCCTCCTCGCCGTTATCCTCGCCATCGCCTCCACCTACAAACCCCTCTGCCCCTCGTCAATCCTTCACTCCCACCTCATGTCCCACGCTCTGAAGCTTGAAACGACCGTCCGGAATAATCACCTCAAATCTATCGAGATCATCCAAGCGCTTTTGCTGCTAGCGAGCTGGACAGAAGTGCCGTGTACGCTGTCGAGAGATAAGACGTGGATGTTTGTTTCGCATGCTATTGCACTGGCGGTGGAATTGCGGCTGGACTCGCCTTTGCCACACTGTGTACAGACGGATCCAATGTTTGACAAGAACAACCAGGATCTGCTCGTGAGGAATGCGCATCGAGTCTGTTTGTTGATGTTTATTCATGACCGAGTGAGTAATACCTTATCGTCGCGCTATGGTGCTGACGGGAAGTAGAACATGGCAATGGTGGCAGGGCGACATCCCATTATTCGCGATACCAGTCTTGTATCGACCGAATCTCTCTCCAAATGGGGCAAACACGCCGTAAGCTCTCGCCAGTCCGTACTAGGCTCTCACTGACACTTGGCAGCTCGCACACAAATTTGACGCCCCCATCTGTGCTTCCGTCTCCCTTCGCAAGCTAGTCACTGTGGCCCACGTCAAATTGACCACCCACAATTTCGCCGACTTTGCGGCAGGAAAGGAATTTATTGACAGGGGCATGGCGGATTGGCGCAAGAGGTGGGCTGTCGAGAGTACTTGTAAGTATCTTCTTCTCGTCTTTGCTCGAGCTAATGAAGTGGCAGCGACGCACGAATACGATATCATTGCCCGATTCTCCGCCTTCGTCCTCGCCCTAGCACTCGTCAAGAAACGTCAAGCGACAGGACATATCGAGAGCGAAGCGCGAAAAGTGTGTGAGGCGTTGGCATTTGATGTCTGTTGCGGGGCAATCAATCATTACAAGACCTGGCAAGGTTTGCCCAACTCTGCCACCTTTGAGTGAGTCCGCCATCAACCCAAGGCTTCGGATATGCTAACGCCGACGATAGCACTAGCATGGTCGCCTTTTGCGCCATCTACACTCTCCAATCGATCCACCTCACCGCGTCCCCCTTCCTATCCGACTGGTCCCTCCTCCGGCTCGCGACCCTGCAAGAACTCCTCTCATGCCTTGAAACCCAAGCAGACGAGCGCCACGGGGTGGATACAGAAGGAAGTCTGAGTGTGGTGGAGCAGGTCGCGAGGGGGATTAGGAATCTGTTGGGGAAAAAGCAAATTTGGAGAGGGGGATCGAGGGGATCTTTCCGGGAATCAGAAGATGGAGAGTACTATGGGTTGTCGCAGGCGCACAACCTCCAACCCGACCCTTACGCAACCTCCAACAACCACACCCACAATCAGTCAACAAACGCCCCCTCTTGGCCCACAAATAGCACAATGGACGACCTCACGCATTTCTTATATGCGGCCACCGACGGCAGTCTACCTTTCATGGCAGATTGGGATTTCGAGGGTCTCTTGCCTTCTTACGGCTCGAATACCGCCAACGCCAGCCATTCGGGCGGGGCTGGTAGGGACATGTCGACTTTTGGGGTGGAGACGAGTTTTACGGGGAGTGATCCTGGTTCGGTGGCAGAGATGAGTCAAGGGGTCAATATGCAAAACATGTTCAACATGGGTTGTAAGTGATTCGCTCCGTTCTTCCTGTACTTTGCTGACTCCCAACAGAACAGGATGCCTTTGAACGGACAATCTGTGAATGGGAGATACTTGGAGTATAGTCTGTAGCGAGTAGTTATAATTATCAAAAGTTGTACACATTTAGGGCTGGTATCTGAAATGCTCGCTATATAGTGTTCATTCATGTAACTCATATCCTACTCATCATCCTCCTCATCATCATCCAACTCCAACTCATCCTCACTCCCACTATCCATCTCCGGCAGCGCCTCATCATCATCATCCACCTGCATCCTCTCGCTCACCGTCTCTACCACCTTCTCCTGTGTTTGTGTTGATGCAGATGCAGAGGGGTTGGTGGAAGAAGAGGTGGTGGTGGTGTTGGTGAAAGAGATGAATGATTCGGCAGGCTGGTTTGGGGTTTGGAAGGTGGGGATGGGCGGTTGGGGCGCGAGAGTGATGGGGGCGGGGGCGGTGGCAGGAGCTTGTAGCGCTACGGGAGCGGGTTGTTGAACGGCAACAGGCGCGACCACCGGCGCAGGTTGGGCGAACTGAGGCTGGGCAGCTACCTGTACAGGCGCTTGTACGACCGGCGCAACAGCCGCCACCCTCTTCGCCGGTACTTCATCCTCCTCCATCTCCTCCCCATCCACCACCTCACCTTCCAACCCAAACCCAAGCTCTTTCCGGACCTTCTTTTCCTCGTCCGTCTCTTTCGCAAAGAAATGTAGTTCCGAGAGGGCGGGTTGGTGGCGTATCATGGGTGGGAGTTTGGGGTGGAGTGTTGGGCGGATGGAGGGTTGGGATGCAGCGTCCTGTTGAAAAGTCAGTGGGGGATGTAGAAGATGTAGGGGAGTGACTCACAAGCACCGATACAATCACACTCTCGTATCCCTTACTCCATCCCTCTCCAATACTCAACACCTTCTCAAGCACCTTTCTCGTCACAACCCTTACATCTTCCCTCGCTCCGACCTCGGGGAACGTCGATGTTGGCAATGACGGCAGACCGAGATAGATCGAGAGATGCAGACGGACAGAGAGCGTCAAGAGCGAAGGCGCGAGGAGAGAAGCAGTATGCAAAAGAGGAGTGAGCGAAAGAGCAGAGATGATGCAATCAAGCTCAGAGTGGGAAAGACCTCGACGACCTTTCCCCTCCAAATCACCGACCAAACCATCTTCAGCCCCTCTAGCCCTCTTCTTCCCCCTCTTCCCGCCCCCAGATTCATTCTTGCTAGCAGCCGCCACAGACTCCCGTTTATCGCCGAGTAGGGGCGAGAGGCTTGAGAGGCATGACCTCAAAAGACGGGTGGGGTATTCGACTGGGAGTAGTGAAGGAGGGTAGAGCGTCAAGAGCAGGCTGTGGAACCGCAAAAGCAATGTGCGAGACTCGCACATGCTTTGGGGGATACGCTCCAAGAGCCAGACAGAGTGGTCAAAGATGTTGGAGAGGTGGGGGAAGAGGTGGTCGCCTGTGGCGAGCGCCACGGCTGCGAGCAGCTGGGTACCGGCGGCCCAGATACGGGGGAGAGAAGCGATCAGGAAAGCGTGGTGCTGGGGCATGATATAAGGTACTGTGGGCGTGTCCAAAGTCAAGCTCAGACATCTGAGGCCGGCACTGACGAGCCCAGCCAGAGGGATAGCCACCGGTCTGCTCGTAGGGAACGAAAGCATCTCCAGAGTCGCCTGCGTGAGGCCTTCAAGCCAGTCCAGAGCGATGGGTAGTCGCTGGAGAGGATCCGCGGGTAGGTCTGGTGTGCTCGTAGAAGCAGGGGGCGGCACGGTGACGGGGTCTTCTTCCCAGGCATCTGATGTGATCCCTCCGAGCGCCTTGCCGAGACCACCGAGAACTTGCTTCATGTCCGCTGTCCATGCCGCGGGGCTCTGGGCCTTGCCTGATGTGACATGAAGAGCGGCCAGCAGCTTTGCGGATTGTTGGCGGATTTGCGAGGGGATAGAGGGGGAGGGGGAGGTGGGGGTGGGGAGCATGAGGAGAAGAGCGAAAAGGTTGGTTTTGAAAGCGGGCGTGGAGGGGCGGAAGTTGGCAGGGGATTGCAATAGGAGCATCTGGATAGATTCGAGTAAAGTACACTTTATACCGTCAGCATCCAGCCTTTCATGAAGACTTTGCTCACGATGACATCCCATTCCGGCTGAGACTCGCTCAAAGACCTCTCCAGCAACTTGCCCAAAGAAACAGAAAGCTTGCCCATAAGAGGATGAACAGTCTGCCTCTCAAATGATGGAAAGTGCGGAGCAGTCAACACGATCGTCGTCAACAGCTCCAAGTAAGGAGGGATAGACGCAATAGACGACGAGGTACTCGCAATCCACCCAAGACACCCTCCAACCCAGCCTTTACCCCATTCCGCCAGAACCCAGCCTTCCTGATCTTGTTCGACCATGACTTTTGCTACCTCGCATGCTGCTCGCTTTTCGGAAGAATCATCGCGGGACAAGAGGACGGTGTTGAGGCGGTTGAGGAGCTTTGTGAGTTGGGATTGAGATTGGGTGGAGGGTCGTGCCAGGGGGGTGTGGGACTGAAGGAGGGGTCGGAGGGAGGGGTGGGCGAGGGGGAGAGAGGAGAGCAGGGGGAGGATAGGAGTCGCTTCCGCCATCTTGTGAGGTATAGCTGATGTATGGCTGGATTGATATTTTCGAAAATGTCAGACAAGATAAATCTTTGGTGCCTGGAGTATCCAGCCGGCCGCCGGGAGGTTGGCTGTTCTCTATATATTTTGCTTTTGATCCTTTGTATGTTGTCCAAAACATCAGCTGCCCCGTAACATAAAAGGGAGTTTGTTCTCATAACATACAGCGGCGTATGCAGGTATCATATATACAAGGTCTGACTTGTCTCCTTCCCCCACCCCTCACTTCCCCTATCCCTCTCACACAACCTCACACAACCTCTCACAACCAAAAGCCCACCATGTTCAACATCTTTGCAGCTCCCCCCCTTCCCGTCCCCGCATACAGCCCCATGGTCCAATCCGTCAACGCTCTCGACTTGTTCCGCACCCAAGCCCATGTTGATCTCTACCCGCCTCCTCCTGCTCCTGCTGCGACGCCTACTACAGGAGAGGTATATGTGGAGGCTAGTGATAGTGCTGTCACGCGCTGATGAACAATTGACATGCATGTACATATACTCTGCACTGTGGGCATGATGGGTGAGGGGGAGAAAAAGCAAAAAAGAATGGAGGAGCTAAGAATTGAACTCAGTACCTCGTCAAATCCACTCTTTGAAGAATGCTAATGACGCGCTCTGCCAAATGAGCTACACCCCCTTGTATACTCTTCAAGTCCCAGCTTAATGTTATTCTAAGCTCTTTCAGCTCCCGTGCCACTTGCGGAAATACCCGGAATTAGCTTTCCGGCCGATTCAAGCTCTTACCCCTACGACCAAGTAGCCCGTCTATCCACCACCACTCACCCAAAATGTCTTCTACCTGGAGAGAGTTCATGTCGTGAGTAGCACAGGGGGGGCGGGTGTATCCCTGCGAAATAAGGGTAGAAGAAGAGGCGCTGACGGCTGCTTCTTCCATCCTCTGCTACCGACGTATCCCTCCCTCTCGCTCTCCATCCATCCCCTTCATCAACCGATGTCAACAACAACAATAACCTCACTGGAATCGAATGAAACAGCTGGAACAAGTACACCCAAATCGCTTCCCGAGCCCTCCGACAGGCTCTTAGCGAGGGTGACCGTGTTGCTGCTGAGAAGCGTGCTGCCATCGGCGTGTAAGTCGGCTTCTCCTTCTATGCACCAGGGTGGCGGGTGGGATGAGGACGAGTGGGTGGGAGGGGATTGAGGGCTAGAAGGGGTATGATGAGGATGAGGATGGGCGAAACAAGAAGGACGGTCTACGGTCGATAAAGGATGGACCAAACCGAACTCTTGCTGACCACTCGTATAGCCGATACCAGCTCTGGGAGAACGGAGAGGGTGGCGAGCAGCACTACGTCCGACCCCCACCTGAGGAGGCTACCGGCAAGCCTTCTGGTGCCGTCTAAACCTACCACTACCCTACGATGAAAGATGGAGGGAGAATGCGAGGAAAAGTAGAAAAATGCATGGAATCGTTTGAAGGGATTTGGAACTCGCTGGGTCATGGGCATGGCGTTTGGATCTTACAGGCATGGCGAGGCCGTTTAGTGCTCACATGTTTGCAGAGCTCAACATACTAACAACATAGCCACGCTTCATTTGTCCATCTCCTCCATCTGCAACCGTCCCCACATCAACGCATAAGCCCCCTCACCACCGTCCCAACCCAATACACCACATTCACAGCGCTAAGACCGACCCGCCGTCCACGGCTGAAAGAGACCATGTCGAAGAGGAACATGGATTGGAGAAAGAGGATGGTGAGGGTGAGTTGGAAGGGGCGTTGCGCGAGGGGTACCATGTCCTTGAGCTAGGGGTCGGAATGGGGCAGGGAGGGGCTTACGTTGGGGAGGAGGTGAATTCGAGGGCTTTGTAGGACTCGATCAGCATGAATAGGCCTGGTGCCGAAAAGTCAGCCGCGTGCGAAAAGACGTTGGGTCAGGACTCACTGATAGCCCCCATTACACGGTCTCGGGTACTCCATCTTTCGAGCGCTGTTCTCATACGCTCCTGTTTGTCAGGGTGGGGTTGATGGTTGACAGATGGACGACTGATGAGATGTAGAGAGGAAAGAAGGATGACCGGATGGTGGTTGGTGGTTGGTGACACTTTTGCTCACCCGGCCAGGGAACGACTTTCACCCAGGATCGGACCCCGCACGTCAGAGTCTTTTCCAGACCGCGACCCGGCCTCAGATAAAGCCTTGGCGTACAGACGGCAAGTCGTAAAGCCGAATATCATAACCACCCATGCCACTACCTACAAGAGCTAAACATTCTGCCAAGATGACGCGAAAACGCCCAACTCACGATACACACTTCCACCCCTTGTACCGCCCCTTCCAAACTTCCACCCCTTCCCAATCATCCTTCCCCCAGCCCCACCTCTCCACCTCTTTCCCAACCCTCTTCCCTACCTTTTTCAACTCGAACCCTTTCGCTTTGCCTGTTTCTAGAGCGCGGGCGATGAGGATGGGGTCGCGGGATTCGAGGGCTATGTATATCGGTGGGGGTTTGCTTGTGATAGTGGATGATGGGGGGGTGGATAGGTAGATGAGGGTGTTCCATAAGGGTTCGATGAGATGGGGGGCGTAGAATGTATCGGTCATGACCAACATATCCCAGCCGCCTTCTGGTTTCAACCATTCGTCATCTGGCGCGTCTTCTTGGCCTTTGAAAAGTCTGTCCACATGGGCCCAGTCGAGGAAACGGGGGGAGATGTTGGCGGGGAGGCTGTTACCCAGTAAGACTCGTTTGCCCGAGTCGATATTCGGTCCGAGGACGGACGATAGCACAGGCTCGATATCCGTCGATACGACTTGATACCCCAATGACGCCAATACCAACGCCGTAAACCCGGTCCCACCTCCCAGTTCCAGCACCTTTACCGATTTCCCACCCGACGGCACAGGGAGAGATGATAAATACGCCGAGAGGACCTGGGCGGATAACCAGAGCGTTGTCCCCGTCGTCCCTGTCGAGCCAGACGCCGAGCTCGAGTCTGAACTGATCTGCCTGACGGGGAGCTCGATGGACAGGTGGTTGGGGAGGGGATGGTGGATGACGGGGAGGTGTTTTGTGTGGCTTGCTGGGAGGGGCATAGTGGAGTAGGGAAATCTGAAATTTGGATCGCGAAAGTGGACTGATTTCGTTCTCGCCGTCGTTGTTGTTGTCTCGCAAGCAGGATGCCATTTATCCCGCCCTACCTCTGCGACTCGCTGCCCCCCAGCGCAGTCCCCATAGACCCCCCGCCCACCAGACCCCAGCCAGCACCCAGCCGCCATGAACGCAGGCCAGATGCCCACCTCCCCTTCCCGCCCTCCCACGCCCGGGGCAAAGCCACAAGCTCATCTCTCGGTCTCGGCCTCCCCTCCATCAGCACAAACGTATCAGACCTCCTCCTGTCCTCCCTCCTCCCGCCGGATCTGCCAAAGATCCCCAGCGGCGGCAGGCCTTCCGGGGTCGGGGTCGGCACCGGCGGACCAAGGGAATTGACCACGCAGCGAGAAGGACTCAGCGTACCAGTGCTGAGCAACAATTTCAGGCGGTTCGTGACCAGGGTAGGGCCTATTTTCTGGCTGCAGGACAGGGTCGAGGAGGTCGTCTTTTGGCGGAAACCGGTGTGGACGTGGGGCTGGATGCTGGCGTGGGCTTTCATCTGTGAGTAGAGACTCGTTCATGGGGGCGAGGCTGACGCTTGGATAGGTTTCCAGCCGAGGGTGCTCCTCCTCCTCCCTTCTCTGGGTCTCCTTGTGCTCCTACTGCATATCCACGAGCGCAACCACCCCCTCCCATCGCTCCTCGGCATCATCGCCCCAGCACCCCTGGCCACTACCCGAGTCGAGCAACAAGGCTCGGAGAAGGGAGAAGACAGCCCCGGTAGACTTGCCTACACCTCGACGACTACGAGGGACGAGTCTGGTGAAGTCATAGGTGTGCCCGCCGTGCCGCCGAAGGAGGCCGAGAGCGGCGTCGACTATTACATGAACATCCAAGCTATCCAGAACCTCATGGGTCTCGTGTAAGCCCTCTCCAACCTTTCTCGGTATTGAGCTGACGAGCGACAGGTCGGATGCATACGACTACATAGCCCCCCGCTTCAACGTAATCCAACACCCCTCCCAGAACACCTCCCCCACCTCCCTCCCCTTCACCCACACCCACCTCATCCTCCTCCTCCTCCCGCCCACCCTCATCCTCCCCCTCACCCCGCCCCAACTCTTACCATACCTCCTCCTCCCACTCGGCCTCTTGCCCCCCTTGGTGTTCCACCCCAATCTTACACCTTGGCTCCTTGCTCTCCCGCACGATAGACGCGTGCGCAGGGTAAGGGATCTAGTCGAACACTGGCTCTTGACAGACCGACTGCCGGATACGTTTAGCGGCAAGACGATATCACAAGTATGTGTATGGGAGAATGAGAGGTTGGACCCAAAGTTGCCTGCTCCGGGGCCGATACCCCCGACAGCGTGGTCGTCCCGTTACTTACGACAGGGCGATCGGCAGGCGTGGATCAAATCTTCCGAGCCTGCCCTCAACCTTGAATCTTCGGCTGAGGACAAGGAAGGAGCAGGATGTCTCTGGAAATCAACAGAAACGACCCTCTCACCAGAAGCCGACGAAGGCGTCGAAGCCCAAGTGCTCGCTCTCAAACCGGGGTGGGAGTGGGTACCGGGGGAAGAATGGAGAGTTGATATGTCGGGGGAGTGGAGTGGGTTTGGGATTGATGATGGTACGTCCCCTCCCCCCTTCCCTCCTTCTTCTACCTGGGTTTGGAAGAGAAGCTGATAAAGAAGCAGAAGGATGGTCATACACAGACGACTCTTGGCAGAACGCCTCCCCGACGCCATACACAGAAGCAGACGTGCCAAACACCAATACTTCTTCTTCTGCTTCTGCGTTTGCGAACGCGTCGGCGTATGGGTCGCTGAGTTTGGGCAGGGATATGCCGAATTTGGGGTTGAGGCGGGTGACGAGGAGGAGGAGGTGGTGGAAAAGGGTTTATCGGGTGGAGAGTTAGGTAGTTCATATTGTATATTCATGCAAGAGGAAGTGTATGGGCAAAGTTGGTTTCGATGTGTACAGTCAATGTATGTGAATTCATCCGTCTATCATGCCACAAACCCCAAGTTGCTTCCATCTTTCGTTTCGCCTCATCTCAACTAACGACTTTCAAATTGACTCTGCTCTTTCCTGCTGACGACATCCATAGGCACATATGGTGCTCGCGGCTACTGTCTCAAGACCATCCAAGTCAAGCCAATGAAAGAGAATCCACCGTTTGGACAGCTGGCTCTTTGTACGCACGTAAATTATACATCTTCTGGAACTTTTGCTGTTCAAAATGTTGACGATCAAGCCAGAAAAGTATAGTATCGAACAGTCATCACCAAGGACAGGAGTACCACTACTCTCCTATCAGTATAATCTCAATGGAAATCCTGTAAAAAGGGACTGACCAAGCCCGGCGGGCATGAACTTTCCAGTCTTGAAGAGCCTCCATGACATGAGCGCGAGAAGGAGAGAGGAGACGACTTTAGTCTGTCAGCTGTATGACTCGACGGTATTTTGAATAGACATACTCAGAGAGGGGTAGGCGTCGAAACTGTTCTTGGACACTCGCTACATTCGCCGTCCATTAGTCATGTTATACAGAACGCGTACGGATGGCAGAGACGCACGCTCGCACCGTAAGCAGCTGCCACGCCCGATCCAACTCCAGCACTACCATCCTGATCAGCCACATGACTCCGTGTCTAGATGGAAGTGAACCTACACGGCAGAGATGACAGAGCCCTTTCGAAGTCCTCCAGCGATACCGCCGAGGGCGAGGAGGGCAGCGTAGGCGTAACCAGCGTAGTCGGGGGCGGAGGCGGCGATGGCGGGCATGGTAATGTAATGTCTGAGAGTTGACAAGTTTTTGAAAGAGAATAATGAAAGAGAAAGGTGTTACGATGTCAGCCGCTGTCAAGGTACCGGCAAGGATTCGCGAGTTTCCGGAGATGTCGTGGGCGGTGGACGCGACTGACATTTGGTCTTTGCTTTCGTTTGTCATGCATGTTGGGTCTTGGCACGCGCTACATTGGTCTCCAGCATATGCATGGGGAAATGAATACAACTACAGCACGACTGCCTGACTGTGAGCTGCCTGGTAATATTGTGGGGACGCGTTCGCGCGGAAGTAAATCGAGTTCAATTGTACTTGCTCCAGACGCGTCGCGTCCGCAATCTCTGTTCTCGATTCCATCTCCATCCCATCTTCCCTCTCTCAACCCATCCACACCCACCATGGACCTCCCCTTCCTCTTCCCAGACAAGAAGGAGAAGAAGAAGGTTAGCAGAAGAGGCGGGAACAACACCCAAAACCTCAAACAATACAACCCGAAATACAGAGACCAGCCTCTCAAACTCCCCGCACGCAAGGTTCCGGAACTCAATAGAGACCCAGCCACCGAGGTTACCCCTCTGCCAGCGAAAAGGGCAAAGACTTCCAAAATCGATAACTCTGTTCGGGTGTCGTCGACGAGTGACTCTTGCGATACGCACCTGTATCACAAAGCGCCTGGGATGAGTGCGAGGGAGCATTGGAAGAGAGACGTGTATGACAAAGCGGAAGGTGAATCACATTACACCTGCAAATCTATGGACTCCAGCTGATTTGCTATCAACAGCTTTATCGGCATACATATCCTCTGCTGAAGATAATTTCCGTACCATCCCTCTCATATCAACCACAACCTCTTCCACCTCCCCTGCGTTTGCTTCCTTCTCGTCAAAAGAAGAAGCCCTCACGTATATTGCAGACGAAGCCGCCCGGGAGGAGGCTGAGATACTAGAGCATGGTTCGCTGGGGGTAAGGCCCGCTCTTGCGGACTGGGATTTGGAGGCATTGACCGCGATCTGTCAGAGGGAGACTGAGGTGCTAGAGGCGCAATTGAAGCAGGCCAAAGAAAAGATGAAGCAGGTCGAGGAAAGGTTGGCTCGGTGCGCTAAGCATATCATTCAGAGTGGGACATTGTCCGTAGACGATCTTGCGGAGCTGTATCAAGTGTCTAGTGAGAAGATCAAGGAGATGCTGTCGGAAGGGACTGATATATAGACGCTTAGTTGTCGAACAGAGCTGTACTCTAAAGTCTCGAGATGCATTCATCATATCACAAAGCGCCTAGGATGAGTGCGTGGGAGAAACGGAAGAGAGACGCGTATGACACAGCGGAAAGTAATCACATGACACCAGCTGATTTGCTATCAACAGCTTTATCGGCATACATATCCTCTGCTGAAGATCATTTCCGTACCATCCCTCTCATATCTCATCCGCGGTTGTAGATGCCTAATCCTTTGTTTGGTCCGGGTCCATAGAGCGAGGAGAGTGCATATACAGAGACAATCAGAACCACAGCATGTAGACAATCAAAGATGTGCCGAAGTCCTGCTCTTCTCCCAATTCTCCTTGACAAACTCCTCAACGTCGCCCCAGAGCGTCTCTGGCTCGCCCAACGCAGCGAAATGACCGCCCTACATCCCAACCCATCAGCGCCGTACTTTACCCACAAAGAGAGCACACTCACAGCCTTGTGTTGTCTATAGTAGACGAGGTTGAGAGTACGTTTGAGGTCTTCCTCGGATGGCTGGAAAAGTTCGTAGGGAAAGACGCTGTACCCCGTGGGCGTCTTTTGGAACTGTTTCTCCGCCGTCGGGACATGTCGGTTGATACCAAACGCCTATCATCCATCAGCACCCCTTCTCCTCTTCCCTTCCCTTCCCCTTTCCCAAAAAGCTGGAAGGACTCACATATCGATAAGGATAGATCGAAGACGAAAAACTATCCGTAAACCAATACAAACTCGCAAACCTCAACAACCTCTCCTCCGTAAACGGCTGGTCCGGACAAGCGTCGTATTTCTCGCCGATCCAGGAGATGAGGGAGAGGGGATTGGTGGAGACGGTGATGCCGATGGTGGAGGGGCGGGTGCCTTGTTCGAGGGCGTAGCCGAATGTTTGGAGGGGGAGGAGGGGGTCGGGCGTTTGAGATGGGGTGGAAGAGGGGGAGGGGGTGGAGCCGGTGGGTTTGCCGAGGAGGAGACGGAAGTTGAGGTGGATAACTACGCTTCATTATCAGCTCCCTACCATCTAGAGGTTCCCCGAGGGTAGGGTAATAAAGTACGCACTTCTACACTCTTCATGATACACCCCCAAAGCATTCGTCACAAAACTCCCAATATCCCCTCCCTGCGCTGCATAACCGCCACCAAAGCCCAATCCGGTCATGAGGTTGTTGAACACAAACGCAATATCTTGCACGCTAAAGTCGCGGTCGAGAGGCGGAGGGGAGGAGAATGCGTACCCGGGTAAAGAGGGGACGATGAGGTGGTACCTAACAACCAAAAGTATCAGCTTCACCCCCCTTTTATCATAAAACATTGTGCACGGGAAGAGTTTGGCACGTACGGAAGCGTCTCGGGCGTGTATTGTTTCGTGACAAGATCCAAAATCCCATAAAATTCCATAAAACTCCCAGGCCAGCCGTGGCTCAGAATGATCGGGATCGCGTCCTTCTTCTTGGAGAAGAGGGCTGCAAAGTGGATTTTGAGCTCTTTGCCGTCAATGGTTTTGGGGGTGGCGAGGTATTGGGGGTGGGAGTTGATGTAGGACTCTTGTTTTTGCCTTTTCCCAATTAGACATCAGCTTTGAGCTCCTACTGTGATATGGGAGGAAAAGGAGAAGGGGGAAGATGGATAACGCACCAATCAAAGTCCAACCAAGCATCCCGCAACTGCACAAGACGGGCTTTCGTCATACCAAACTTGTTTTCCCTATCCTCATTGACACTCTCATAAGTCTTGCGCGGGATACGAGAGAGACGGAGGAGGGTGCGGAGGTCGTCGATGTCGGTGGAGGGGATGGAGACTTGGAATGGCTCGATGGGGATGGTGGGGGTAGTGGGGAAGGTGGAGTAGGCCATGGTTGGGGGTGTCTTTCTTGGGGGGAGAGAGAGAAGAGATGATGTACTCTACTCTACATACTTCTGTTGTCAGAGCGAGTTGTTACGGAGCTTAGGGTCGTTTACATCGTAGTGCCGGCCGGAAAGTGAGTAAGCGAGGAAGCTCGGCTGCCCGTTTACTCGGCCATTGGCCAGTCTGCTGGGGGTAAGGCCCGCTCTTGCGGACTGGGATTTGGAGGCATTGACCGCGATCTTTCAGAGGGAGATTGGGGTGCTAGAGGCGGAATTGAAGCAGGTCGAAGAAAAGTTGAATCAGGGCAAGGGAGGGACGGCTCGGTGCGCTAAGCGTATCATTCAAAGTGGGACATTGTCCGTAGACGATCTTGCGGAGGTGTATCAAGTGTCTAGTGAGAAGATCAGGAGATGCTGTCGGAAGGGACTGATATATAGACGCTTAGTCGTCGAACAGAGCTGTACTCTAAAGTTTCAAGATGCATTCGATCATTAGAGTGGTGACAAGATCATTAAAAAGGTGACAGATTATATCGTCCTACATAAAATACACTTTTACGAATCTATAAGTTATACCCCTACGAGTACCTCAAGCCTTCTGCGCCACCTCACTATTCTCCTCACTCTCCCTCTTGGCCGGCGCTTCCCCTTCCCCACTAACCCTCTGCTCCTCATCCCCCTGCATCGCCTTCACTTCCTCCTTCTCCTTCTCTTCGTCCTCCTTACTCGCCATCCTATCATTCTTCATCACCAACGCCCCTCCAAACGCTATCAAACTCAACGGCAGCCCGATCACAAACACCTGCGAAAGCGCCTTGGTGTATGCCTCGAGAACGGGGACACGGAGGTCGTCTGGGATGACGGTCCAGACGGCGGAAGCGTCGTTGATCACTGCGGCGAGAAGGGAGGGATCGAGGGTGGGGACGGAGGAGGCGATGTGGCGTTGGAGCATGTTTTCGAATACGGAGCCTCCCATTGAGAGGGCTACAATTCGTCCGGCGAAACCCACTACACCTTCTGTTAGTCGAGTTCTGATGAAAGAGGGAGAGGGGACTTACCAAAGACGACCATACCAGTGCCGAGGGAGATGAGCCACGGCTCCTTCTTGAGGTCGTGCTGAACGGCAATCATGACATTCTGCAAACAACACCCAATCCCCACACCCAGGATTACCTGGTACCCATAAAGGTTCGCAAGCGGCGTACTGTAATTTATACTGTAGAACAGCCCCGACGCGATGGACAGGAATACAGGCCCCAGCGCGACGACGGGCTTGAATCGCCCGATTTTGGGAATGATGCGGGATGAGATGATGAGGGTGACGACTTGGACGAGGATGAGGGGGAGGAGGCGGACACCGGCGCCGGTGGCGGAGATGTTGTGCACGGCTTGGAAGGTGAGGGAGAGGTAGTAGACGAGGATCATGAAGAGGCCAAAGACACAGAATGAGACGATGGACGCGCCGCTGTTGGGTTGTCAGTATTGAGCGAAGAAGAGGAGGAGGGGCCTTACGCGACGTTACGCCTGGCCAAGAGTCGAATTCGGAAGTACGCAAGATCCTTCATGTACCACTCGTACACGCAAAAGAGTGGGGGCAAGACGGCGCTGAACACGATGGTGACAATGACGGAAGGCGAGTTCCAATCACGGGTGACACCACCCCATTGGGTGAAGAGGATGAAGCAGACGGCCCAGGCCATAGAGATGCAGACGCCGACCCAGTCGCATTTGAGGACCTGCATGAGCATGTCTTTGGAGTAGCCTTTGTAAGAGTCGGCGCGGCCGAGAGGGGGGACAGTGGGCTGGAAGAAGAGGAGGGCGGCAATGGCGACGCCGCCGAGGGGAAGGTTGATGTAGAAGCACCATCTCCAGCTGACGTGGTCGGCTGTGGAACGTCAGCGCGGAAGATAAGGATGGAAAAAGGACATACCGAAAGCACCTCCCACAAGAGGGCCGACGACACTGGCTATAGCAAAGCAAACACCAAACAGGGCAAAGTATTGGGCTCGCGAATGCAGAGGCGTCAATTCGGCAATGATGACCATGCCGCCGCTGAAGATGCCAGAGGCACCGAGACCGGCAAAGGCTCGACCAAAGATGAGCACATTCATGTTGGGGGCGACACCGCAGACGAGAGAGCCCATTTCAAAGATGAAGACGGCGAATACGATGACATGTTTTGAGGGAAAAATGTTCATCCATTGGGCGTACAGCAGATTGAAGGAAAGGAGCGTGAGGCTGGCAAGGGTCAGCACAAGTCAAAATAAAAGATAAGGCGCGTACAAGAAGCCAGAGGCGAGCCATGTGAGTTGAGATAGCGAGTCGAATTCAGAGGTGATCTTTGGGATAGCAGTGGCAACGATAAGTTGATCTGGGGCATGTCAGCAATGATACCGCCAGAAGTATAAGACTTACCCAGGGCGAACAAGAAGATGGAAATCATGAGAGAAAGGAATACGGCCCAGAAGCGCGCCTTGGGCAGGTCGAGAGGCGCATGGGTACCAGAGTGGCCCTTTGGCGGCGCCTTTACCTTCTTCTCTGGTGTGTCGCTAGATTCGCTGGGGGCGGCATATGGGACGGGGGCGGCACCACTGCTGGCGGCAGCGGCCGGGCCGGGGCTGGAGTCGAGGACGGCCTTGTCGTGGTCGCCTGCGATGGTGGTGGTGGTGGTGGTGGACATGGCGGACATGGGGATGGGGGCAGGATGCATGCGTACCTCCCCTAGGCCCTATATATTCGAGCAGCGCTTGTGCGTTCCCCCGGCGATGCGTCCATTCGGCACAAAATAATCTGTTGTGATTTTGTGAACACGAGCCCCGAGGCCAGGCACACCAGACACTTTCCCCTTTGGGCATTTTCGCGGCACGCCGATCTCTCAACGGCAACGCCTCTTTCAGTGATCGGGCATCTCTGTTTATTTTTATTACACTCGGCGGCTCGGGGCCTCGGACTTGGGCAAGACCCAGGCGGTGGACCCCGTGCAGTCTTTGAATTCCAGGCATCCTGTGGTCTGTGGCAGGCACCGGGGCATGCTCTCATGCTCCACTGGGAAGGCTATTTGTTAGACAGCAATCGGGGCTTGGAGCAGCAAGGACAAAGAAAGGCCTTTGCGCGTCTTTTAGAGAATGCAAATCATGAGCACCAGAGTCAAGCTGGGTGATAGGAGAGGCCGTAGACAAGACGGTTTAGGTAGTCAAAGGAGGCTCTGATGAGCGAGCTTGAATGTACATAGGAGACTGCTTGCCATGATGTGGGCGGCGCCGACGCGACTCAACTGGCAAGAAATCACAATCAAAGAATGGAACCAAATAATAGCATGATGAGAACAAGCTTATAAGAACGAGTTTAACAGTTTTGCCGCTTGTCAAGACGTCTCATTCGTCTCATGTGGTACTTGTCTGCAGGTTCTGCAGTTTTATCTGGCGGGGATGCATCAGCAGGGAATTCACTTGGCTTGAGGCGCATGCAGTACATATAAAGCGACTGGAGCTTCCCAGCTCTCCCTTCTGTCTATCCGCTCCACCAGCTGTTCGATCCCGTTACCATGAACGACATCCAGAAGACTCTGGAGATCTCTTGTTGCCAGACTCCGATTGAGGAGAGGGAGGAGGGAACTGGGGAGTATACGGAGAAGGGAGATTGCCACTATCAACTATCGATGGGAGAGTCAGGTCGTGCTGTGAGTACTCGATTCCCGCTATGAGCTTGAAGCTGAATGTGGTACAGCTTTCGCACCGTCGCTTGTCCCAAATGAGCCATGTCCACCCTCGCTCAATCACCTCTGCCACCCCCTCCACCGATACCGAGCCCGAAGTCAACCTGCCCCCTACCATCCCGCCCCAAGCCCACTTTCTAGACGGCAAAGGCAGCCTCTTTCGTGTAACCTTCATCAGCGTAGCATGCGCGACGCAATTGCTCGCCCAGTCTGGAACGGGATTGGTCATGTTTCCGCTGCATGCCATTGGGAAGAAGTTGGGGACTGATGATCAGGGGGAGTTGAGTTGGATGGTCGCGAGTTATGGGCAAGTTCTAGGGCTCGAATGTCATTGAAGGTTAGGGAGGCTAATTCATGCATAGGTTGACTGTTGGCATGTGCCTAATCGCGGCAGGGCGACTGGGAGACTTGTAGTAAGTGTCTTCTTCTCTAATATATCATGCCTGGGCTAATGAGATCTCAGTGGACCGAAGAGATGGTGGGCAGTCGGGTTAGTCATCATGAGCCTCTCAAATATTGGTTCTGGGTTCTGTAAATCTCCCATCCCATTCGACATTACGCGCGCTTTGAGCGGAGCTGGGTCAGCCATCGCCTGTAAGCCCTCTCTTCTTCAGGTAAAAGACGCCTGCTCATATTTCGATTAGTACCTAATGCGCTCGCTATCTTGGGTAGGACATACCCGCCAGGTAAGACCCGTAATGTGGCATTCTCCATCCTCGGCGCTCTAGCTCCTCTCGGGTATTATGTGGGCGGTATGATAGGCGCCATATTCGGACAGCTCGTAATTGTCGGGTGGATATTCTGGTTCGTGTGAGTACTTGAACGCGCTATCTGCACCGAAGTGTGCTCATACAACGTAGGGCAATCCTCATGGCCGCTCTTTTGGTAGGAGGCTGGTTCGTCCTTCCTCCCGACGAGCCCCACCCCGACCCGTCCCAACGCCACTTTGACTACCTCGGCGCAGTACTCCTCGCCACATCATTAGGCCTGCTCAACTTTTGCTGGAACCAGGCTCCTCTGGCCGATAGGAAATGGCAAGAACCATACATTTACACTCTCCTCGTAGTTTCGCTTGTGGGCTTTGCAGTCTTCTTTTGGTGGGAGAGAAGGATCGGAAAGAAAGCTTTGGTACCCGTCGAGATGCTCAAAAAGGAAAGCCTTCTCGTTTATCTCTGTCTATGGCTCGGGTGGATGAGCCTGGGGACGTTTTTGCTATACTCATCATTCTTGCAAGTTTTCTCTCATAGATCAAAGTGCAATACTAACATCCACCAAAGCATCTACGACATCAGGGGTTATACCCAGCCCCTCGTCCTTGTCGCCCAAATGTTCCCTCTCGTACCCCCAGGCAAGTACCCTCAATACACAAGATAGCTCCATAACCTGACCCTCATCATAGGCATGATGGCAGCCCTCCTCGTACCTCACCTCATCCACCGCCTCCCAGGCCACATCATCTTCCTCCTCGCCATGTTGGCCTTCACCATCGGCAACCTGCTCGCCGCTACCGCCCCAGCCCACTCGACGTACTGGGGAAACACGTTTGTGAGCATGTTGGTCGTGGTGTGGGGCCCGGATTTGAGTTTTAGTACGGGGCAGTTGATTGTCAGTGGGAGCGTGGATAAAGAGTTTCAGGGGATTGCGGCGGGGATTGTTAGTATGATCACTAATTATTCGTAAGTCTCTTCTCCTATCCTCATGAGTGATGGAGAAGCTGATTATTGAATACTGTTGTACAGTCTTCAGCACCTATCACCTGGTAAGAT